TAAAATCAAACATCAATAAGATTGGAACAAGCTCAAGAAGTAATTAAAGAAAGGCTTTTATCACATTTCCGTCATTAGCAAAGGAATGGGTTCGTAAATACTAATATCGCAAGCCGATATTGTAACGTACAATAAATCACAATTAAGCTGCTAGTCATCCCCCTAGCAACGTTACAAGTGTAGGAAAAATAATACGCATCTAATATTAGGGGTTAGTCAAGTAGGCCTGCAATCTCCTCTATAGTAGATTTTAACTGAGTACATATTTTCTAAACTATAAAAAAAATCTTTTAATTAATTGTAAAAATTTAGAACATATATTTAAAGTTATCATATAAAATGAATTTTGTGATTGAAGTCGATTTTGTTGAATAAAATTATAGGATATGTGATAATGAAAATACTTATCTAATATTTTAATAACAATATATATTTACCAATTAGGTTATTATTAATTTATTAGGCTGCATCTATTTGATATTTTGACTAGAATTACACCTATATAATTATGACAATCTTTTAATATTGTAATTCATATTAGGTATTAATTAATCATGTAGTTATTCATATTATTAATTATTTTACAAACTTTTAGTAAAAACCATTTTCAATTACTTAATTGAAACAACAAATAACTTCTATACATTAATGATTGTAAGTATACTTTTCACTAAGTACTTATACTTACATCCTTCTGAACATTTGAACAACTGGAAATACAGCTAATTAATTAAATGTGTTACAACTAAAGATACAAAGTAATTTATTAATCTACTCGTAATGTAAAGTAAAAAAAAAAAGTTTCTAAGTAACTACATAATAGAACAAAACTTCGGCTTCTGTATGTAACGGTGAGCTAATGCGAGTTGTTCTCGTATTTCTTTGTTTGGGGCTTCAAGTGTGTAGTGTAGGGCGAGGGCCATCAATGTCGCACTATCTTGCAGTTTCACACTGACCATGACTCGGCACTGGTTTGTAATACATTGCTATTAGTGTATAGAACTCTTAGGACGTATCTGCACTTTATATAATGCGATATTTTACTTTTATATATTGTGTGTTACTTTTGCCCGGTTTTTTCCGCCTTACATATTTTTTTACAATTTAGGTAAACATTTTTATACATGTTGGAATAACAAACTAATATTTATAATCACTTTTCCTAACTTTCTAACTGTCGCACGGTTACCACTTCAAAACTTAAGAGCACCACGGATATCATGCAGTATAATGCCTACATAGGATCCAGTGCGTTGCCATTTTAAGGACTAAAGTACCCATTTATTATGTCTCCATACACAATAATTCCCCTGCCACATCTTACATGTATAGGTCTCGACCATCTGTAGTGGCCACACTCAATACTTTACACGTAATTGTGTAAAACAGTAACATACAATAACATATTAATATGTAACTAAAAAATTCTACTGATTAAATATAGATATATGTTTTAAACATTAATTTGCAAAATAATGGAATTCGACACCTATTTTTTGCGACTTTTCTCATCAATCAAATCCTGGTGTAGATAAGGTTCATCTTTCATTTCTCAATATGCTTATTACGCTGTGAAATATCTGAGTGTATTATACCTAACTCTCAGTCATATAAATCGCAAGCTATTTTGTTCGACTGTTAAACAAAGTAGGGTAATGTTTTTGGGTATATGTAAGTACGTTAGGATAGCGCAACGTACAGCTTAAATGGCTTCAAAGATTTTAATAAATGGCCTGTCGTTAGATTCGTCTTACTCGGGGTTCTGTGAGCCACATACGTAGCGACTGTACCTACCATATTAAATATAACTAACATAAACTATCGAAATCTTGAAATATTATCTAATTTTATAGACATTTTAAAAACTTTACATTCTTCTTTCGTGGACATTTTTTGTTAATAAATATTTACTATTAAATATTTTAATAAATTACCTACTTTATAAAAAATAATTTAAAATTGTATTGAGTCTTTCTTCAATTTTATAATTATACTCAAAGGGATCAATTACAATAGACAAATTGTATAAAATAAATGTAAAATAAGTTTTCACCGAAAGTGACAACTATAATCGCAATCGACACTTCATAATCAGGTTTATAAATGACGATCTAGATTTGACTTGACATCAGATGGATATTGGATGGTAGCAATCAAATCTCCTTCGTGTAGAGAAGGCTCAATCATCGCAGATCAAATTGAAATTAATGGTACGTACGTATATTGAAAGGCGAGTAATGTATAGTGAGCGACAGTCGACACAATAATTGGAGATAACATCTGATCAACTAGCAATCAAGCTCTAACCTTACATGTTCTTATGACCCTATACATATGAAGTTGCTCAATGGTTTATAAGAAATGAGAATTAACGCGATAATTTAAGTAAACTATGATAATTTACCTGAATTATCTGAGGTACTGGCCGTGGTCACAACTAGACTGCTGTAGCTCTGTCATATCTCCGCTATCAAGGCAGAAGTTTTTTCTTCTACCCACTCATTGTCACACATCACACAAAATGTGTCACTATACTGAAGGTTTCTGAGCACTGTGTCTATATTCGATGCATCTACCGACTACACACTACAGTGAGGTAATGTTGTTTGTATTAGTAGGTTCCAGTTAGACAGGTTTTCAGATGTAGATTCACTGCATGCACCGCGAAAGTATAAAAGTTAATAAAATTACTCATTATTTTTCAGATTAACTCTTTCAACGGTTTATAAAGTACACACTTGTCAATTATTAAGAGCAAATAGTCGTTAATTAGGTATATACCAAAAGAAGACTTTGTCCAAAAGTTATTTGTATTAATACTCCTGTTCCATTCGTGTTTCTGTATTAAATATAGCTGTCTACATCATAGCTGTATTTCAGTTTATTGGATAGGAAGTAATAAAGGGCATGTCCATGATGATAATGTGTTTGGGTGATGGTTACTTTTTTCCATAAAATAAATCATCTGCTTGTTTGCCTTTTCAGGTTGCATTCAAAACTATAATTTATCCTGGTCACGCAGACAAACTCGTGAACATTACTAATATTTATATACATGTATTAGGTACTTCTCTTAAATGGTTGAATGAATTTTAAAAGTATTTGGTACACACATCATATTGCAAATTTTATGATATTTTTTACTCTTGTTGATACGTATTCTACTTTCTAAGTAATTTCCCAAAATCGTATTTCTCGTATAATACACATATGGTTTAACTTGACATCAAGTGTAAACTGCCGAAAACTCAAAGTTAAACGGTATAGGAAATGAGGCACCTTCCTCACCAGTGGGCATGACGGCTTTTGATTATATTGGATTAGTAGGGAACGTGCGCTGAACTCATTCGGTATACCATCCACAAACGGGGGAAATTAAATCAATTACAGCCACATTGAGAGACATTAATCAAAATATTAAGTTGTAACGATTCAAATATGTCTGTCGTCCGTATATAAGTGGTGAGGTCTCGTTATGAATAAAAAATGGTTTGGACCCTTTTCAATATAAACTAGGCACAAAAAATTGTATGGCCTCGTGCCAAGATCTGTAAATGATACATTTCACAACAAATCCGCAATTTCGAATCGAAGACTGACTTGTAACGACTTACTTAATATTCAAGCAATTAAAACAACAACTTATCTAAGGATCCGTGAGCTTCGTTTCATAAGTACAATACAATTATTTATAAATTGGATTACAAACGAAATGTTTATGTAATAAGATACCTATAAAAGAATTGTAAATATAGTCTATTCGCGAAACAGAACTTTTAACTTTTAAACTTAGTCAAAAAAAATACAAATTTGATATGAATTCTGTGAATACATTACTTTATTTAATGCAAAAAATGCTACTTTTTCTTTATATAACAAAAAATATTTAGTGCCTATACGTCATTTACTAGTCATTATATTTAATTTTTGATGACGAATTGTAGTGCATCAATCTAACAATTTAATCTGAATAAAAACAATAAACTAAGGGCTCCCTTATAAATATAAATTGAAAATACCAATTTGAATAAGGAATAAATTATTCTTATATATCTACTCCTGTCAGTCCCTATTTTCGCTGGATAATTTATTTGTCTATAGTTATTCTTACAATGTAAATATTACCTCAAACATTACCTATTTTAGACAATATTGGATTAAATAATATTGTTGTAACTGAAATATTATGTGGGTGAAAAATGGCTAACTAGTAAAGCAAACTTTATGCAAATAAACCTCGACATTACAAGTATAAAGTACTTTCAAATTCTTTTTCAATAAGTTAAAATAAAATTTGCAATTTTTAATAACTCGTTTCATTATTTTGTAGTGATACAGTTAGACGAGTAACGAGAGAGTGTAAGAGACGAGTAGAGTTACCAGTTTAGGTAATTACTGGGCACTACTGTATTACAATAAAAGTTCCTTATTCACGTTTTCTTTATTTGCGTTTTCACTATTCGCGAATTAAAAAATTGCGACCTAATCCCTATATTCGCAGCTAAAGATTTCCTTAATTGCGGATTTAATCGGTACATATTATTAAAAAGAATTAGGCATCCTTTGTAAACGCGTCGGTAAATAGACTAATAAAAAAGTAATACAGACTATAAGGTCTTGTAGTAAGACCATAAGGCGTAATTGTAATAATACAACTACGCCTAAAATATGTTGTCAAATGCTATTACCGCTGTATAAATGGTTCGGCTTTCTATATTCATGGTTTCTGTATTCGCAGCATATTTACAGAACGTATACTCTATACTCCACAAATAAAAAACTGTTACTGTACTTATTTCGGCTGAATGCAAACTTTGTAGTAAAATGGAAAAGTATATTTTCCTAAAAATTACAGATTGTAATTGTAATATGTAGTTTATTCATGTAATTGCTAATTTTGATTTAATTTATATTATCAGATAAACTGCTGCTGGTTTGTTCTCATACTATAGTATGAGAACAAACCAGTCTCTCTCTCTCTTATTATATTTTGTTTGCAGAATTTTAGAAGCTGAAGCAAAAGGTGCAATATACTTGACGACTAAAAATGGGACGATTCCAATAATACTGACATCACTGAACACACGTAGTGACAGTACACCTCAACACACGCCAAGGATTTTATCCGCGGCCACTAAAAATCTCTCTCAGAATGTCGGGGACGAGCACGATTATTGGGACGAGTCCGACGAAATGCTGCTGTCCAATTACGCGAACTCGTCATATGAGAATCATGATACGGCTATCTGGAAGAGAAATAATAAGAGAAGCATAAACGACGTTGTCTCGAAAAATATCACATTGGTACTTGAGAATCTTTTGAAGAATTATGAAAATTCTCAGCTGCCTACACATGGAAAAGGTGATCTAATCTATCACTGATAATAAAAGTTATTTTATAACTTCACTACTAACTAATAATAATAACAATAACTAACTTATGTATCTAATTATTTAAATATATTATATTGTTATGCAGTATATTAAAAAAACAAAATAGCCTTATAGTAAAGTTAAAAAATCTGGAGACACATCACTCTAGTCTTTAACATATGAGGATTTTTTTATGCGTGAAAATGGCATGGTTACTTCGCCTGCGCTATCGGTATACACTAGCGGGGTACCAGTGAGCGGTGCTAGGTGAGGATGAAAAGGCAGGTCAGTTAGCCCATTGTGACAAATTCAATGATAAATTGGTCACGGTAGTTTCCAGAGGGAACCGCGTAGAGGTCGACCTGATAGTGTATATTGATAGCAATGGGGACTAAACTCCCCATTACTAACAATTCCTTCCCCCGAACACATGAGGATTACTATGGGCATGATTGCATATTTTGCGATATCCGCCATCTTTATTTCTATAGATAATAGTTGTCACTTTCTTTCATATAAGATAATTAGACTATTTTCATTCTTAGCTATATAAAATTGTTATTTACTTGTTTCAGGATACCCAACTGTTGTACAAACAAACATACTCATAAGAAGTATGGGACCAGTATCTGAATTAGATATGGTGAGTTATGTTATCCGACCGAAACCAAAATACAAAAAACATATGAGGCAATATAAGTAACTTATAGCAAAAAAAATACTATTATATTATTTGACTTTAAATATATTTTAGTATTTATATCAGTTTGAAATGATAGGTAGATAGAATATTTATCACAATATAACTAAGAATATATCATATCATTCAGTTCAATCACAATTTCCCTACATAATAATAATATGGATTCATATCTAGGTACCTTCTATTTTCAGGATTATTCAATGGACTGCTACTTCAGACAGTACTGGCGTGATACACGCTTGTCCTTTCTCGGTCCCATACGCTCCTTATCCCTCTCGATTAAAATGCTTGAAAGAATATGGCGTCCCGATACTTATTTCTACAATGGCAAACATTCTTACGTCCATACTATCACAGTTCCCAACAAGCTGTTACGGATCAGTCAACACGGAGATATTTTGTACTCAATGAGGTGGGTCTTGTTTTGTGGTTCGTACTTATACTATAATTAATCTATGATTTTATATTTAATCATAACATTCTGAATAAAAAAAAATGTCTTTAGAGGCTGAGCATTGGCTCCTATTCTATACAATTATAAATATGAGTATATATTTTCTAGAATACTGTATATGTAAAATCTAATCTAGGTTCTTGAGAAGTGGTGTCTGTGAGACATAAAGGTCTATCTACCTTCAATTATATATTATTATATTTATAATATTAATATTGCCTATTAACCGATACATACAGATAGAGTGTTCATTAATCGAACGGTTCCTTGTGTTTCCTTATGTTTAACATTCTTAATGTAAAAAATAAGAAAAAAGTACAGAAATGCTCTACATGTAACAAAATGACAGATGCGTTCCTTTCTCCTAATATGATGTTTTGGAAAGAGAAAACTAATTTGAGAAACCAATAAATCCAATGAAAGTAATACAAAAAGAGGTTCATTAAATTTTATGCTCGATGAACAAACACAGCTCTGGGTCCGACATAGCTTCTAACATAGCGTCCACCATTTTTAATTGGCAGAGTGAAAAATACTCGAGCTCCGATTACCCGACGAGTTATTCATGGGACGTAAATTACTATGGATATTCTTAATTTAAGAGCTGACGTACTTGTACCATGAAAAATTATTCGAATTGATCACGATTACAAATTGCTTTATTGTGAAAATATTTTTAAAATAAATATCGTTTAAATGAATTTCGTGATACTGTACAATAAATATGACAGGATTTATGATTACATTTCGAGTGATATCATGTTAAGTTCTGAATATAGGTAGTAGGTACAGTTTGTAGGTATTTTTAGTAAAAACCATAATAAAAATATTCCAAATTTCATAGTCATCTCAAACAGGTAAACCGACATTAATTTAGATATATAGGTACATAATTTAGAGAGGTACGATGTTCTCTATCTTAGATTATATAGATAGAATGTTTATGTATAAATCCTTCGAAAAAGCGGGTAAATTTTTCATACAATTTTGCGTGATAAATAGTGATTCCTTTATAACTTCTATATTTATTTTGTTGATATAATATATTTTGCATAATTTATTTATTTAAATAATTTTTTACATTCATTTTTAATATCAAGTTATAACAAAAACTACGAGGCCAACTGAAAATGACATGTGCAATTCTATGTAGCAATAAATAAAAGATAGTCTCAATGCCCAATCAGTTGTTAATCGGTTTAGTCGATAGTCGCAGATCGAACGCCTCGATGCGAAATTCAGTAAACAGAATTTCAAATGGTATGCCTCTTAGTTAATCCGCTCTATTGTCACAATGAAGGCTGAATATGTAGATTCTGTATCCTAAAGTGTTGGATAACTTTATGTGGAAAATATTTAATGCTATTTATCTATGTTTTAACTACCTAACAACCACTCCCCGCATAGGTATACCTTTTACATAAGAAATCCGGTCATGTGAGAGTTGAATTTACACGCCGAGAATTCCATATATATATATATATATATATATATATATATATATATATATATATATATATATATATATATATATATATATATATATATATATATATATGATATAAAATTACCTTTATTGCAACACTGATGTGAAATAAATATCTATTAGTAAATATTATTAATATAACAATTCTTAGTGTCTTATTTTGGATCATAGTTGTAATTAAAAACTCATCTTTATATTTTCTATAATATTTATTAACCGTAATTATGACAGATTTTTTGCTTCTTAAACTTAGATTTTTTTTCAACCATAACTAAAAAACTAAGCAGCATAAAAATAAAATTAAATCGCTGAAAATGGCGTAATCTACTATCACCTAATAGTCATAAGGACTTTGTTACTTATATATCTCAGATGGTCTAAATAAATAGTTTAATATTATGTTAGGAATGTTTTTTTACATATTTTGTAAATATTATTAACATCTAGTTTAATTTTTAATTAACGACTCCATACCATTTCATACCATATCAGTCGTCAATTATCCACTGTTGGACATATAGGTCTCTCCTCATTAGGGGTCTCTTCCCTTGTATTGCAATAAATACATACTTTTTTAATTTTAACTCTAGAAGGATTCAAGTAGCACTGTGAATGTGAATTTTAGCTTTTTATATCTATTTCAATAAATTTATGAATACATATTAATGCGAATAATACTCGTATTTCTTTACAGATTGACAATCAAAGCTAAATGTCCTATGGAGCTTAGAAATTTTCCAATGGATCGTCAGTCATGCCCTCTTATTCTTGGTAGCTGTAAGTTAAACTGTAGACTACATTATACAGTTAACTCACTTCTTTTGTGATTCAAATTAGTTAGCTATTACTACAAATATTATTATTAATACGAGTATTATAATAATATTTACGTACATGTAAATCAACAGATGCATACTCCAACCAACAGCTGGTGTACCAGTGGCAAAATTCCGAAAGTGTCAACTTTGTGCCTGGTATGACTCTATCCCAGTTCGACCTCATCAGCTTTCCTTACCGTAACTTCACTTTTACAAGAAGAGAAGGTAAGAAAACTTAAAATATTGCATAATAGATGTTACCATATACTTAATACCTTTATAAATCTTGGTAACTATAATGTGACATTGGTGACATTGGTCATTCATACTGTAATAAATCCTTATATAGGATCTTGATACCTTTCATACTTTCAAACAGAAACAAACAAACACAAACAAACTTTAAAGAGGAGGAAATTTTCAAGCCAACTGTATTTTCTTATGAGTATGTTTCTCAATATTTTCGTCAAATTTAAACTGATTTTGAAGTATTGGGTTTTATAATTTTTAATTAGATCAAGCGGACTCAAAAAATTTTCCAAATCCAATCTCTATATATTTTTTTTTACTTAAAATGTATCTATGTTCAACTTGAAGTATATTTTTTCATCTAAAGAGTTATTAGATACTCTTGTGTTGGTTTTATACAAATTTAGTTAAGCTTTAATTTTTCTTCTTTGCATTTTTTTTTTGTTTTTACTAAAATACTAAAGTTAAAACCTATCACTCGATCAATAAGTTACTTATAAAGTATTAACAATTAAGACAAAAAATTCATTAAAATTAAAGTCACTATTTGTTTGCGAAGCTAAATCTAAATAAATACTTATTTTAAAAAACTTTCGTGTTTATGATACTTATATAATAAACTATTTTTTTTTATAAGTAGATACATATAACAATTTGCAATACTGACAATTTGGTCATAATCCTCCAATACCTATGTAGTTGTACATGTACCTATATAATTAAGAAGTTGTATTCATTAGGAAGGGAGACTGTTTGACACAAACAAAAATAACCTCGGTTATTACTCGGCCTATACAAACAGAAACATATTTTCTCTCACACAATTTCCTATGATTTGTTATATTCTCAAAGTGCTATTTATTCTACTGACGTATTAATTGTGTGGCAGATGTTTAGAAATAACGGACAATTTGTATATTATAATCGCTTAAACGTTTAACCCCAATGATATACTCGAAGTTTGATGCCGTGTTGAGTACTTTAGAACAAAAGTGACCGAAGTAATAATGACAGTACCACTATTCTGATGTTGGAGCTGATATTAATATTTTAACATTTAAACTCGCCGTCATCGTCATATTAAAGCGGTCGTATATCAATAGATATTTCGTCATAGTCGTAGAATACTGACGGATCTTTATATGTAATAATTGTCAGATCCGTCAGTATTCTACGACTATGACGATTTTAGATAGACATTTAGCTTGTAAGTCTCAACTTATTTGTGACTTATTTAAATTCCTGTATAACATCATCACTACATAATATAAAACAAAGTCGCTTCCCGTCTGTCTGTCCCTATGTATGCTTAGATCTTTAAAACTACGCAACAGATTTTGATGCGGTTTTTTTAGTAGATTGAGAGATTCAAGAGGAAGGTTTATATGTATAATACAGGCATAATATAGTAGAGAAACACTGATAATTTCAAAGGTTTCTAATGTAATGTGTAATCCGGACGGGTCGCTAGTTTGATTATAGATGATATGGACCTAAGTACTTGTCTGGAGCCCCTGAACACTTATAAATACCTTACAGATATATTAAGGCTGTCTATATTTGTAATAATCTGTTATCTTACTAAATTGAGTAGGTATCTGTAATAACAAATAATCTTTTTGATATTTGAAGTTGAGTTGGGACATTTCCTAGATGTAGCTTTGGATAGTCGATAAGTTTCCATTTAAATTGCCGAATGCTGAATGCTGTAATAAACTATTTACTATTTCATTATTAGAGAAAACTTGAAAAATTTGTTGACGCTATCAATATTGAAGGCAACGAGCGAAAAAGCCCTCGAGTCGATCTCGCACCGCCTCTCATAACAGCTTTCATCTCGACTAATCACGACCCTGCAGTGCCGACTTTATCCGCTTACCGCTTAATATAATTTTGTACACATGGATTCCGACGTGGAAAACATACTCTAAATGTTATTATATTTGTTGCCACATACTAGCATAATAAATAGGCACCATATCTGTTACACGTGAATACCCACATTGACTACTTATAGAGTATACCTACTATTAGATATTCTGTGACATGTGACATCGACAAAACGAGGTAGAGCAATCAAATATTTTTTTGTATTTAATCTTTTAATACAAACTGGATTTTCTTAAATATTTTATCTCCTGTCAAATGTACAATTGAATAATTATTAACTGTATTACACAATCCAACTACGAGTACATTAATTATTATGGAGTAAGCAAAACAACTAAAAATTCATTTGATCACTAGGTATTCACATATACATAACGTCACTTCACTTACTGTGTTTATCTCAAATTGCCCTCCAAAGTAGACCTCAAGTGCTTTCCTGCAAAAATGTGATTTGCTTTTTTCGTGTCAAAAGCGAATATAAAATAATGTCGAGCAAACGCCACCGCTCTACGATGGCGATGACACGAATCGGCTTTTACGCCTCGAGGCATCTACATTTACTGAAATGTCTAGAGGTGTGACGTAACGGTCATTGATTATATCAAGTACCTACTATAATTTCTCTTACCCTATAACATTAATAAAAAGTAGTATAAAAGAACAAGATAAGGTCAAGCATCGAATGTCAAAGTGATATGCATATATTCGTTTCTATTCTCAAGTTCAGTGTAAGCAGTAATAAAATATTTGATACCGCTATACAGGAGACTTCTCAGTTCTTCAAGTGTCGTTCAATCTTCAACGGCATACGGGCTATTTTCTCATTCAAGTGTACGTGCCATGCATTCTTATCGTCGTTCTCTCATGGGTGTCTTTCTGGATACATCGTGAGGTAAATACGGAAAAATATTTATTATGTTTTTATGACATTAAATGATGACATTGGCGACAATTCTGAGGTGCCATTCCCTAATCTCTAAAATTACAATTTCAATTTGATAGTTTAGCAAAACTATTATGATATGGCCCACCAAGAATTTAAGTTTAAGCATTTCTAATGCAATCCTCCTCAGAACAATCAATTCATTGTAATAACTTTTTTTTTTATTTTAAAGATAGAGAATAGTATTCCAAAATCAAATTCATTGTCACATGTTACTCTTATTATCGTTTTAGGCTACCTCGGACCGCGTGGGATTAGGAATTACAACAGTTTTAACATTATCAACAATTAGTTTAGATTCTAGAACCGATCTCCCTAAAGTGCGCTACGCCACCGCTCTAGATTGGTTCCTTCTGATGAGTTTCTTCTATTGTATCGCCACATTACTAGAATTTGCTGGTGTTCATTACTTTACAAAGGTAAATAACACTTATTGTTTCTAGAAATGCTTAAGAATCTACCATAACATTTTCATTTATATCATATTGTATATTTCTATATGTATTCTTTCACTTCTTTTTTAAGTATGTACCAATATCTGATGTTATTTGTGTGCTGTAAGTGATGCAAATAAATTATATATCGATCTATCGTAATATAAATACGGGCATTTTCTAATAAGAGAAGACTTTTAGCCAGTAGACCAGAATAAATAGTTTTTTATTTATTGCTAACATGTTCAATGAAACGAATTAAAGTTTATCTTCTCCGCTTTACTTTACGTATTGAATGTTTACTAACTACGTAATAGTGATTTTATACTTTACATCAGGTCGGTTCAGGTGAAATCGTAATAGACGATTCTGAATGGGAGGAACTTATCGAAGAAGTCGGCGGCGATGCATTCGCAGCGAGACAGCTGGCTGTTCGCAGGCGTAGCTCCGCCCGCTCCACTACCAACTACGTTAGTACCAGTATTTTTTATGGGTGATAAATGAATTGATAATATGCTTGCCGCCTGCACTATGAGTATATACTAGATTGGCACCAGTAAAGGACGATAGGAAAGATGAAAGCTAATCAGTTAGTCCATCGTGACGCATTCATTATAAATTCACCATGATGGTTTTTAAGAGAATCCGCTTTGCTAGCAAAAGCGTCATTAGTTCCCGTTCATAGATACATACTAACCTATATTAGAAATACAGCTCTGCACTTTACCAGATAAAACATGTCTACTTTATAACCGCGTCTTCCTCAGAGTTTCACATTCCCAGCGGCCAGTAACAATTGTTCAGGCGAGAACGCCAGCCAAGACACACCGGAACAACCCTGCGCCGTGCGACTCACCGTGGAACGGACCACGCAGACCGAGACCCGGGTGCCACGGTGGAGACAATTGCTCTACTGTTTAGCTGGCGACGACCGATACAGACGACAGAGGCAAGTCGAAGCTGGTGAGTTGCACCAAAAATATTAGATACTGACATTATGCAAATTCATTTTATATATAAAAAGTACTGATTTAAATAAGTCCAAAAATTCTTAATAGGCAGTTTAAAAAATCAAGTACCTTTTTCCCTAATATTACTATAATTATTTAATATAATAATAATATTCTAATTATATTATTTAATATATAGGATAAAGGTATCTTTAGTATACTATCGTATAACTAAATACGAGTATAGGTAATTCAACTATATTTAAATACCTATTTTCATTAATTTCTTTACAATTTTTAAAATGTAATTAAGACTTATGACACTTTTAAGAATAACCCCTTGTATAAACATTGTAAGCTATTTTCATTTCAACTAGCTGTCAGTGAATTAGCATTTTGTTTAGTGCACTCTTCCGTTCTTCTCGCTAAGATAAATAGCATTCTTAGCAATGTCACTTTGTTTCGGTTGTTTCCATTTCTGTTTAGGATACATTTATTGTTCTAATGTAGTCGTATCGTCACTTGCGAATTAATACCAACTATCAAGGCATCGTTCCCTTAAAATGGTTTTTATATGTGTATTATGCTAATATTTTTAATTCTGTAGCTATTTTTAAACGACTTCAAACAGAAAATTTTCATTTGTATTTTTTTTTTATATTTTTATACAACATAGAATGGGTAAACAAACAAACGGCCCACCAGAGGGAATATGATAACTGTATGTTACACGATATCTTTCTATCTTTCGTTTCAAAAATGGAATATAGATTCTGTCAGCTCTTCATATACTCTTTATCAATACTGCTAAGATTTCCAAACTACTAGTAAATGAACTGATTCATTGTTGGCCTTCGTCAATATATGGATTTTTTTCAGGGAATCGTGGTCACATCAACAGCGTATCCCACATCGATAGAGCTGCCCGCGTCATGTTCCCAGCTTCGTTTGCGCTCCTCAACCTTTTCTACTGGATGGTGTATGCTTTCTCCAACGATGACTTCGCTTGGAGCGACAACCCTATAAACACACTCTCTCATTGAAAGCAATAAGTTCTTCCGACAAATTATTAATAGATACGAATTATGAAATAATTACGTACTTTAATAATTCGAGACATACTTATTTCATTATCATCATCATTATCATGATGAAATAATTAAATACATTTCGAAAAACATTTACAAATACGTAATATAGGTATAATGTAGAATGTAGATATTGTGCATTGTTATCAATTTTCATCATACTTACATATATTAGTACCGATGCGGTTCAGATTGTAGGTAGTTAAAGTATTGTTCTGTGGTTACAATTAAATATAATGCTCAACAGTTTCATAGTAATTTTGTTATATTTATTAGTACAAAATAAACAGTTAATTTTTCCCTACATTTTTTTTTTATCTTTCTTAAGAATATATTAGACAGCCTGGACCACCAGACGCACGTTAGATATTTAATTGTAAATATAAACAAGCTGTTGGCGTCATCTAATGGAAAATGATAATAGTTTATACGTTGCAAATTGACCATCCATCAATGAGTTTGAAAATAAAGATGAGTAGAATAAATTGTCTTTGCATTTTATAATTTCACGAAAAGTTGCAGAAAAACGGTAGGTTTTTTTTTATACAACTGAGAATGGCAAACAAGCTGACGGCCCACCTGATGGAAAGTGGTAACCGTCGTCTATAGACATGAGCATTATCATGGACATAACAGATTATACTGTTTCGCCCATGATATCCCTCATGCGTTGCCATTTCTGAGGACTCACTAAATAAAATAAATAAAAGTCGCAATCAGGTAAGTTGTTTTTTATTTTCACAGTTGAAGTTGTCAAGAACTAAAGCGGGGAACATTCATTTGAGCGAGTAATATTCAATTACCAGTATAAATAGTAGGTATGTTGGTACACAAAACATCAAATAGACAAGATGGCAGCCTTGGTTAACATTTTTAGCAATAATCACATAGGTCCCAAAGCACATGATTACACGACATACGAATTACATACTTCCACAAATCTGGCTTTTTCATAATAATTACAACATTCATATTTACTACACGTATATATTAATATAAGTAATGGATTATTATTACACAATCATGATCCTAAAAAATTCTTATAGGTACTACAGCATAAGCAAATGTATCACGTCACTGTCAGTTTCTATAGTAATTAAAACTGACTTCCCGTGTTTCTGTATGTGATAATGCATTATTTAATCGGATATATAAAATAGTTTTCAAAAGAAAAAATACGATTGTATGTTACGTAAAAAATTGCATTTTATGTCATTTTTATAAGGACCGTCGTCCTTAGCTCTTGCGGACAGGATAAGAAAGAAAAAGCACTAAACACAGAATGAAACAACAAGACTATTATTCCATCTTAACACAATTTATATTGATAAGTGTCAGCAAGCAGTCGCAAAATCCTCACATACTTATTACAAAAACTTTCACATGTGCTTTGGCTCCTTACTTATGGATAGGTAGATACTTTAAACATTGATAAATGGCTTCACAGGGTCGATTTGTACCAAATTCTAATATACATTGGGACAGGGTTAAAATACAACTGTTGTATAGTTGACGACAACGTTTATGTCAAATAAAAAAAATAGTGATACAAGACATCAAGGCAATATTATTTACATATTTTTGAAATGATCCACCGAGGCAATAGATGTGGTTCATTAAGCAATATAAAGGATAAATAAGCAAAATAAAAGGGTATATATACGAATACCTATGCAAATTTAATATCACTTTCCTATTTTTTGCTTCGTTGCATTTCATAATTTTCGTGTAACAAAACAAGCAGAAATATATACGTAAATTTAAATAAGTAGTACCTACTGTATAATTAGTTCACAGGATTGATGCAATTCCTAGAATATGACGGCGGTCGAAATGTAAAACTTAAGATATCACGTGAATGTTTTCATTGACGATTTCTTACTGGATGGCACCACTACAATCAATGGGGATGTATAGAAATGTTATATTTTACTAGTTCTTTTTAGTAAACAATCTTGTCAATACTTGGCATCTTTAAGGCAAATAAAATAAAGAAGATGCTAGGACAAAAAGATTTTTATATACAAATATAAAAAATAAATTACCAATTTCATGATATACATGTCAAGATTATTTACCAAATAAGATCACTAATAAAAAACAAAGTTTACTTAGTATAAAGTATTCCAATACTAATAATTAGGGATCAGTAGTACTCGCTAACAAAACTACAAATTTTTGTCTCAAGCCAAAAAGCGTTTTGACATATAAACTGGAAAATTGACATGATTGTAGTGCAATAAATAACAAGACATCCTAATATGTCTTTATTTGTAACGAACACACTTTGCTATATTTTTAAATTATACTCAAAACGTTACAAATTTTACTTTCCATCTCTGAAATTTAAATACAAAATCTTAAATCATTCCAAGTTGATTTACTTTTATATATATTTTTTACACTTTACGAAAAAACTATTTATTTATTAAAAGTATCTCACTGGATCACAAGAAAAATTGGAAATACCTACGTTTTCTCTTAATCTCCTTATTTTTTATCCCTTAATTTGCATATCTACAATAATTCGTATTACAGTTTGTTACCCGTGACACTACGATACAGAACACTTAGTTTTCGAATACGCCTCATACTCGATTTTTATAACTTTTTACAATACCAATTCATATATAAAGATACATTTATGACATCCACATAAAAGCTGAAATGACAAACAATGATGTTTCCTATATTCAATAATAAAAAACAACATAAAATGGCCTAATTATATAGACATTCAATTTTTCAAAAATATTTCATGTCTTCAGTCGATATTGACTGAAGAAAATTATTAGGGATATTTTTTTACATTAACCATGTAAATATAAAGTTCGTATATTATCACAAATATATATATACATACAAGGTATAGCTGAAATGGTATAAAATCCGAAATTCAATGACAGTAGTCATTCAGGAAACTATACAAATTATTTTATGGGATATTTTGAAATTATTATTTAACTAACTATTGTACTATTCATACAAAATCGACAACGTAATTATACAATTTATACACCAATAAAACTGCAAGTTGTATTAACATAAATATATTACGTATGAAGGTTAATTAATGGTCGATTGAATATTGATAATTCACTTGCAAAAATAAAATTAATATGTACTAATTTAACATAACGTCCTTACGTGAGTACAACTTACAAAAATAAAGAGGGCCTAAGTAACAAGGATTAACCCTTCATCTATCAGATAATATGTTTAGTTTCACAAAAACTGTCGCTGAATTTCGATTTATTTCGATAATAATACTCTTTTCCACTCCACCGTGTACATTATGAATCTATTTGACAAGAGATAAATTTCAGAGAGCTAATGTTATGCTTATACAGTCATGTTCCTGTTTTGGTCCAACAGTCTGTAAAATACTAATTTATTACATTTTTCTTCATTTAAAAATTGCATCTCTTAAATTCTTCATCTAAAAGTAGAATATACATTTTTTTGAAGGCATAATGTTTAAATACAAATGGAATGTATAGTATAAGGCTTTCATCATAAGTTTGAAGATCACCACTAAATATAAGTCAATATCTTCTGGGAAAATTTAAATTCACATAATAATTTAGAATATTCAGTTTGGACATAGAATAGTTAGTAAAAAGACTAAACTAATTAGTCTAAATGCACAACATACATCAATTGTTAGCTGCTACAACAAATAATAAAAAACAATTACAGGAAATAACATAAACTATCTATTAATAGTCACGTGGATTTTAATAATTGTAATGGTCTTAGTGCTGAGCATTAATTGTTATTTATTTTGTCAACTATTATATATCGAATAGAGATTGTATAGCAAATTAGTATAAATAACAAGGAATGCTCAGAACTCTGTACCAAGACCCTATATCAATATCGTGAGTCATTTTCTAAATATATTATTATTAATATATTATTATGATACAATTCAAATATGAGAACTATTAAATATTGTCAATGTAGATAATCAAGATTATGATACCCATATAAATAAACACCTACATTTCTCTTGAGGAGTTTGTGCATTAAAATCTAGACGAAATCGAAGTTTTATTTATCCCCCGAACATTATAAATATATATTATTAGAAAACACCAAAGGCCTAGTATATTTAAAATATATAATATTATACACTACACACTTCTAATATGAACAATTGCAATTCAATTTTACACAAAGTTTGAGGGCCTTATTTATCAAATATACAAATATAACACAATGCATGTGTCATATAAATATTAAGACCGCTTTACTTACTACATACTATTAGTACCATTTAGTTCGTTTAACATAATAATGGTATTCTAAATACAATCAAATATAAAATAATATTTATTATCGCCCGTTTGTTGGGTGTTTTCTAGATTTTTTATTTACAATACATAAATTTTGTCTATTAGAATAAAATATTCGAAACGAACAATATAAAATGGGGACAATCCAATTTGCGCACAAATGTATATATATATACCTTCCTCTAAAGTACTAAAAATAGCACTTTGATATCCCAGTGTTTATGGATTAAATGGTCTATACATAAAAGCTATGTAAATTTTCTAATCCACTTTCACACTACAAAAAGGACCACCCCACGGAACATTTCTTTCGGGACTAGAATTCTGGTCACAGATTTTTCATTCATTACCACAATAGGCAAGTATTTTAGCACATTATAAATAATTATACAATAAATACAATTATATTTTATAAAATAATCACACACATACTGCTTATGCAGAAACTTAAACTAAGTAATAAATTACTGAACTCGAGAGTATTTCTGTAGCTTGCACGGTTTTATATTAATCACTGCACACAATAAATAAAGAATTTTTAATATTTTAACATTATCAATATATAAAATATATTAATTAAATCACAGATTCTACGTTCGACGTTATTTTAAAATTTATCTACGTGTCCTTTTTGCCTACTACGAGATATACATTCATGTTATCTTTACCTTTCACATAGACACTACCACGAGGCTCAAATTCGTACATATTAGACAGAACTGGTATACAAGAGGCTCCAACCTGAATGCGTTTGACTACGCCAGTGGAATCCATTCTGGAAGCAATGTTGACAGCATCACCCCAGATATCATAATATAACTTAGTAGTTCCTATCACTCCCGCAGTTACATCGCCAAAATTATACCCGATTCTTAATATAAAATCGAATTCAAGAAGATCCTGATTAAAATTGTCTACCACTTTTTGCATTTCTAAAGCGAAATCCATCAACTGATATAAATGATCATGAGTGTCGCGGGAAGCACGTCTCAGGTCAGGGTTGAGTCCACTGGCGGCCATGAAAGTGCTACCTATAGTTTTAATTTTCTCCACATGTTGAAACTCGGGCCTCTCTAGTAACTCATCAAAATCAGCTATCAACTCGTTCAATACTCTCAAGTACTCCTTCCCTTTCAAATAAGACTCATCGTACATTTCGTTAAAATTAACTATACTGGCAAAGATGATCCCCACGTCTTTGTGATTCTCCGAATACTTGGCCGTATTTTTCAGCTGATCTGCCACATGACGTGGAATAATATTATGTAGCAGCCAGTCGGCCTGATTTCTCATATTCTGAACCCTCTGCTTATCCCGATTCGCAACAACATTGCTATAAAAGCTCAACCGATAGCTTATCTCGAACTCTCTGTTCAAAAACCACACTAACATTAATAACAATGCGACGTCTATGTACAACTCTTTCAAATGCAGCATGTGATGCACTGCGTCTTCTGTTCGTGTGCTATTCACATTCTCTAATAAATAATTCACATTTGTCATATTATCTAGAAAATCTGTAAAATTGTGAGCAAATAATGGTGGATTTACAATATTACGATCTACAATTTGAGTATTCGCTTCGTGGCAACCGAGCAAGGCGAGGAAAAGGAACAGAGCAGCATATAAGGTCACCAGCGTATTTTTAACGAGCCAACACATCTGAGTAAAATTAACAAAATGAACGATGCTAATGCATAAAAGGTAGATGTAAAACGATTGTTCGCCTTTCAAAATCACGACTGTGGAATTTAAGCAAGAGAAATTTATGAGAACGGCTAGAATAGGCAAACTTATAAGCAAACTGCCACACAAATGCCACGGACACCAGTTAGAGCATTTTCTAAATATTTTAACGGAACGCTTCATAGCATTTGTCACTTCGTGGGGATCTGTCTTAGTTTTCCATTTCAGATAATGTCTATAAACACACAGTGACATGGCTAAAACTTCGATAAGAAAAAAGAAGGCAAAGGATATAATGGAATGCCTCCACTCTTTGTACAATATAAATACAGATGTTGTCACAGCTAAAAAAATAATGGCAGACACTAAAATGTCTAAGGCGGTGTTGAATCTTGAGGTGGTTAGAGTCGGCGGAAAGTCTTCACAGTCGTCGCTTCTGTGTGCTTTGTCTCTATAATGTTTCTCCATATCGTTCGCTTTAAAGAACAAAGTAAATCTATTTAACGGGGGTTGTACAAAGTAATTAACTCCTGACCTCGCATTATCTTGTACACAGCGGATCAATTGCAAATCAGATTGTTTGCGCAGTTTCTGTAGTGATTGCACTTGTTGCTCGTTGAGCGGCGGCGGCAAGCGGCATCTCGATGAAAGCTCGTTGAGTGAGGACTGGCTGGAGGTATAGTAGCCGGACACTCTATGCTGCATCATATCAGCTTGGGAAGTAGCGATTGCTGCGTGGTTCAGTGCAAAGATCTGAAATTTAAAACATATTTCACTATCAAGAAAGTACCATCAGTTTATTTAATAAATCAATCACAAGTTATTTCCAATTTCAAGCATTTCATTTCGAATAATACTTATAAAACTTTCATAGACACACTTTTAAACAAAGTAAAAATTATTTAAGGAGTAAGCAAACCCATATTAATTACAGTCTTTGTGTTTGCCGTTTAAACCCGTTTTAACTTTTTAATACACTATTTTATTTGTGAGACTAGACGAAATTAGAAATTTGTATTTAATTAAAAACGATAAATTTACAATATATTACAATGGCATTGTTTTTACTTACAATTTGAATGCACCTAGTAATTTAATTCATCACTATGAAGGTGAAACACTATAAGGCGATTTGTTAATAAATTATTTAGCTCACTCGACGTTTTGAGAGGGTTGCACTAGACGTGGTCACGAGCACACTGAAATAACCTAGTAAACAATCTAATGCAACCTAGTCGATAAGTTCATTTGTTCTTAAGTCGTAAGTCTATTGGTTATTACATTTAAACTTGGATATACAAAAATGGATACAAGGCTTAGTAACATTAAAAAGTGGATAATATTATAAAACATTATGCACATTTAATAATTACTAATATGCCACAAATAATATTAACACAAAGACTGATATTTGGTACAAAAAATAAATTGCTACTCACTTCATTAAAATAATTAACAAAGTAATATCAATTATTAGGCCCAATCGTTTATAAATTTAGGATTTTTATGATTGATATGTAACCAAAACTGTTATTCAATTATGTAAAATAGTAATTGCTACTATTAACGGTTTTTTGGTACTTTAGTAAAATTATAGTATTCGTATTTGCAATAGTACCTACAGAATCTACACTAAACCAATTAATATATACACATATATATTGTAACTGCAACGTGTGTGTTTTTTCACTACCATATTTTATTTTTTATTTATAGCAAGGCAACAGATTACAAATTAATACATTAATAAAATAAATATTATATAAAACAGCATTAAATTTGCACTCCAATAACTGCGAATATACTACTTTTTCCAATTAAATATTAAAGCACTTAACAATTTCTTTTTTTTTTTCAGTAAAATTCACTATTGTTAATATTTGTTAAGATTTTTTTTCTAATAATTATTGATATATCTAGTAAGTAGTATCTTCAGCCATTAAATGTGTATATTTTGATGTTTATAGTGTCTACTATTGTAGGTACAGCAAATTTTTTTTTGTAAATTGATGCATAGAGAATCAAGTTCAGAAATCTATAGCTATAGTATTTATAAAAGCAAACAATTTTCTTAAAGAAACTTGTTAAAAGGATAGAGTTGTTTAGTTATCATGAATACTAAAAATGGCTTTTTATACTTTTTCCGTTACTTATGTACAATTTATGTACATTTTAGTGTTTATTATTTATTATTAGTCATAAAAAAATATAGTCACTTATCTACTGTCTGACCTGCATAAACTAGTATTATCGGGTATACTAGCCTACCTACACAATTTTGATAAACAAAAGTCGTTATATTTATAAGTTTACTCGCGGTAGTTGGCCGGCATACCTTATTATTTTTCATTTATTATACTAACAAGAATACAAACAAGTTAACGAAAAGCACCAATCGTCCCCTACAGACATTTTTCGAGCAACTAGTTTAATATAGCAAAACATAAAAGGGCATTATCCTAAAAGAGATCGTTAGGGGAAACAAATTTACAAAACGATATTATTTTAGATAATAAAATTGCAGCTTCTATGACTATATTACAATGTCAACATTTTTTATCTAAGGAATAGAACACACTTCTTTCCGTTCATCACAAATCGCCCTTTTTATTCCCCTACGCTTGTGCTTCATCAAAATAATTTCTCAAAAGTTTGATGGGGAAGGGACGTTGTTTTTTTGTACCCAATACATAATATACATAAAATGGGTATCGGATCCGGAGCCAGATGCTAAGGAATCAAAAATTATTATTTTATTTTAAACACAATACAATTACAGTTCACAGAGAAATCAAAGGAAAGCATAACAGATAAGAGTTACCATAAGGAACATCCATAATACTATTCATATCTATATAGGCGACGATTACCATTTATCATTACTGTTAGCTGAACTAACAGTTTATCTTGTGATTGAATATTATAAAACAAATATCTTACCTGTTGCTGTATACTGGACCGTCGACTAGTACTTCTGATGCCCGAATCCTTCCTGCTATTCACAGAAGGACAGAGACTGACGGCGTCATCTTGCGGGCGGGGCTGCGGGACCGGCAGCGGCAGGTTCAAGCGACGATCTTTGGGCCGAACTACTTCACCTTGTGCCGTGATTGTGGAGCTTCGAGCGCGACATACGGGAACCTGGCAATCAAATAAGATTGAACTCACATAAACCTTTTTAAACAGCAGATATTTGACTATTTACTCATTCAAGATATTGTTTTACCTTAAATGTATTTATTTTTATAAATTAAATGCAAAATAGAGTTATCAAATATAAACAAAAAATGAGATGAATGGTTACTAAAATCCCAATGAATATCATATAGTCCTATTATTATTATAGATGTATAAGTCTATAAAGATTATAGGAGTTTATCGCTTAAATAACGATATTTATAAACGGTTACCAATATTTAAAAAGATCAGATAACAAATTCACGCAATCAAAAACTTAAGGTAATTTGCACACTATATCACATTTACTATTAACACAAAGGTATTCACTGGCATACTAATAAAATAAAAGGCTGATATATTAATAAAATAAATATATTAATTGTATGTAACTATCTACACGTGATTAATGTTTACCTCTATATTATTAGACCTTCCATATTGAGATCTGTAACTGCTACTTCTAGCAAAAGGAGACATATTGCTTCTCGATTGACTCAAATACGATCGTATATCAATAATTTCCTTTTCAAAGGAAGCCGTGTCATGACTTTGTTGTATATTCAGCTTACTGCCGCTCTGTACAGGTCTGCCACACTTATTGTCTTGAGATTCTATCACAATGGGCACTTGATGATAACCATTATTTGACTGCAAACCAACGCCTTCTGATTCCAGCATATGTAATGCTTTCTCATTCAATTCCTTCTTTATCTCGTGCAAAGGTGTATCTGAATGTTTTCTCAGGAACCTAGGCACTTTCCAATTTTTTAACTTATTCGTGTATTTGCCGTAACTCCCTGAGAAATATCCAAATTACAACTAAACATACATGATCAATAATCATAAAAATAAATTGTGTTACGCTGTAAGTACCACAAGTACCTAATAACATGGACGTTTAAGATAAGAATAAAACTTAAAAAAAAAAACATAGAATACGAGGTCTGTCCGGAAAGTTCGTATAAAAGTGTTCTGGAATGCGAGAAAGAGGAGTGGGGAGGCCAGGTAAGCGCAGGACCCCTTCCTTATGTCCCTAACAATGCTTCAGTTCTGGTCTGACCGCCGTGCAGTGCGAACTGGCTTGTCACGCCATCTGTGAAGTTACCTCTTAACGAAACCCCGTCGGCATGGAGCCCGCTTCCGTTGAAGAGCAGCGCGTCGTAATCAAGTTTCTCTCGAAACTCGGCAAGAATGGCCGTGAAATTTTTGCCGATCTCAGAACAGTTTATGGGGATGATGCTGTGAAGGAACCAACCGTCCACAAGTGGCTAAAAAGATTCAGAGAGGGCCGAGATGTTGATTGTTTTTTTCGATGTTCGGGGGATTGTCCATCAAGAATTCGTCCCTCCAGGCCAGACAGTTGATGGAAAATTCTACGTCGATGTGCTCAGACGCCTCAAAGCTCGTGTGGCACGAGTTCGTCCAGAATTGGCGCGAGAGGGGCGTTGGATTCTTCACCACGACAATGCCCCTGCCCACACCTCTCTTGTTGTCCGTGAGTTTTTGAGTAAAAATTCCATTACGGTGACCGAACACCCCCCCTATTCGCCGGATTTGGCCCCGTGTGACTTCTTCTTGTTCCCAAAAACCAAATTGGTACTTCGGGGGCGGCATTTGGGGGACATAAATGAGATAAAAAAAGCTACGACGGGGCAGCTGAGAAACCTACAACCAGAGGACTTTCAAGGAGCCTTCTCACAGTGGAAACGGCGTTGGCACAAGTGCATTATGTCACAGGGGGAGTACTTTGAAGGGGATAAAATTGATTTACCTGAATAATTGTAAAATAAAATTTTTAAAAAACTTTTATACGTACTTTCCGGACAAACCTCGTATACTATAATACAGTTTGATTTTTATTTGAAATAAGATACAAATTAAACAAGTCACAAAACTGACTTTAAATACATTACGCTCTACAAAACTAAAAAGATGGCATACATTTTATTCGAACAAGTAATCATTTAACACATGGATGTTGTTTGATCTATCGATTATATATACCTATAAGTGATAATTTCAATATTATAGTTATAACAAGTATTTAAACGTTTATTACAAATGACGCAGCGGTGTTATCGTGGCGAATTTATTGGTATACGTTTCCAATTACTACTTCAATTTATTGTGTGAGGAGAAGAAAGGATTTTATTGTTCGAAAACAAAACTAAGTATCTAATTAAGTATAGTAAATAATGAAATTATTCTTATGTAAAAATACAAGTAGAAGGAAAAGGCAAAAAAAACTAGGTTAAATACATTTAAAACTGAGCTTTATCATTTGTATTTCATTTACAAGTACATCAAATAATTAAAGATTTATTAAAATTTTGTTTTCTACATAATAAAATAAATACCATCCGTCCGTATTCAAACCAATTTTATTATGACTTAAAAATTAAAATACTAAACCGATTTTGATGAAATTTCTATAGGACCAATTTGATAGCATATCCTTTCAGATAAAAGATTAATGTTCAAAATTTGTTCATAAATGATAGTTATGAGGTAAAACTAATAAACAGTACCGAATTTAGAACATCCCCTTTTTTGAAGTCGGTTAAAACCAATTAAAATTTTACACTATTTTATACCTGTTTAATATTCAATTAGATGATACGATATATATTTTAGTTTGTAAGGCTTTAGCTGGTATTGTTAATCGAAAACGTAAACCACGCTTTTAGTGAAAACGGTAATCCCTATTGTATTTTCCGAGATTAGAATATACAGAAAACAGACACGAAATACGGCCGAGAGTTTACCCTTAATATGTATTTATATCCTACCATATATGTATAATCAAATCATCAAAGGTCGAGCTATTATTGTAATTCGGCATTAGCGACGCATTCGTACTTTGACCCTAGTTCTAAATTATAACGCGCATAACATTATTATTATATTATATTCGATTTTATTATCATTTCTCTAATCAACTTCAGATGAAAAGCATTGACAAAAATAAACTTAAACATGTCAAAACATAAACACTTATTTGATTGAATCAGGGCACAAAAATTATCTGTTTGCTAGAACAACAGACATTCTTTACACTCTATACAATCTCAAGTCTCGAGGTAAACCAGAGGTCTTCGTGTATAACAAAGCTGGCCTAGAAACTCTTGACACTAGAGGACGCCACTCTCATTCATGTAATAGCAGTAGTACTTTATATACTATGTACCTTTCTTTGAAGGGTAGAATAAAAAGTTTTCAGGCATAATAGATATAATATTTATTTAAATAGATTTATTTGTTTACAAGCTCTTTTCTATCGTTATTTTTTTTTTAATAATTTTATCGGCTCGAGTTCGAATGTTGTTATCTACAATGAAGAATTCGCAAGAAACCTAAATTTGTTTGGTATATCTACTACCCCGACTTATAAAGGTCAAAGATCTTGAGTCGAATCTAGCCGACAACAAAAGCATTGTGTGTCAATTTAAATTTTCGTATAACTCTCTGGTGATTGATAACAATGACAAAATATCAAATAAATCCGAGTGACAGCGGTAGGATTGTCCCCTACCACGTTCGATTTTAATATACTCGCCAAATTGTGGGTGTGTCAAGTTCATTCATCACAACGGCAACGGTAGATAAATGCGTCTAGCTTCCCCCTTAGGGATTATAGTTTTATGCAATTTTTGTTTTATTTAATACAATAAGTTCGGTATAATAACTATAATCAATATTATATATAGTATTTATTAGTGTATAAGTATTTAAATTAAAATTTAACATGGCCAGACCAGTCTCAGGTTGGAATATTTAAACAGCTAAGAGGCAACAATATAGCCGAATTTGTCGTTTATCGTTAAGAAAATCAATAAAATATGGGGAATATTCCTTCCCTCCACAATTAGATCAAAACTGTCAAAGCATGTTGGTTAAAGCGACGTGCCGATAATTATTCCTAAGGAAACAATATACTAAAATAAAATTTGTTTCAACATTTTATTTTGAAGAGATTTTTTCAGTATTTCTGTGTATTTTTAAATTTATCATAAAATTGTTATAAAGAGTCTTTTATAAAATTATTATAACAAAAAAATATTATGTAATGATTAATTATTTGAATGTAATATACGTACCTACATAGGTAGTATTTCTTTTATTAAAAATAATTAAAAGAAATGTGTTATTTGTATTTAGCTATATTTATAAAACACAATGTATAGATCGTGTTTTAAAACATAATTTAACCGTAAAAAAAATTTACTTGTATATATTAAAATCGACTTCAAAAAAGTATAATTTATTTCGTTATTGCACATTACAGTATTAACTATAAACAAAGTTAAAGATAATTGTCTATCCCGAGTCATACTGTATTGCAATTAGTTATATCAGATTCATTTTTAAATTAGCCGGACAACACCGAAATTAATAATAATAATAATAACTAAAACGTGTACTAAACATTTTATAATTTTTAAAAGTTGTGGTGGGGAATTAACCAAAATAACTCTATTCAAATAACCAACAAAATCTATTCTATACAGGAAAAAATTGCGCATCTTTACAAGTGATAACATTATTCTGTTGTGAATTGAAGATGTTCATAATAATAGTACATAAAGGCAGAAATACGGGAAATATTTCATGTTATTAGTAAATCACGTTTTTACTGCTTTATTACTTATATGTAATACATGATATTAATAATTAATTTATCCAAATTAGTCAATCACGTGATTTAAAGTGTAAATTTTTCGATCATATCATTTTGTTTAATTTACATATAACATTTCTGTTTATGATCGTTTCAATTAATGGCACCGTGATGTGACGGGAGCATCACCTTTAGTGGCGAGGAGTCATATTATATCTTATCTACGACTTCTGCCTTCTACCACTGATAACTAAGAGTTTTCCACAGTTCAATACATAATCAGCGTGGTCAAGTAAACAAACGAAACAGATATAGACTGTACATCGATCGACGCGCCAATCCTCGAACGTGTGCACAACATTAATTTTATGACCTCGTCCCCGGTTAATCTTGCTCACACTACAGTTCCTTGTTCTCACAAAATCTTTCTAAATTATATTATATAAAAACACAAATTATCAAATATTATCACAAATATATATACTTAATTAATTAAAAATATTTATCTAATAACGAACAAAAATAAACAAATATATATTATCCTGTGTTATTATTAGTAAAAGATGTGACAACAAAAAACACTTACCGACAGACGTTGGACTTTTAGAAGAACCATCGTTTCTATCAATAAATCTCTTTTCCCGTTTCTCTTCCAACTCTGCCTCTGAATCCAATATGCTTGGCAGCGAACTAGCTTTAGCACGAAAGTTGAATGGATTTGGTGATAAAAAATTACTGGAATCTCCCGTCCGAGGGCTGCCTTTCGTATCACTCAAATGTAGTTCTCTTGAAGCTAGAGGAACAGGAGAATTATTGAAGGATAGGACTGACTGCGGGGAAGCTGCAGGAGATATAATGAGGCGTAAGTTAACGGGATTGGAAGGTGTGAGGGAGTGATCATTGTTGTATGGAGAATACAGTTGCCGGCCTTCTATGAAGTATGTTTTATGACCTAAACATAATTTTAGACATTACACATACATTCAAATTTTGAACGGATATAAAAAAGTATATATATAAATATAACCTACCAAATACTTCTTCACCTTCTTCTAAAACATAAGAACCTCCAAGGAATTTGCTAGTTTCCTCTGATATATGAACACGTCCCGGTCTTCCAGTGGATTCCATTTTATTGGCAAAAGTTACATCATTACTCCATACGTCAAATTTAAATCTCCGGGTACCCACTATACCACACAAAACTGTGCCAGTATGGACACCCACTCTCATATTAATTCCTTCACCTCGCTCCCTATCAAATTCTTGTATAGCCTCTATCATCCCTAAAATTTTAATATTAATAATAAAAATCTGAATAAACTCTAGTTACAGTTAACTATTTAAATTTTTTGACTTACCTAATCCCATTTCAACACAGCAAGTAGCATGATCTGGTCTAGGTTCTGGGCAACCTGATACACAGTAATAACAATCACCTAAAGTTGATATCTTTTCACATCCATGCTTCTGACAGAGTTCATCAAATTTTTCAAATAGATCATTTAGAATGTTCACTAATTCTTCAGCACCTTTATTGCTGGACATCTTTGTGAAACCAACAATGTCCGCAAATAAAATACTGACATTGTCCATTGAACTCATGTTAAAAGGTCTAAATAAAGATTTAATATCTGATGCTCCTGGATTTGAATTTCTAGGATTTAGTGGATCATTATTCTTTAAGTTTGTATCGGATTCCAGTACTTGCTCTTCCATCAACCAACTGGCAAGTTTGGGTGGCATTACTGAATGTATCATTTTCTCTTTCAATTGTTTCTCCATTTCTAACTGCCTCCTCACTAATAAACTCTGTCCTACTTTCATAAATGTACCACGCATTCTCACAAATGTCATAAGATAAATATGGACACCAATTATGTGCACACACAGTTGAAGTAATATTCTGACAAACATTCCAGGACTTTGCCATTGCTGTTCAGTCAAATGCAGGAATATGTTTAGAACTTCAAATACTATAGAATACAAAAGACCAATGATAACACAAACATACAATGGCAATGGTGTCAGTGTATATATAATCAGAAGAATTTCAATACACATAGTGAAATGTCCCGACTGGCTAATATCAGCAGCCTGAGTGGAATCTACTTGGAGCTGTGTGGTCAGAGTCACTAATGAGAGGCTAAGTGTACACAGAGCAAGTGCCATGACCAAGGACAGTTTGAAAGTATACACCCTATAAATATTTGTAAAAGTAACAAATAACATGACAGATGTTATCAAAAGGACCCCAGCAAACATTGAACATAAAAATGGCCATTTGACTGTCACGCCATTTAAGCCAAGGCCCACAAAGTAGACAAACCATGATATAGAAAATATCAAAATGTATAAAAGTGCAAATCTGAAAAGGAGAAAATAAAAACATCAAGTATGCTCATAAAACATTCTTAAATTTAATATATAACAATCACATCAAGTCATGCAGGATTGAATATTTATTATACATAGTTATTATAACTTACCTGAATCTTAACCTTATTTGCCTAAAGGAACTACTTCGATATTGACCTTCAAGTATTTCTGAATCAAATCTGGGGTTCCACCATGTTCCTGGTGCTGCCCTCTCAAAGGCAATAGGTATAGCAAGCCCACAACAATTTGTGGTGGAATTGTTATGTGCCAAATATGCTTGCACATGTGGTGCCAAGCGAATTTGAATATCATCACCTTCTGAACAGTCCACATCATGTCTGCCATCAAATTGTTGTGACCCATCACTACAGCTTACACATCCACTTGGTGCACTCATTGTTTACAAAATATGTTAGATTCCATTTTAATAATATGATATCATCATTATTGTTTGTTTCTAACCTGTATAATATACAAATAATAATATTTATATTTTTATAAAATCTTTAGTAAGGGACAAAATAAAATGTATTAATACATAAACAGGATTCACTAGATCATTCTTATACTATTCCTTAATGATGAACCACTAAGATTAAGTTAGATTTAACATAAACAATAATTATCACCCCACCCAAAACAGTCTAAAACCACCTACAGCTATCAATACCTTGGAATCATTGTAACTATATTAATGGGTAATTTTCTTAATCTACACAATCCAAAGCCTGTGTTCTAAATAAAAAAGATAAGTAGTTATCATCATTTATTTTTTACAAAAACTTTAATTTAATATATATACCATAGGAAAGGAAAAAATACAGTAAAAAGTACTTAATGCTAATTAAAATAAATGGGTTTAGGCAGTTATAAGAATCTATAAAATTATAAAATATAACATAAATTGTACTATGAGAACTGAAAAAAATTAACAAAATATTAAATAATGAATACAATATTTAAATAATCAATATAAATTAATGGATTTTAATAACATTTAATGTAAGATTTCGTTATTTAATTCATCAGAGAATTCAACACTCAAATTATTCAAATTATATCTAAATTGGTGTTGTTACCAAAGCATTTAATTCGTGTAAATTATAACTCGAATAAAAAACTTCTTATAATACAAGAAAGGGATATTTTGCCAACTTTAAAATAAATTTAATCCACCATACCCAAGGTTTATTTACTTTACCACAAATTATTAAATCATAATGTTGTTATCAAAATATTTAATTCATGCAAACTATAAATTGAGTATACAACAATTTATAATATTTTACAGGAAAGGGAGATTTTGCCTACCTTATAATAAAATCAATCCACTATCCCAAGGATAACTTCACCACAAATTATTAAATCATATTTTGTCATTTATGTAATGAACTTTGTAATACCGTCGACCCTCTGTTTATGTGTAGAGATATTTGTTCTTGCATTTCTTAAATACGATAAAAGTCTACTTCAGAAATGAATGATAAAAAATTCACAGACAAAACCAAACAAAATTGTCAAACAAAAATACCTACTACACCACAGATCAATTAAAGAGTAGGTAAGTAATAAACTGCACTGTCAGTGTCAGCTCTGCGTCAGCTGTTCGTCAAGAATTAATGGTACATCACAGATTAAAGATAGTAGATACCTGCGAGAGAATATAAAAAAATATTAATAGAAATAGATATAGAATATAACAATATTTTCGAAATTAATTAATGCAAAAAATGAAAGTGAATCCGAAAATGACTGGAAATAGAGACACATGGAAGAGAAAACCATTTGCATCAACCCCAAATAAATATTTAAGTAGGTACTTAACTTTGAACTTACCTAGATCAGTGAAATAATTAGGTACTCATTTTTTAAACGCATTTAAAAAATTTATGCATCGTGCTGTTCTTTGACAATTAACAATCGTTTGCTAGTATAGGGAATGCTGATTCCCTATAAGAGAAAATAGTTACAACAGTTCAAAAATTGTGTTCGAACATCACTTTCGGCATAGATATTTAAACATTTTACTGATGTTATTACATACACATATCACAGCATTTCAGCCATTATCCGTCCACTGCTGGACATAGGCCTCCCCCATAGACTATCATAAGGAACGATCCTGAGCCACCCGCATCCATTGACTTCCTGCAATGCATTTGAGGATAGGGTGGAAAGGGATTGTTAGTAATGCAGACTATCAATTCCATTGCTAGCAATATACCCTATCAGGTCGACCTCCCTGTGGTTCCTCCTGGAGACTATCGTGCTGAATTCCAGGTGTATTCATTACAATGAGCTAACTGACCTGTTTTTTCATCTTCACCTATCATCCTTCACTCGTGTCCCGCCAAAGTATACCGTTAGCGCAGGCGGGGTTACCATTCCATTATCATCCATTAAAAAAAATGCATTTGATGCCATTACTCCATCTAGTGCAAGGTCGTCCTACACTGCGTTTATCTGTACGAGGTCGCCACTTAAGATTCTTTCTTTCCCATCGGTTGTCGGTTCTTCGAGTTATGCGACCAGCTCATTGCCACTTCAACTTGCTTATCCTTCGGGTTATGTCTGTTACTTTGATTCTTTGTTTAGAATTCTATCACGCAAAATGACTCCGAGCATAGCTCTTTCCATAGCCCGCTTAGTAATTTGAAGCTTTTGCATACGAGCAATTGTGTATGATCATGTTTCGGTTCCATAAGTAATCACTGGTATCTCGCTCTGGTTACAGACCTTCATCTTCAAACTATGAGGTATTTTGGATTAAAAGATGTGGCGTAGTTTTTCGAACACTGCCCAGTCGAGTTGGATTCATCCGTTGATCTCTCGGTCGAAGTTAGACTTACCTATTCGGACAACTTATCCTAGGTATAAATATTCGTCGACAACTTTGAGCGTAGTGTTAGAAATCCTAACCAGTATAGGTGTGACATAGACATTAGACATGATTTTAGTCTTGTCCATTTTCATCCTAAGACCTACCTATTGAGATTCTCAATTTGAGAAGCATCACAAGCATTGAGCATAGTATTCAAATCCTCCAGGGATTCCGCCATGATTATTGTATATCTCAGTGTATCTCAAAATTTCAGATGCAGCAGAAATTATATCACCGGTGTCGGTCCTCAACTTTGTGAATTGGCTACGCCCAATAGCCGAATCTCTGGCGAACACTTTGGAACTTTGTTTCCGCTCTATTGCCTGTTCAATATATACATACATACTATACATTGAACTGGCATATGTCACGCCTTAAACATTTGGAGATTTGCCTATTAAACTGCTTATATTCCGACGTAAATGTTAAAGACTGGGACCATAATTCACGTCATTTCTAGTTCTAGAGTGCGATCAGAGAGTTTTTGGGTTTTTTTTTTTGAGCGTTGGGGCTTGCAAAATTTAAATCCTACTGTTTGGACTACCAAATCAAATACTATTAAATGAGCGGTTATTAATATTTCGGGCTAAGAGCATCCTTTTTATGCACATAAATAGACAGAATGATGATGATAAAAAAGGGGTGTTACAAGTTTGACGTGTCTGTGTGTATCTCTGTGGCATTGTAGCTCCTAAATAATTTGATCGATTAATAATGTGGTTTCTTTTTTGTTTGAAAGCTAACGTGATCGAATTGGTTCTTAATTACAATTTATAAAGATCTGTTCAGGTGTTTCGGGGGTTACTTAAAATAAAATTATATCACCGATGTCGGTCTTCAACTTTGTCAGTTGGTTTCACCCAATAGCCAAATCTCTGGCGAACATTGAAGCATTGATTCCGCTTTATTGCCTGTTCAATGCATACAGTATTAAACTGGCATATGTCCGTTTATTAAGCTGCCTATGTTCTGACGTAGATGTTAAAGCCTAGGATCATAATTCACGCCATTTCCTTTAAGATCTAGAGTGCGATCGGAGAGATTTTCGGTTCTTTTTAAGTGTTGGCGCTTGCAAAATTTAGCTCCTACTACTTGTACAATTTTCACCAGCTTATTGTTAATATCGTCCGCTGTTTCACAGTTCATCAGGCGCTGATTTGACAATTCAAGTTGAAAACTCTTGGGGTTTTTCATAAGAGCATACAAAGGTCGAAACGTAGACTTCATAAGACGAAACCTCTCCAGCTAAACACTTATGTTTAATGTGCTTCTTACCATTCGGTGATCACTTCCGGTTTTCAACCTCTTGATCACCGAGACATCATTGAACAAGTAGCGAATGAAATGCTCACTCTTTTTTTATTTACTTGTTACCTATTCTGAAAAATCTTACTAATGTAAGGAAAATAAATCTAGTGGAATTCGTCACAATGGGTTAACTGACCTGCTTTCATCGTCATAGCTTTCATCTATCATTCCTCACTGTGATCCCGATAGCGCAGGCGGGATAACCATTCCATTATCACCCATTAAAAAAAATGCAAGAAATAGTTTATATCTTTTTATATTTATTTATAATATAAACATAAAAATTTATAATTCAGTAATACTATTAGTTAACATTGTATTGACTAATCGCGAAGCGTAACTTGATCGATTATTAATATGACTATTTTTGACCTAAGAGTATTAATTTTTAAATTTTATCAATAACTAAATGTTTAGAAATAATATAATAAAGAATTTGATAAATTTTATTTAAACAGTCTGCCGGAATTAATGCTTGTTGTAAAATATAATATGAATTAAGTTCTTAAGAAGTGCAGGTCAAGTAGTCTTCGTTTTTTTTATGGATGATAATGGAACGGTAACCCCGTTACGCTATCGGTATATGATAGCGGGGCATCAGTGATAAATGATAGATAAGAATGAAAGCACCTCAGTTAGCCCTTCATGATGAACTCTACAAGACTTAACTGTGATGGTTTCCAGGCGGAAACGCGACGGTCGACTTAGCAATATACCTGCTAACGCATTAACAATCCCTTACTCAAATCAACAAATTGGTTCAGTACTTTAGCTTGTAGATAAAAATAACTGGTTTCGCCATAATTGAAGTCTTTTTTGTGGAACACAATCTTAAATTATTTATATATATTTATTTACCAAAAATTAAACTATAATTTTAATAATTAAAGTAGTTTATTAATAACACCATAAACGATTTAAAAAATATATTTGTAGGTAGAACCTCTACATTATTGACTATATTAGCACTAAATACTAATTCCCTTATTCATAAAAAAATGAAATCCCTCATAAACCTATTTTAGCTATTGAACTGTTTTGTCTCTTTCTTTTTTACTAAATTAAAATTTAGAAAGAAACTGACAAAACATTGTAATAATTAAAATAAGTTTGTAGGTTTTAGTTTTTATGAATAAGGAGGTAAGTAGGTTATGTCTCTACCTACATATATTTAACAATTGTAGCATAGATATTGCTATTACACAAATATGAAACCATATGTTTATTAAGGTATCCACTTGTCTGACACAATAATTGATTAAGACTCACTTGCGTGATGATAGAAATTAACTTACCAATTTAAAATAAAACAGACTATTAAGTGCACCCCCAATAACTTCTTTTGGATTGTCTCTTGTAAAAGATAACCTTTTTCTTCATCAGAAGGGGTACTGTTCGATATCTTGCTCAGGAGCACCAGATACAATTAGATTGGCACGGACAATAGTTTAATCTTATTATATTCACTTAAACCAATTAAAAAAATATAAATTGAAACATATGCTTTAAAGACTTCAGAGTGTTCTCAATGTCACAGAACACAGTTTACATAAATCTTGAAGGTCGATTTAGGTATAATAAGTACATAGGCGAGACATCCACTGGGCTGTGTTTGAGATATTGTATATTTATACAGTACCTCACTTCTCTGGGAGTTAAAATAGCCACTTTAGATAAACCATAACATATATATTCAAAATAGTTTATCAACTTGATAAGAACGGGCTTTTATCCATGGATCTTTAATACACAGACATATAACAAATATATTTAAGTAATAAGAAACATTACAGCATCCAACAGGATGCTATATTAAGAACTTAAAATTGTATTTTAAAACCAATTTTGCAACACAAATACAATAAATCAGTACAAAAACCACCCAAGCAAACTTTAATCAAGCACATAACACACTTGTGGATTATTGCAAATGTTTAAAAGTTTTAGTTAATATACTAAAACACAGTACAGTACACAAAGATAAAATCAACTTGTTACCTATGTAATTCCTATTTTACTATTGTTATTGTCTGGAAAAAAAAAATATTTATGTTAAATTTATTATATACAAAAAATCTTATTAATTTAAATATAACTAGTTATTTTTACATTAATCCAATCTATCAGTTGTATTTAATATTCCAATTGCCTTCTTAAAGAATGCAGTTGGAAAATCAATAAAACAATTGATCTTTTATTTAATGAATATAAAATTTGATGCAGAGAGCTTTGTCTCATATCTTTAAACTATTCAAAATAGTATGACCTTATTTATACTATTAGAAATAATGTAAGTGTTATAAACATATTTTTGGTAACTAAACACTTATATATAAAATCATAACAATGATATAATATCAGAATAAATCCTGTTAATATCACAATAATTTTTAATATCTAAAGGAAGACAATATACAAATTTTAATATGAAGTATTGTAAATTTTATCAAAATATTATTACAAAACATTTTTAGTGATTTTTCTACAAGGCACACAATAAGCACCAATAGACACAGATTTTGCTATCTCACATTCACTATGTCACATTGTCATTTTTATAAAATTACTCTTCTTCAAAGGACAAAGTTTCATTTATATTTATTTATTGTCAACTGTTCTAAAAACACTATCAAGACTTAACGTAATGAAATAATGTGAAAATTTAAAGTTAACTAAAAGATCTAAAGTTTAATAACTATATGGATTTCAGATAATATCTACTTAATCCTTTATACCTTGATCAATTTCAATAGTTTCATTAACAACAACTAGTAACAACTGTTCTGCAAATTACTAATAACATCTTTATGAAATATATTTAATCATTATACATGCCATCAAGCAAAAAGTCCATTCTTTTATAATGTCTGTTTTTCCAAGCTTCATGACCACGTCGCAATGCCATATAGCCAAGTACTACAAATAATGGCACTGTTAATACAGTTATAACAATAGGCATTATCAAATCAGGGCGGCTAGCATTCATGGACTGAAATTTCTTATTGATATTTGGATTGGGTATTTGATCAATGATTACAGATTCTGAAGAAGATTTGATTGATACTGATTCACTATTAGTATGCTGTTCTATTTCTTCAAGAGCTTCATAAGATAGGACGGTAGGTTTCAATGGTATTGTAGAAACATTTTGTATAACTGGAACATTATTTAGTTTTTCTGTTGCTTCATGATCTTTCTTCATATTACCCTTTGAAGAAGCAGAAACTGTTATGTTGAATTTATTTTGTACAACATCTTTTAGTTCTTCTGTTGAATTGAAAGAAAGAATATCTTTATCTTCTAAAGGTGGATATTCAACTCCTTTACGGGCTACAACAGGGCGTTCTTTGTTTTTACCTAGTTCTTTATCTACACTAATAAGATTAGTATGATTTTCTTTGAACTGTGTTAAAGTTGACGGAATGGGTGAAATTGGGCCACCTTCGCTGACTATTTTAGGACTATTTGAATCATCTTGATCTGATTGTTTTGCAGATGGTACATTTTTACTGGTATCATATTGAGTAGAATTCTTCCCATAAACTAAATTACTAAATAATAATATAAAAAACAAATAACTCAGTAACATTTTCTTAATAACTCACTACAAGTTAAAGCAAAAAAATTATAAAATGTACAATAAAAAATATTAAACAAAATAAAAATAAAAGTTAGTTCCACAGATTAAACACTATATTCCTTCAAATTAATCCACCCACTTCATTGCATGCATGACAGCTTGACATTTTTTCTTTTTTAATAAATGACTCGTTAAAAAAATTAAAAAACGGCAAAGAAACTAAACAAGGGATCAATCATGAAATGAAATACCGAATTTTTGCACTCAATTTCATATATTCTTTTATAACGAAATCGATCCAGTAAATAGAGCTTAACAATTCGTTCGTTTTAAATCTATCATAAAAATCCAATTCAGCGATATTTTTACATTTTTAATATTTTTAAACGGTATGTATTACGTAATGTTAATATGAAATTTGTGTCTCGTTCGGCCCCGTAATTTCAGAAAACATTTCATCATGACCTCTCTGATCTTCAGACAAAGAACGCTTAAAATTATAGTTCACGAATAGCTTAAATCTAACTTTTGGTAGGTATCTATCTATGTAATTTATCTATACATATACGTTTTTTTGACGTTGATTAAAGATTAAATTATTGACTAGTCTATCTAATCTGTAATCAGTATGCCCTGTGGCAAATTGGTGCCGTTTTGGCACATTCATGTCGTTTTGGCAGATTTCGCTCCGTAAGAACAAGGAATTACATAGAAGGAATGATAAAATAAAAACTGTAAATCATATGGTTGCCTCCTTTCTTCTTATGCAAATATAATTAGTAAAAATAGAACGAGACATACACCATCAATTACTATTTTTTTTCAATTCTAACAGGTTAGTGTATAAAAAATGTACATATAAAATTTTTGTTCATTTACATTACTAGATTATATATTCGACACAGTTTATATAGAAAGTATACAAGCAGGTTGTATCTGAATTTGGTAGGGTTATACATTACGGCCGTATAATATTTTTACTAGAATATATTAATAAGAATATTAATATGATTAGAATATACAAAAATAAGGAATAGATTCCTAAACCAACATGTTTCAGCTATAATTACCACAATAGAGGGATAAAGGAACACGGACACTGTATCTCCTTTAAACCAACTAAAAACATGATCAAAAAAATATCTTCAAAATGTATGTACTTGAAAAATGAAGACGAAAATTTGGAGGCAAATATTGATGCGTGAAGTAAAAATTTTTGTTGATTAAAGAAATTAAATTGAATTCATTGTATATTTTTTCAACATTTCCTTGTAGGCATATTTTGATATTTTGACGACAAGTGTAGCAGATTTTGACACATTTTTTTTTGCCCAGTCTGTGGCAAGTTCGCTATTAATGATATAGTCACACTGTTTATGATTGACATTCTGGGGGGAAGTTGAACTGAGCGGGCGATTTAAATTTTCTCATTTTTTATTTTCAATTTTATTTTTAAATATTTTGTATATTTGTATATTAAGTACTTTTGTAGACAGTTTGTAATATATAGCAAAGAAAATGAGTGTAAGTAGCGACGGGGGAGACCCCGTCGACATTGGAAGGAAAAGAAAAGGTCAGGCAAAGAAACGTAAATTAGCATTTAATGATTCAGGACTTTCTGATAATTATAAAATGTACACCAAACCAAATTACAAGAGACAGTTCCCAGAAAATCACAGTGTTGATTGTGTAGTATATGTAGAATCAACGGAAGACGAAAAATTAGGGAATAAAAATCCTATGACTTTGACTAAACTATTCACAGAAAATGTAAAGGGTATCGTAGGAGTTCATCGAGTGAACGCCTATAAAATTGGCATCACGTTCAGGAAACCGGCACCAGCAAATAATTTTCTTAAAATGGACCATTTTTTGAATAAAAATAAATTTCGAGCTTTTGTACCCGCATATTTATCAGAAAAAACCGGCGTTATTCGATATGTACCGACAGATATGTCCAATGAAGATATATATAAAAATATTAGCTGTGACGCAGAAGTAATTTCTATTAAACGTTTTATGAGAAAAGTAGATGGGATCCTTACACCTTTAGGTACAGTTGCTGTCACATTTGCAGCAACAACATTGCCACAGTATGTCTACATTCAGTTGTTCAGATATCCTGTGCATACTTACATTCCACCATTAGTTCAATGTTTCAAATGTCTAAAATTTAACCATTCAGCCAAAGTTTGCCGAGCCGTACAGATGTGCTCATCGTGTGCTGGTCAGCACTCGTATAAAGAATGTGATGTTGACACGATAATGTGTATTAATTGTGGTGGCAATCATCTAGCTATTTCTAGGAATTGTCCCATTAAAAGGAAGAAAATGGAAGAGAAGAGGAACAAGTATCTCAATCTTAGTTATGCCACTGTTGTGAGTATACCTTCAAATGTTTCAGAGTCAAAAAATTTTCCAAATCTGGAAAAATCCAGTAATGTATATAGCTCTCAGTTAAATTCAAATGTAAATAAATCCGAATTAAATAAAGATGAAATTGTAAATAATGATATTATAATTAATGCTCTCGTTAAATCTCTTGTTGCTCTTGGGAACAACAATGAGAAAATGTCAATAACTCATAAGAAAATTAAAGAAATATTATTGTCTAATTTAACTTAGTTTTATGGATACATATATAAACATAGCACAATTTAACATACAAAGCTTACAGAGTAAAAAAGTTCTGTTACAAAAATATCTTACTGAACAAAATATTGATATATGCTTACTTAATGAGACATGGTTTAAAAGTAATAGTAAAATTCCTAGGTTTGCATCATATAATTTTATTTTCAAAAATTCTACAAATCCACACAACGGAATTGGTATATTAATTAAGAAAAATTTTAAATATAATATTATTAATACTACTTTCTTTGAAGCTGTTCAAAATTTATGCATCTCAATAGAAACATCTATCGGTAAATTACATATTCTGTGTGTATATTGTCCCCCTAGTGGAAAGTTTCACACCAATAAAATTAAAAAAGTACTTCTGGATACTCCTAAACCATGTCTCATTATGGGTGATTTCAACGCACATCATATTTTGTTTGGTTGTAACACAAACAATAGTAGAGGTAATATTATGTTCAGTCTTATAGATGAATTCAATTTATATGTGTTGAATGATGGTAGTCCGACTACTATTCCAGTCTCAAACAGGCAAGCATCAGCAATAGATTTAGCTTTAGTTAGTCCTTCAATGTCTCCTCTTTGTGAGTGGAAAGTCCATGATGACACGATGGGCAGTTATCATTATCCGACTCAGGTACGTGTAAATGTGAAGCCATCAATATATGAAGTTAGACCTGTGGAAGACAAATATTTATATAATAAAGCAGATTGGTCTAAGTATTACAGTTTATCTGAAATTAGTTTTTCTCACTTAGACATTTATAACAGTACTGAACCTTTACAGTTATATAATGATTTTGTATATATTTTATATAATATAAGAGATAAGACAGTTCCTAAACAAAAGTTAAAACAATCTTTCCAATTTTTGAGAAAACCAGCTCCTTGGTGGAATGACATTTGTGATGATGCTGTTCAAAAGTCTAAAGAAGCCCTGAGACAGTACAGAAATTCTCCATCAATTTCTAATTTCATAAATTACAAAAAAGTTGATGCTAAAAAGAAAAGAATTCTAAGGGAACAACGCACAGAGTCATGGCATCAGTTGTGCACCAGTTTCAATAGAACAACACCTATTTCTAGAATATGGAGTTACATCAAAAGGTTTAAAAGATTAGATAATACTTCAAATAGAAACCCAAATGATGAATGGATACCAGAGTTTTTAGACTCATTGGCAGCATCATCACATTTACAAAATGATATAACAGATATTTTGAATCTGTCTGAAGAAAATGCTAGTAACTCATTTATTAATAAACCCTTTACATTACATGAGTTCCACATTTCACTAAAAAGTCGGAAAGATACAGCTCCAGGGTTGGATGGTATAACATATTTTTTAATTAAACAATTACATCCTAATGCAAAGAAAATATTATTAGATATATATAATAAACTTTGGGAATATTCAATTATACCAGAATCTTGGAAAACCCAGTGTGTTATCCCTATTCTAAAACCCAATAAACCTGTAAATTGTGCATCATCATATAGACCTATCTCCTTATCTTCATGTTTAGGTAAACTCTTTGAAAACATGTTAAAATTTCGTTTGGACTACTATGCTGAATCACAAGATAAGTTGCCAAATATACAGTTTGGATTCAGAAAGGGCAGAAGTTGTTCTGAAAGCTTTGTATCATTAATATCTGTGTTAAAAAAAGCAAAATTAAGTCACTCTAATGTAGTATGTGTATTCTTAGATGTTAAAGGTGCTTTTGACAATGTGAATATAGAATGTTTAATTCATGTGTTGCATAACTTGGGTTTGCCAAGTAAAACATTAAAGTGGCTTTTTAGTTTTTTAAATAATAGAACTGTTTTTGTTAAATATAATAACATTTTACATGGAGCAAAAAATGTTAACAAAGGGACTATGCAAGGGGCCACATTGTCTCCTTTATTGTATAGTTTGTACACATCGGAGATCCTCAACTATGTGGATAATTCAAAAGTTAATATTCTTCAGTTTGCTGATGACCTGCTTTTATATAGTGAAGATCAAAATTTAAATATGGCCATTAACAACATTAATTCTGCATTATTTCAGCTTCATAATTACTATAGCAATTTTTTAAAATTAGAAATCAGTTCAGAGAAAAGCTCAGTTTTGGTATTTAGTAGAGAGAGAGATCCATCTGTATTATCCAGAGTGAAAGTTTTATATAACAATAAAGTAATCCCAATTGTTAATCATCATAAATTTTTAGGTGTAATATTAGATGACAAATTAAAATTTGATAAACACATTAACTATATCTCCCAAAATGCAATGAAAAGTGTAAATGTTTTGAGATGTCTGGCTGGAACTTTTTGGGGTTCTGACCCTAAAACTCTAAATTTGCTATATAAAAGTATTGTTAGGAGTCATTTTGATTATAGTAGTTTGGCTTATATGAATGCTAGCACCACATTGTTGAGGAGACTCGATGTGATACAGAATATGAGTTTAAGAATAATTTGTGGAGCCATGCGCTCCACTCCTATTAATTCTATGGAGATTGAAAATTGCATACCTCCATTATCCCTCCGACGTTTACATTTGGCTCAACGTTTCTGTTTGAAGGAATTGTCTTTCAATAAAAATATGGTCCTTAATAATATTATATATCCAGTAGAATTTTCTTCTGTTGTATCCTCCAATATCTCAGCTTCCAGCATTGTTTCTAACCCCTTGCCTGAAATTCCAATCATAATGTTAAATGTTAAAAATACAGCAAATCATATTTATGTAAATGCTAAATGGCCAATGTACAAATGTCCTTACAATTCATTGCTTAACTATCTAGATATTAAATGTTATATAGACTTAGTACATAACAAATTTGATTTTCTTGAATTTTTGAATAAGAAATCACATTTCTATGTAATCTATACTGATGGTTCTAAAAGTGCAAACAGTGTTAGGGCAGCATATTATGATCCACAAAAGAAACTCACAAAATGTATTAAATTAGATAAAAATTGTAGTATCTTTACAGCTGAAAGTTATGCTATTCTAAGTGCTTTAATATTTGTAAATAACTTTGTAAATAATGTAAATATATTAATAGTTTCTGATTCCAAGAGTGTATTGGAATCTTTATGTAATTGTAATTACTCATATAAGCAAAATTATTTACTTTATGAAATTAAAGATCTGTTGCGAACATTGAGTCAGAGTAAAAACATAGAATTTGTGTGGGTACCCTCGCACAGTGGCATACTAGGGAATGAAATTGTGGATCGAGCAGCTAGTCGAGAACACGATGAGGATCACTCGGAAATGTTGAAAGTTCCGTTCACAGATTATTACCGACTACTTAAAAGTAATTTAGCAAAAATATGGAAAGACCATTGGGATATAACAACTGAAACTAAAGGTAAATGGTATGCGGAGTTACAGAGAGACTTACCAATTAAACCTTGGTATAGCAAATTTAAATACTGCGGCAGGAAGTTTATTACGATCATCAATCGTTTTCGTTTCGGGCATTGCTTAGTTCCAGTTCACCTCAACAGACTCAATATTATTAGTGACAATAAGTGTAAATACTGTTTTCAAGACAATGCAGACATAAAACACATTATATTTGACTGTCAAAATTTCAACATTCAACGGCTGATACTTGTTAGTGATATTAGTGACATTGCGAAGGAACATTCACAATGCGTTCCCCGCCGCGTTCAAGATTTATTATCCAACGAAGCTTATTTTACGTCTGTTTTTAACTTCATTACTAATACTGTAGATAAAGTCTAAGAATTTTTTATGTTATCAATATTGTTAATTGCGTTTATATAGTAATTTGTTCTACATTCCTTTTTTTTGTAAATATCATTTATGTCTGCGACTGAAGGACTTGTATCCATGGTCATGAATAAATTAAAAAAAAAAAAAAAAAAAAAAAAATTGACATTCTGGATGACATTGATAAATGAAAATTAAAAATTATTCTTTTAATTTTTCATTATACGTTTATTGTTATTGTTTGAAAGTTATTCAAATGAATATTTAAATTCAAAATGAGAACCCGCAGTAATTCTGGGGTTCGACTTGATTATTATCAAAGAGTCGTACATAAACTAATTTTAGACCATCAGCAACCAGTAACGGGATTGTTTCCAGCTAGCCCACATAATGATCATGCTTGGATCAGGGATAATTTATATTGTATATTGGCAGTATGGGGACTATCGATGGCCTTCAAGAAAATTGCTGATCAAGACGAAGACCGTGCTAAAACGTATGAGTTAGAACAAAGCTGCGTTAAGCTAATGAGAGGTATTATATGTTTCATAATACATTAATAAATTAATATTAAGTAATATACCCTCTTAGACAATGAAGATACTTTAATTTTTTTGTAGATGTTCGTTATACACAATTTTTTTATCCTATTCTTGCAGGGCTTCTAATGGCTATGATGCAACAAAAAGATAAAGTAGAGAAGTTCAAAAGCTCACAGAACCCACTTGATTCGCTTCATGCCAAATATTCATCAGCTACAGGCCGTACTGTTGTTAAGGATAATGAATGGGGTCATTTACAAATTGATGCCATATCACTGTATTTGTTAATCTTAGCTCAAATGACTGCTTCAGGACTGCAGATTGTTTTCTCACTTGATGAAGTTGCATTTATACAGAATTTAGTATTCTACATTGAATCAGCATATTGTACACCTGACTATGGCATTTGGGAGAGGGGTGATAAAACTAACCATGGCCTACCAGAATTAAATGCTAGTTCTATTGGAATGGCCAAAGCTGCTCTTGAAGCTATGAATGAATTAGATTTATTTGGTGCTCGAGGTGGACCCTCTAGTGTAATTCATGTACTGGCTGATGAAGCTCAGAAGTGTCAGGCTGTGCTACAGTCCATGTTGCCAAGAGAATCCAATAGCAAAGAACTTGATTCTGGCTTGTTGTCAATTATTAGCTATCCAGCATTTGCTGTTGATGATCCACAGTTAATTGCTAGGACTAGAGAAACAATAGTGACAAAACTCCAAGGCAAATATGGGTGTAAAAGGTTTCTTCGAGATGGCCACAAAACTCCTAGAGAAGATCCTAACAGATTGTATTATGAACCATGGGAGCTAAGAATGTTTGAGAACATTGAGTGTGAGTGGCCATTGTTCTTTTGTTACCTTATTCTTGACTACTGTTTCCAAGGTGATAAAGCTAATGTTAGTGACTATAATCACAAATTAGAAAAAATCATGATAAGGAAAGATGATGGAATAAAACTGGTGCCAGAGCTATATTCTGTACCACCTGATAAAGCTAATCAGGAGCAATGTGACCCAGGTAGCCAGGAGCGCATACCTTTAGGTCGATGCCCTTTCATTTGGGCACAGTCATTGTATATTCTTGGGAAATTGTTACAAGAGGTGAGTTTATATTTATCTATTTTAAACCTACTAAAAATCACTAAATTTAGAAATAAAATTAGAAAATGATATATTTTAAATATGATGAGATCAACTCTGATTTGACATTCTATAAAACATTCTAAAAGTAATCTATGTTAATCATACTTAATACAATTTCTATGCCAATTTTTGTGGAAATTGGTTTAGCCATTAACAAAATAAGGACAGGTGCATAGTAATATTGTAAATGTAATAATTTATAATAAATTAACTTTCAAATTTATAATACTAGTAGGAAATAAAAATCACAGATTTTTACTTGTTTCAGGGTTTCTTAGCTGTAGGTGAACTGGATCCACTTAACAGGCGACTTTGTTCAGAAAAAAAACCTGATGTTGTTGTCCAGATAGTAATATTGGCGGAGGATAATGAAATAAGGGATAAATTATTAGAATATGATCTACATGTACAAACTATTAGTGAAGTTGCACCTATTGAAGTTCAACCTGCCCGAGTTTTAAGTCACCTTTACACATATTTGGGTAATATCATTATTTTGTTTACATTAACTGCTAAGCTATATAAAAACTTTCCTAAAAATTTATATACTATAATTATTATCATATATAATTATAAAAATAATATATTACATAATTTTCTTGGGTCATGTTTGTTAAAAGGAAATTAAAGATTAAATTAGGAAGTTAAGCTCTGAAATCATTTAATTGATTTTAATGAAATTGTTTAAATTTAAATTTTTTTATAGCACTAAGGTGGCAAACAAGCATACGGCCCACATGATGGTAAGCGGTTGTATGAGTTACTAACACAAAGAAAAAATTATAAACAATAAATTCCACATAAGAATTGTTGAACTGATTGTGATACAATTATTACATTATTGTAATAAAATTTTTAGTTTAAAATATATCTATGAAATAATCCTTAAAGTTTTATGTACCTGTGCCACATTTTAAACTAAATATGTTTTTTTTAGTAAAATTTTGATGTTTCTCAATTACAGGTAGGAACAAAAAATTGGGTTTATCTGGAAGAAAGTCTCGTGATGTAGGAATACTCAGTACTAGTAAATTGTATTCAATAAATGATCGCATATTTGCTTTTACGCCTCAGGTATGTACTATTAGATTAAACATATGAAACCTTTAGTTCCTTATGAAATAGTTACAGAAACCAATTTTTTACATATATGGTACAGGTATGTTTGATGTTGTTCTTTTACTAAGCACTTTCATCAAATATTATTAGAATTCAGAGTGTATAGCAATGTTAGGAAGTCGTATATTGTTAGGTAATAACTATTGAATTAACAAAAGATCTAATTGACAGATTGATAGATGTAGAAGGTATACAACTTTCAAACAAGCAATACTCACTTCCACTTATTACTTCATTTGTAATTACTCTGGCTACAAACATTATTATCTGCTTAGTATAATATAAAAAAAATATTAATATGAAATTTATTTTTCTTTTTATAATTTGTTTATTATTTTATTTTTTGTTTTTTATTTTGTTTTTTATTTTGTTTTTTTATGATTAAGAATATGATGTGCTTTATCATTTCTATCTACACTCGAGGATTAAATTTTAATTTTTTTCTTTGCAATACAATCTTTGGTTCTTTTAGTATAATTAATTAATCTTACAGATATGTGCATATATATATTTGTATATTTCCCCTTTCCCAATCCCTTTTGTAATGATGAAAGAATCTTTCTAATTTTTTTTAAAAGGATTAATAGGTATTGATAAAAAAATTATATTGCAGACAGTAATGTTACTAAATTTCTTAATCTTAATTGCTTTAAGGTGTTACGGTTTTACAAGGAACTAATTATTTTTTCATTTTCAAAATGACTTTCTTGTCATGTGTTAACATTTCTAATTACATAGTATTTTTTTTATACTTTATTATACGCCTTGTAAATAATTTATATTTTAACACAGCGTTTCTACTTACCTTATAATAATATTGTTTATTTTTGTTAGTTTTCTGATATGAAACGTTTCTACATTGCTTCTGACTATGAATTGATGGTTGATATACTCAAAGCAGAAATTAATTTCTTGAAGTCTTCTTGGCAAAACCTTCTTGGGCGGCCTCTTGTTGTTTTGACATTGAATCAAACGTATTTAGGTACCTATTAATTAATTTGTTTTTTTTTTGCTTGCTGGTTTGTTTCATTCTTTCTTGTATTACATATTAGTTATACGTGTTCCTTCGACAATTAATATTTATTTTTTACTAATTATTAATGGCAATACTACCTATTACTTAGATTTACCATGTTTAAGTTATGACGATATATACGCATTTGCCTAACAGGCATAATTGATATATTTTTATAGCTGGAAAAAAGTTTTAATTTACTATAAAACTTTTAGCTATTCTTCATGTGCCATATCGTAATTAAATTTCCTTAGAATATCTCAAAGAAACAATAAATTTAGTAACTTTATGCCGCCCTTTGTATAAATAAAAAGAGCTGTATAATTTGAGTTTAATCTAATTAATTTTAAAATTATTTTAAATCGGCTTTAGTTTATCCCTTTCTGCGAAAACATTGTTTATCGGTATAACTTATAACATGGCCTAACTAAACATAGATATTTTATTAAAATACATAAATGTTTTAAGTTTTTTTTAGGTACTTATAGCTTCTTCTTTTTTTTGTTATATATATTTAAGACTATTTGGAAAGGGTAAATCAACTCTAAACTATTAATAGTAAATATACTTACTGATGCACTGAACATTTTCCAAGGAAAGATAGTCGAAATATGGAATTTTTTTTCAAACCTTTTATAATAATTCGATTAAGAGATCATATCATTTGTATTTTTATAAGTGGTTCAAAAATTATTTAATTCGACTGTTTTTGGAGCTGAGTGTTTGTTTTGTTAATACTATTACTGGGCTTCTGATTATTATGCTCTTTCCAACTAAGTCTATATAAAATTAAAAATGTTAGATACTAAAAATACAATATATTATAGGATCACTTCCATGTACATTTTATTCACACTTTGTATTTTATATGTATTATGTTATGAAAAAACATAGACTAGTATTGAAATACCATTCTAACATGTACAATGTAGACTCATTACCCGATAGAAATGTTCCCCCCTGGTATGATAACCTGCATGGGTGTGCCATAGAACTTCGACTACGAGGAGTACTACATGTCTCGCGACCCGGCTCTCCTTGCGAGCACGTTCATGGCCAACGTCGCATTCCTGGGCATGAGCTGGAAACAGATGTTAGGCCGTCCTACCATCACATTACTCGCGACGCAGTACCTGTTAGGTAAACAGACGCTATTGCCATTATAAATGTGCAATAACAATTTTTATATTAATATTAATTAATTTATAATAATATATTATACTAGCAATGATTGATGTATTTCGCATAGCGGATTTTTCTATTCCCATGGAAATGAGATATTTAACTTTCTTAAAATTTCCTATATGGTCACAAAATAAGAAAAAATGGTCCAACAGTTTTTCGCGATGTGTGCACAAACACGGATATACCTAGTTACGGTTTTAATATGAGTTTTATTTACTACATACTGTTTCATTTTAATATCTAAAATTAAGCACTGATTACATCAAACTCAGCAGAAGATTCAATAGTCGAATAAAGTATTTGAACGCACCAAAAAATTTATTACATTAAAAATTCAAGCAGTCTGTTTGATTGATCTGGTGTGTTTACTGTGTGGAAACACACTATATTTATTACGTTATATAATAATTATATATATTAATATTAATTTCCGCCTTTTTATCACCATCTTCAACTGATAATCGATTACTTTGTCTGAGTAAACCGTCACTCAGGCAAACTTGGGGGATTTTCACATTACATTTTCTAATTATGTTAAAACAACATCATAAAACGTTCATTCAATTAATTTCGTTAAAGATTTATTAAGATACCGTTTTGCTTAGTGTTCGTGCACAACTCTTTTTTTATTCAGCCACTATCTTTAAGGACTATGACATTTATGGGCTATACACACATATATTAACTATGCTTAATAAATATTAACTTTCAAACAATGTATCATTTAACAAACTACTAACAAAATATCATGCTATTTGTTTTGCTTATAAATAAATAAATAAGACATGCGATTATTAATATATTTACATTCTAACTATTATTTTGTATAATCTCAGATCAAGGCAAGATACCAATGGCTATGATAACAACTATGAAGAAACTGAAGTCGGGATATATTAACGGCACTCGGGTAACACTCGGGAATCTGGGAGATTTTCTCAGTACGTCTGCCATAACGAACTTGAGTTTCCTCGGCAGCCAAGAGGACGGTTACCCTGATAGTGAGTAGACAGTGAAAATTTGAATTTATTTTGTTTGTTTTTGTCTCACAAGTTTTGAGCTAAAATTAAACGTTCAGTTGTAAATTTTCAATTGCCAATAGATTGCGTTATATATTTACTTGTATATGTACTTTTTGTTGTTATAGAGCTCAATCCTCAAGTGCAGAGCTACCTAGAAGAACATCTGTTGAAATCATTCAGTAACAAGGTGTCGGTGCTATCAAAACCGATGGCGGCGCGCGGCCGTTCTATGCGTCGGCGCATGTCCGTCCGGGGCGCCATCAAAAAGACGCGCTCTATCAACGTCGATTGTACGTATATTTCCATCAAATTAAATTTACTAAAAATGCAATGCAATGTAAACTCATATTTGTCCTGTAATTTAAAAGTAGAATGACCTTTTACTTCGAAACATGGCTACCAAGGAGGTAACTAATAAAAGGTTTTATTTAAATTTCGAACTGGCTTGCGAATAGAAAGCTGTTTATTAAAAAAAGCCAAAGGAACATTATGGCGCGTGAAAAATTATTATTGTTGGTTATTCGTCATTGAACTTAAAAAGCAAAATTGTGTTTTTGATTACCGCGCATTGTTTGAGAAAACTACTATACAAGCCTTGGCCACAACTAGCCGTTGATGGACTCACGTATGTGTGCCTCGGCTACGCCTTGGCCCACATTTGCACGTTCGTCTATCAATGCCTCAGTTGCTGGCCACTGCAGTAATGTGCTATTTATTACATTTATTTCATATTTGTGAATAATGTTTATACAGCGGAAACTCTTGGCATGGAAGGCGAATATGTCGGCCCACCAGTCGAGAGAAAACCATCATGGCTGGAAGTGGACCCCGCGCAAGCATTCGGACGCAGCCCGTCGCCAGAGGATAAGAAAAAGGCCTCCACCAAGTAAAGATAAGATGGTTTAATATCTTTTATTTTGAAATTGAAAACCGATATATATAATGTAGTTTGTTTTATTCCAGTGACCCATCAACTACAATTTCGGGCGTCGAATCCGGAATGGAGGAGAAAGCTCCATCGCCACCAAAAGAAGGTAGTTTTCTTTTTTATTCCTTAATAGACTAGAGAAAGCATTGGTAATATAATTTTATTATGAATAATACAATATAGATAGACGGATTTAGTTATATACTAAGAATACAATAGGATGAAATATACCTATATATTACATACTATGTTAGTAATTTTTTTCTTTGCAATTTATGTGCGATAATGACTATGGTTAATTTTAGTGAATAAGAACATCCCCATAATAGTTCGCAACCGTCCTACATCTGAATCTCAGAACTTGTTGTACGCTGAGGCGGAAACCGACGAACTAATGGCTATGCTCCGAGAAACGGAAAGCTTGGATGAGCAGGGAGATATCTTGCAATACTTGGTCGACACGCAGGGACTTGACTTCAACACGGGTATATATGTATTTAAAATCTAATATCATAAAAGCAAAATCACCACCCTGTCATATAATAATATCATAACTTGTTTTTTCTTTATTTGTATATTTAGTAATAATTTTGTCTTTTTATTATCAAAATTAGTTACTTAAAAATAAGACAGAAAAATATATAATTTTGTAGAAAAAATTTGTCATGTTGTGAATGTGAATGTGAAAAGGACTCCATTTTCCGCGCTTAGCCTCTCATTTGGGCCATAATTTGTCATGTTATAATTAGTTAATTCTTTATATTTGTGACTCCCGTAGAAATGAAACGGTTATCACATGATTGAAATCGTTGTATTTTCTTATAGTTATGTATACTACAATGTATCCTTTTTTAATCGATAACTTTTTTTTATGAAAGCGTAAAATTCTCGAAATGTACAAAAAAGTGCACATAAAACTTTTCTAAATACTACATTGTAATAAGCAAATCTCTTATAATTATACATTAATATTCTAAAAAATAATTTTAGTTTATGTATTTACTGTTTATTTACTGCTGACACCACATTTGTGACCATTCAACTCCTTATTACAGGCATGTTAGAAAACGGCAAAGTGGTGACTGTAAAAGACTTACTAAAGGCTCTATATGAGAAAGCGTGCACTCAAAAGTTATGGGGACTAGTCAGGCATACTGCTGGCATGCTTGGCAAGCGAGTGGAGGATCTAGCTAAAGCTGTCACCGATCTGCTTGTACGTCAAAAGCAGATTACCGTTGGAATGCCACCCAACAATGAGCATACAATTACAGCCCCACTGCCCGAGAACGAGTTGAGACAGCTTATTCACCTGGTGAGTCGAGATATTTAAAAATACATGAAACCGAACGATTTTAGGAGAATGATTTGAAAAAAGGTTTTAATATTTTATTAATGTTATATCAAATACAAATCCTAAACTCTCAAGCTATTTATCTACAAAATTTCTTATAAATTAGTTCACTCGTTTCACTCTGATAATATAGAAATTCGTTTTCATATCTTCAGAGGTATTATGTATGTAATTCAACATATATAAATTTTATTAGTTTCAACTTTTGAAGATTTTTCTTAATAAAAATTGTCACAAACACTTAAATCTCCTTATATTATTCATTTATAAATAAATATACATTTAATATTTTTTACATGCAGTCATTTAGCCGGCAAAAGTCTGATCATGAACAGAGAAAGGTAAATTTTAATCAATAATTATAACAATTGTCAAATGAAGACTATAGGACAACTATTAGTAATATATACTTATTGAAAAATAACTTACTAATATTTTATGAACTACTGAATATTATAGGAATTTAGAAGATAGTTTATTTAACAGCACCCTAAACGTAATTGCAGAGAAGCCACAGGAATGGGAATGCATAAAGGTATTATAGACGTCACAGTGTACTCTGTCCATAGTGTTGTTCATGTATATAGGCGACAGTTATCACTCTCCATCAAGTGGAGCAAAAGCTAGTTTCGCAAGTTCCAAAAAATTCTTAGTATAATAATAAGGATATAGACTTTAGTTCTAATTTTTATTATTTGTATACTTGTCGCGTCGACTTGTTATAAATGTTATGTTTACCACAGGCTTACGGAGACGACGAGAGCACAGCGATGTTGACGCAAGAGTTGTTGGTATATTTGGCCATGTTTATCCGTACTGAACCTCAGTTGTTCCTAGAGATGTTACGTCTCAGAGTTGGCTTAATTATACAGGTATAATTTATTTATATTTTATCAAGTATTCTAAGTTTAAAAAATATGTTATATATTTTTTCGTTATTCATAAAATAGGAACACTTTATTACCTTTATTATCTCTTTTTTTATTTGGCATCCATTATCAGCCAATGTTTAAAATATCGATAAATTTCAGTGAAATTTAATAGATTGGAAGGTCATACCCTAAGGCTATATAAAGATTCTTTATAAATTAGGATAAGTTGCACGGGAAAATCCATTGTTTACAATTAGGGTTGCGTACATGAATTTGTATGTCACATTTACATTTACATTACATCCCTAAATTTGTTACACAGGTAATGGCGACGGAGTTGTCACGAACATTATCGTGTGACGGTGAGGAGGCGTCCGAACATTTGCTCAATCTGTCGCCGTTTGAAATGAAAAACTTGCTGTACCATATCCTCAGTGGAAAGGAGTTTGCTATTAACAGTGGTAAGTATAAACAATTTAACAATATATCGACAAGAACAGAACCACTCATCAAAAACTATTAAATCTGTAAAAATTCTGTCTTTACCATATTGGATTGTAATATGCTCGGCTAAATATAGGCATGTTTAGTATTATGTTCACTACAATAGCAACAGTTGACAAACCTCTGACTATCCCACAAAGGATTTAGTCGTGAGTATATTTTATTTTTATTAAAATAAATTCAAATTAATACTCTCCCACTATACATTTTATCTAATAAACAGTTATTAAATAAAATGTTTACAGATACAAGTTTGCTTCTGAAAATCTAATCATTTATCTCTCACCAAGTTTTTTCTGTTTTTTCTACACAATTAGAATAAACTATGTATTTATTTAATTTACTATATTACACTAAAATTAAAAATATTTTATAATTTCAACCACTATCGAGTATCTCTGCACATCCTAAAGTTTGACTGGTATAGAATGCCTATAGCATTAAGCCCGTCTTTTGTACCACATTTTATTAGTCAATAAAAATACATTACATTTCAAAAATTATTATTTTTATATAAAATTAAATGTTTTCTTTACAGTTAATTCACTATATGTAATAAGGGAAAAGATCAGTAAAAGTAAAGGTTCGAACATTTTGCTTTGCTATATATTTAGTGTACCCTGTACAATCCTGTGTTGCCTGTTTATAACAACATGCCCCTCATATGTATCTAATTGATATAAAATGGGGATTTCACATTATATGTTTCCGTCGTATTATGTTAATACTGTTTCAGTAAGAAGCTTGCTTTCAATTATAATTTGTCTTTGTATATGCAACTTCAGAGCATTAGTTTATGTTGCTATGGCCATATTTTATTTATGTCCACACACCTATTAACTTATTATAGTCTAGTCATATATACATCGATTAATAGGGCTAAAATTATTATTCAATTGTTATTATTTATTATATTTGTAATAATTTTAATTTGTTTTGGAAATATATTTTTGTTTTTACGTAATAACTATGTATTTCCTTGGGTTTGTTTTATGGTAACATCTTTAGCGTTAATGTGTTTCTTTGTATACATTAAGAATACGAAAGAGCACTTTTGTAAAGTATAAAGTTGATGGATATTCAATATATCAAACTGGCTCAATCGCCATTTTGGTGGTTTTTTTCAAAATGATTGTGTTCGTCAAATTCCGTTGTATGAAAAAATAGATATTTGTCTGTCTGTTCATGCACTTTATTGTTGTATTAATATTAAAAAAGGAATGTTTTTAATTAGTATTATATTTTGCAGTAGGGCGCGGCAACTTTTCAATAATCAGCAACAAATCTAACAGATATGGGAAGAAATCACAGATTATGTTAGAAGGACAATCACTTCAAGGGACCATTGACGATAGTAAGTAATTCTGAAAGATATAAATTGAAAATAATTTTTAAAGAAATTCTATTTGTGTTTGAAAATATTGAAACTTCAAATATCATCAATATGTTTTGTTGAATAAAGAGAAGAGTTTTACCTAGAGACTACAGTATGGGGTTCTTCAAAAAGGGTATATTAAGGTTTCTTCAGGGTCAGCTTCCCCTACTGTTGCAGACTTCCATAGGCTAGAAACCGTTTACTATCAGACATGATAGTAACCATCCTTATTTGCCACTAATACTGTAGGTATTCAATATGTGTTCGTATTTCACTCAAAATACCCAACACTTATGTTGATTTGCTGTTGTTTTATAAGATGATGCGCTGAGATCGCGACTGATCAAATTGTACGTAATTGATGGTGATTTGTTATGAGATTTTAGCAGGCTTTGGTCTGCTCGACATGCAGTTAGACGACAGAGCCATTGTTTTATTATTTATTATCTACCTCCAGATTTGGTGGGAAAGATGCGTAAGGAGGGAAGAGAAGAGAAAAATATTACAGCATTACGTTCAGAAATGATTTTATATTAACCATGTTTATTTTATTTTTTAATTTAAATATAAAAGGAATATATATTAATATAATGCAATAAAATAGAAGATTGATAAACAGTTCTTATTGTATAATTCCCAAACATTGAAGTATTCCTGTTTGTTTTTTTTTTTTTTTTTAATTTATAAAAATATGTTTTTGTAGCACCAATAGTCGAACCTGACCGCCAGGGGCAATGGCTCCGTCGGCGAAGGTTGGATGGCGCCTTAAATAGAGTTCCACGTGATTTTTATCCACGTGTATGGGGAGTGTTAGAAAGGGTACGTAATTAATAGTAATAACAGTTTAGATGTTTCTATACAAATATATAGATTAAAATAAAAATAATTACCATCGTTTTACAAAAGGTTTTCTAGTAAAATTAAATGTTTTTACAAAGAAACAAGTCCAAAATCGACAATGTTGAAAAATTTTACCTATTAACTTGACAGCCAAGATGCTCTATGTAAATAGATAGCAATTTTTTTTAAATCTCATACACTTGGCTGATATCGCTTATTTACACTGTTTTGTCTATAAACTCAACCTTTAAGATATATTTATTATTTTCAGTGTCAAGGTTTAATAATCCAAGGCAAAGTTCTCCAGCCAAATTTGACTCAAGAGATGACTTCTGGAGAATTAAAATTTGCACTTGCAGTGGAAACAGTATTAAATTCGATCCCGCAACCGGAGTACAGGCAACTAGTCGTAGAAGCATTGATGGTTCTGACCCTCGTGGTGGAATATAAAGCAGTCAGCCACCTTGGTGAAATGATCGGCGTCGAAAATTTAGTGCACAAAGCTAACCAGATATTTTTGGAAGATCAAGTGGGTTACTTGCTGCATTATTGATATTAAAATTTATATGTACCTACCATACCAAAACAAAAAAAAACTGAATTGACAATCTCCTTTTTGAAGTCGGTTGAAAATATTACATACTTTTTCTACCTCTACTAAATTTATAAATAAATACCATTGGATATGTTAGATAATATCATCTAGTTCTAAACTGAGTATTTATACTGAGTACTTATTAGATGTTAATGAAGATTAAAAAATATAAGGTAAGTTTGCAAACCACTGAGATAAACTTACATAGAGGATGTTGTATGCAGATGCGGTGTAACGGGGATGCTACTCTGTGCTGTGCCAAGAATCCATCGGAGTCAACAGGCGGAGCGCTCGTGTGTGGCGGCGCGGCGGGCGTGTGCCAACATTTATACGACAGTGCGCCCAGTGGTAGCTATGGCACCATGACCTACCTAGCACGAGCTATCGCCGCGCTGCTTACTGAACGTGTGCCTGATGCCCCGCCCGTGCAGTGTGCCATTTCGTAATATTTATTCTCTCAGCAGCAGCTGCGGCACCATGATCTATTTAACATGTGCCATCGCCGCACTATTTGCGAAACGTGTTCCTAACGCCCCGCCTTTGCAGTGTGCCATCTCATAATGTACACTTTCTCAGCGGTATTAACGGCACTATGAACTATCTAACACGAATCACGTCATACTACTTGTTAAACGCTACACCCGTGCTGTGTCATCTTGTATTGTTTATTTTCCCAGTGGCATCCACGCCACTGTGATGCGTCTGGCATTCTAGGTTCCTAGAGCTTATCATATGCCTTATAAACAGAGGCGACAAAATGCATACGTGACGTGGACCCACGATCTTGCAATTTGAAGGTCCTCATGTTCCATGGACTTCTGTTTTTTCTTTTATTAGAATTTTACACTTAGATTTTTTAAACCGTCTTTTAGCATCACCAAAGGGCCTCGCTCAAAATGTATCTTTCTTGCATCTAATTTAGGTTTTACCCCACCACTGCTGGTGGGCATCAGGCACGTGCCATCTCGTAATATTTATTCTCAACAATTACGACACCATATCTAATACGTTCCATCACCGCGATATTTGTAGAACGTGTGCCCCACCCGTGGTATTTTGTACTTAAAATAAACCGAAAACGATATAGTACCGAATTTTTACTAAACACCGAGTTAGTAGAAACTCGGTACTATATCGTTGTACATGTAGAGGCTTAATACTAAGCAGCACACATTATGAATGTATCTTAAACTACGAATCCATCTCTTCTATAGTTATGAATTGGCGTGGTTCCCAATTTGATGTTTTATATAATATGAGCGTCTGTCTATTCGTCCTTATATATCAACATTATAAGTGTTTATTATTTAGTCATAGGTCAGCATTATTTAAACTGATTAGTAAATAATTCATATGCCGAATCGTATTATGTCCTGATTTGGTTGATATAAGTATATTAATATTTATTCAAATGAGTGAACAATCCTTAAGCTGATGTGTTCAGCGTGTGCGATCGCCTATGGCAAACGTGGCACGCATATTTACGATATGGTGGGGATGGTCCAATAAGTGCCTCACGTTCTGACTCATACATGTTATTACATATATATAAACTTAGTGATTTTTTATCAATATTATTTTAAGCGTCTTCAGGGCTATGACTGCGTACTATAATACATTTTTATAAGTACCTACTTAATACTTCTCATTTTTATTACCCAACTGTGCAACGCAAAATAAGATATTGAAAATATTGTTATATATATTATTGTTAATATTCATTAATTAATAACAAAATAAGTACTGACAAAGATTAAAATGTAACAGTTGTCGATACCAATACCGATATAATAGATACGATCCAGAAATTAGTAATCTTGAAACTGTATAACTTTCTAAAATTAACATAGACTGAAGTGTAAAAATATTTAAATCGTTCATACAAAATGGATCAAGTATTCGCATAGTTTGTATGGTTTTAATTTTCGTTGATTCTAAATTTTCTTTGTTAAAAGTTGTTTTTTAAATACTATTAAAGCCATAATAGAATTTAAGAAAAATGATGAACATTTATACTATAGTCTGTTACAAAAAAAGGTAATTAGCTTTTATTGAAATTGTCAACAGAAATTATCCCTAAATAAATAATAATAATATCAGATTGAAACATTTAATTAATAGATTTTAGATTTGTACAACTATTAGACATTAGTTTTCATTGAGGTCTTTTGAAACATACTAAAAATCAATTAGTTTCCAGAAAAGTTCCGTTGTTATAATCCCATTTTTCTATATTGCTATATTTTGGATTACTGTACTCAAAAGACATTAAAGAGTGAAACTTTTCAATATTATGATAAAAAATAATTGCAATTTGAAATAAAAAGAGATAGAACGTTGTTTTAGTTGATGTATTATTAAATATATTAGAATTTGAAGGATTTAGTTTAGGCTATATGTTTTGTCACAAAGTTATCAGATTATTACTATTAATACAATTTAATAATATTACATAATAAAAAAGTATATTTAAATAAAAAAAAAATATTTCATAACAATTCTTTACAAATATCTCAAAATAATTAGAAGAATGCACAATTTCATTAAATAGGCTCTATTTTCAGTTTTTAGTCTCTTGATTGTACATCTGAGATATTTTTATAATTATTAAAACAAAAATATTGACAATACAATTGTTTCTCGATTGATAATAATTGAAATTGCTGTTTGTCCATCTTTTGGGAAGAATTAATTTTATATATGTATATATAAATAATAATTTAAGACATTTGTGGTTTCAATATTGCAATCCCTATTCCCTAAGCACACGCTTGATTAGCCTTTCTGTTAATATAACAAACCCTAAAATATGACGGCTGGCATATCACTCATACTCACGGGTGATGCTTATGAGATACTGGTCTACTCATATTTACTAATGATTAATTATGAAATTTTACTCGAGTATTCTGATACTTCCCTATGGTTGACTGGGAGAGAATGCTTTTAGCATTAAGTCCGCCATGTACACATATTTGTACTAATAAATAAATAATTAAAACAATGTCAATTATAGGCATTAGGTACAATACAAATATAAAATTCTGTTGTACATAAGGTCATTGCTAATGCTTAGTTTCTGGCAAGTTTTCACTAAATAACAACATTCGGAATCCAGCTGTAGAAGCATAAAATATTTATTATATATTTTTATACAGGCGTTCCAGGTAAAGAAATAGTAGATAAGGCAGCCAAACAGGCTACCGAGGATGGAGCATAAATTATATGTAACCCTTATACAATTGAACTCATTTGTAAAATTAGGAATGATTGTGTTACGAAATGAAGAAACCACTTTGAAAACTACTCAGATTCAAAGGGGAAATGGTATAAAACTACAGCAAATGCCTTCATTAGTACCCTTGTTTCAAACAACATGTCTCTCGACATCCAATTTAGTTACAGCATTCAGGATGCGATCTAGCCATGTTCCACTTATCAACAACAAATTTTATCATCTTGTGGGATTTAAGTAATTGTATATATTATATTAAAATAGAAGACCAATATAGTTGCTCGTGGAATGTGGTCTGAATTGCAACCTGAAAGTGAATTCTGGAGGATATACCTTTATATAATGGTAATTAAAGTAATACTCAGTCAACCTGGTCGTTGCGCTGTCTATATCTGTGGGTAAAGATGTTCCTGACGAATTTACAAGCCAAATCAGACATTCCCTATAAGGCTAGCAGTCACCCAGGTGTACTAAAGCCTTAACAAAAATTAGAAAAAAAAGATAGGTAACAAACCAAGGAAGAAGAACGCATAATAATTAAAACGACAATATCAGTAATTAAACACGTCTATCTACTTTAAATATTACATCAAGTCTAAAACAACATTAACAATTAGTTTCTCAATTTAAATTCACTACCTTTGTTACTAAGCTTCATCTTTTTTGCCAAAGGGGTTCATCTTTGCTAGCCAAGATGTTGTGTTTCTGAAAATAGTTCAAATAAATATTAATATTAACAAAATAAAATTTATAGTTCACAAATAAAATAAAAAAAATATCTTGAATTATGGTATTGGACAGATTCAATCATTATTTAGAATATTCATAATGTTTTAGTAATATGAAGGAATAAATATGGTATATTATTCCCAGATTTTTTTTTATAAAAATTAAATTTTGATTTTGATGATTTATAAAAAGTAAATATTGTCTGATTACAACTTGCATTTTTTATGATACTTAGAATGTCAAGCTGATGGCCCACCCAATGGAAAGTTGCAATTGTCACCCATAGACACAAACAGCACTATGGACATCATACATACATTGTGATGGCCATGGTACCTCTCTCATTAACTTTACTGCCTTTCAAAGTGATCACATACATATATACTGTAATTGTAAAAGTCTTATTCATATTTTCTATATATATATCACACATATGTAAATGAAAAATAATAGATATAATATATTTTTTTTATACAACTTAGAATGGCAAACAAGCTGACGGCCCACCTGATGAAAAATGGTAACCGTCGCCTATAGACAGGAGCAGTACCATGGACATAACAGAGTATACTGTTACGCCAATGATACCCCCCATGCATTGCCATTCCTGAGGACTCAGATGTTATTCCCTACTCTGTAAATTCACGCCATATTCCACCCTTCAAACCGAAACACAGCCATGCAAAAACAACTGCTTCACGTTAGAAATACGAATGGGACAGAGGTACCCAAACAATCGACTTTTTTACAAAGTCTCCCTCTGGTAACATGTTTAGTACATGATAATTATGCTCATAGTCAGGATGATAAGTTGTTCTTAAAATTGCACAAAAAAATCTAATACTTACACATATAAAAATATACACACAAGGTATTATGATGAATCCAGTAAAATATTACAGAAGAAAGAAAAAGAGTAACTACAATTGACTTGTTCTTTAAATATAGCTAAATACTAAATAAGCTAAGACTGAGCACTCTGTACAGACAGCAGCAATGAGTTCCATAGGCACACAGCCTTAACAGAAAAGGATTTGGTATAGTACATGCAGGCATGTCAGGGGGTTTTTAGACAAAGTTTACTTAAGATATGCAAAGCATGATTTCACTTCACCAAGAAATATGAATTTGAGTTAGTAAAGTGTGAGAGGATTGAATAGAATACGAGGTTTGTCCGGAAAGTACGTATAAAAGTTTTTTAAAAATTTTATTTTACAATTATTCAGGTAAATCAATTTTATCCCCTTCAAAGTACTCCCCCTGTGACATAATGCACTTGTGCCAACGCCGTTTCCACTGTGAGAAGGCTCCTTGAAAGTCCTCTGGTTGTAGGTTTCTCAGCTGCCCCGTCGTAGCTTTTTTTATCTCATTTATGTCCCCCAAATGCCGCCCCCGAAGTACCAATTTGGTTTTTGGAAACAAGAAGAAGTCACACGGGGCCAAATCCGGCGAATAGGGGGGGTGTTCGGTCACCGTAATGGAATTTTTACTCAAAAACTCACGGACAACAAGAGAGGTGTGGGCAGGGGCATTGTCGTGGTGAAGAATCCAACGCCCCTCTCGCGCCAATTCTGGACGAACTCGTGCCACACGAGCTTTGAGGCGTCTGAGCACATCGACGTAGAATTTTCCATCAACTGTCTGGCTTGGAGGGACGAATTCTTGATGGACAATCCCCCGAACATCGAAAAAAACAATCAACATTGTCTTGACATTTGAGCGGGATTTTCTTGATTTTTTTGTTCGTGGGTCCCCGGATGTCTTCCACTCTTTGCTTTCACGGCCATTCTTGCCGAGTTTCGAGAGAAACTTGATTACGACGCGCTGCTCTTCAACGGAAGCGGGCTCCATGCCGACGGGGTTTCGTTAAGAGGTAACTTCACAGATGGCGTGACAAGCCAGTTCGCACCGCACGGCGGTCAGACCAGAACTGAAGCATTGTTAGGGACATAAGGAAGGGGTCCTGCGCTTACCTGGCCTCCCCACTCCTCTTTCTCGCATTCCAGAACACTTTTATACGAACTTTCCGGACAGACCTCGTATAGAAGAGGAAATATATGCAAATCACAGTATCGACATATTGGGAGCTACTTGAGCTGAGTGCAAATATTAGAGAGTTCAAATATAAATGCACATTTTAGGGATACTGAAGTTTATTAAGTTGATCTTTTATATATTTATATTTGTAGTATATTTTTAGTAAGTTTAGTATGATAAATGTAGTTTTTTTTTAATTTATAATAAATTACATAACTGATATTTTTAAAGATTATTAAAATGTAGCATTAGCCTTTATAATATTTAATTAAAATAATTATTAACTTACGATATTTCATCAAGAGAAGCTTTTTTTCCTTCAATGCCTGCTGCTTTAAGTTTTTCAACAAGATTTTTTCTATAGATATTTTTTAAAGGAATTGGTTTGTTGGCTGCTTCCTTTTGTTTAGCCATTTTGTTTAATGCTTCGTACCAAGTCAAACCATACCATTCAATTTCCTCAGGAGTATACTATAAAAAAAATGATGTATAATATTTTTATTATTAAGTTTAATGATCAATAAAAATGTAATACCACAAAATGGATAGTGATATGTGTAAGTACATCAACCCTCTTAAAAAAATTTGAATTTTGTAAAAACTTTGCAAAGTATACTCCAACTGATAAATATGCATTAATTTAAAATGAATTAACTTAAATTGAAAAAATTTAAAAACATTATAATATAACCTTAATATTTAAGAGAAATTGATACTTACTGATGATAAATATGTCTTATATTCATCATAAATTTCTTTCTGTTTCTGTTGATCATGAGCATATCTTGGGCATCCGTTCATAAGCTCAGTTAGTATTTGTTTCTTTAATTTCAAAGCAAGCATAGACACTAAGTCACAGGCAGGTGTTTTGAGCAAGTAGTGATCAAATCCATAATGATCATGAATAAGTTTAATAGTTCTGTCAGTTACAGTAACAGAAAGGTGGGTGTTCAGCACCTCTGATCTTACAACAGTCCTCTTTAAGACTGGCACCCAGTAATGTGGTACACGGCGACGTAATGGATCACGCTTTTGGAAACCTAAAATGACATTTAATGTTTGTTAAATTATTCATGAACCAAATTAATTATTTATACATTAAATCAACAGAATTAATGTATGGATAAATAGCTTTGGCTCTTGATGTATGCATTAACATATATATAATTTATTTACTGTTTAAAAGATTAATTTATATTATTTAGTGAACTTTATACAAAAATAATACTATTTTGTAGCAATTTTATACTGTAATATTTTACGAAACTAAATGATGGGCAAAAAAGATAATGAAGTATTAAGTAATGTAATTAATACAGGTAAAAACGGTATTCTAACCTTTCACAACAGCTTCACCACCCCATATACCTTCGTGAATTTCATCTGGATGCTTCAATGGTATGGGGATATTTTGAATTGGCAAAGTTTCCCCAGTAAGTTCGTCACGTTTCCACTTTCCTTCTTGAGGGATAAAATGAACAGCAGCTGGTTTCAAAACTTTCCATTCACGCCAAAATTTCTTATAAGCTTGAGGTAACTCTGATGCTATGCCAATTTCAAATCTACTTTTTTTCTTGTATGTTTTAGATAATTGTCGTGCAGTAGCCTGTAAGTAATGACGCGTAAGGTCGTAAGCAAGATAAACTTAGGTAAAAGAATTGAAACAGTAAAACGGTAAGTATTATGTTATCATACCTGAATACGAGACGAAGCCATTTAATTATATTTTAAAGATTTTCATAAATGAAACTAAAATGACTCAATAATGTAAAAAATTTCAATCCTGAAATTCAATTTAATATATATGTAACTAATTTGACAATATGCTGCAAATTTTTGACGTCTTCACTTTTTTTTTCATATTCCTAGTTTTAGTTACTGTCACATTGTCAGAAATGTTTAGTGTTGCAAGGCATGTAATAGCAATTAGATAAACCTTTAATTATACATACGGGATCGAGGCTAGTAAACTAACGATTAATAGAATTGAAATAGTGTGTAGTTTACTAATAAATTAAGATCTTTGCAATGAACCCTAAAAACTCACACTTCACTCTTTGGACTTTACATTCCATCATTTTCAAATATTTGTTCATTCATGTTGGCACCTAAGAACAAGGAATTAGATAGAAGGAATGATAAAATAAAAATTGTACATCATTAGTTGCCTCCTTTCTTCACTAGCCTGCTATGAATTGACAAAAATTGCAAGTGATGGTCTATCTTTCGCCCTCTTTTTACTAATTATATTTCTATAAGAAAAAAGGAGGCAACCATATAATTTTCAGTTTTTATTTTATCATTCCTTGTATGTAATTCCTTGTTCTTAGGTTGGCCTAAAAATGTTCTATTTTTTTTATTTTGGTCTATGGCAGACATTGCTTTTATGCATGACATACGTATACGTTTGTCCATTCTTATCTAAAGCAGTAAAAATAAAAAAGAAAAGTGAAAAAGAAAACAGGTGACGTGGCAAAAAATAGCAAATTTGTTTGTCTGTCATAAAGATAGTGCCAATTGGTGGTGGCAAAATATTATGTTTATTTCAAATCAATATTTAACACTGTTCTGTTTTTTGTTAAAAGCAGACGATTTGGTCTAATTTATTCTCTATTACATTTTTTTTTTCAACATTCATGTTTGCAGTGAATAAAAAACAATGTCTGACAATAAAAATGTTAAAGAATCCCTTGAGGGGGATCAGTTGGATAATATTGACAGCAATATAGCAGTACCAGCTAGCGACGTATCCAGCATCGCAGGAAGTGTTAAAATTACTAAAGTAATTATTAAATATCTTTTTCTATATTACACTGGTTGACACCGTGCTTTGTTATTTCAGGGATACTTTTTACTTAAAATTTGTTGTTTATTATTTGATAATTGTAATATTTCTAATGAAAATAGTCATTTAACACCGTATACAATAATTGCAGTTTTAGTCTGTAATCAAATACAAATACAATATTAAATGTTCGATAATATTAAAACCATATGGCTGTTTTGCAGACACCACATCGCGTCTCCTCTTCTTCCGAAAGACAAATAAAAGTTGAGCGAGCACAGAGAGTTTTAGAAAATGCTGCTCTTGTCTCTAAACATATTAAAGAACGCAGAAAAGCAACTGCAGAGTTGTTGGGACGACCCTTTGGTAAATTTGATGTATTATTATATACCCATATTAATAATGAATGGATGAAGGTGATATATCACATTATTAGATTTTCACTACTATTTATTTTTTTCTCTATATTTGCAATTAGCTCCTCTATAACAGCTTTAATCGGCTAGTATCTAGTTCTAAAAACTGTAAAATAATGGAGTTGCTGTGCAGAATCTCCTAAGTTGTATCCTGTAAACCCATTTTATGATGTATTTATCATGCATCATGTTGTTTAATGATAATGTTAAATTCCTTTCCATTAGTCGATAATTTTTTGCATTCCATATTTGCCTGAGTGTTTAAGCTTTAATATGTTTTATCCAAGAAACTCTTCATCTAGATGTATTCCTATTTATTTGAATCTTCTTAGTATTGGTAGATTTTGCCCCTTCATTTGTATCAATGTTGTATCACCCTTTCTTGTGAATACAATGTGACTTCTCTGTGCTACTACTATATACATGGATGAAGGTTTTTTGTGCATGCTAACAAATATAAGTAATGGTAATGGGGTATAAGTTTGCCCATAGTACCTTTTAATACTGTCATCCATTCACGTCTTCAATTATGAAATATGACATGTGGATTACAATTCTATAATTTATAATAGTACTAGTCATATAGATAAGTGGTGTATAATTAAATTATTATTGAATATGTCCATAAGGGCTGAATTTTTGTATTCAATTGAGACTGAAACATATCTTCTCATTAGGTAACTTTAATTCTCTTATCTTGAGTTTCTAGGAGCTATATGTTTCAAATTAATTAACCATATAATATAGCATTAATAAAGCACTACATAAAAGATTTTATTAATTATTGGGCTTAATTAATCGGTTTACATTTACAGAAGAAGATGATGTTGGAGATAGTGCTTCTGAAGTTGCATCCACCATGAGCAAAAAATCAGGCTATTCAGTAGCAACAGATACTTCAACAACTTTGTCTGTGAAGGAGGCCTTAAACAGTAAATATTTTATATTTCTATTCTATAACATTATAATATATTTATTTTCCTATATTCTTTTTTTAATATTTAATCTATTACTTATTAGTAATAATAGAAAATATAAGTATTAGGAATACCTAATACTTATATTTGGAAGTTTATAAATATGTTTACACTTTTGTTATTCACCCTTGTTTATAACTATCAACTGATTTTGATTATAAATATATTTTTTTTATATTTATATAAGAATTTGCATGCAAAAATAAATTAAAAAAATAGTCATCAGTAACTTATTTAGTTTTCATTTTAGGTAGAACACAGTTACCTGTCTTCCATATTATAGTACTTATAATATTACTAATAATAGTATTATTAGTTATAGAAATACTGAGAATCAATTTAACTTCATTTAATAATTTATTTCAGTACCTGGTATCAGTGAAAATTTAGCAAATACACTGAAGCAAAAAGAATTGGTCATGGAGAGGATAAAACAATATAAAGAAATAAGTAAGAGACCATCATTAATAAAGTCATCACCTATTAGCAAAAAAGATTATATTTCAGAAATGAAGTCAGATGTTAAAAAGGTAAGTCTATTGATTTATAAGGTAGTCATTCAGAAGCTATATTTGTATGTTTCCCTCATTTATTGTATGGAGTTTTAAGAGTTCTTATTATGTTTTACTATCAAGTTTATTCCAGAAGTTAACCAACCAAATGCTTAAAAGGTTAAAGTTAAGTAAAATAAGGATTATCTTAGTTTGTTTTTGTTTGATTGTTTTTATTTGTAACAATTTATTGTACAGTAAAATCTTAAATTAGAGGATACAAGAATTTCTTAAGAAAAGTTTGAGTACAATGGTAGCCTTTTCCATAAAAGGAATTTCTTTCAGTCAACCTTTGAATGTTTGATAGAAATTGTGAATTGGTGGAGACAAAACCAAAAATAATATATAATTAAAAAAACTTCAAAATATAAAGATGTTACAGTTACAACAACATAACACATTATTAATTTATTTTCAAAGATAATAGTGGAAATTCTTTTTTCACCTACCTGTGGTCTATTTGCCATGAACGTATATGTTAATATGTATAAACCTTATGTATTGTCATTCCTGAGGATTAAGGTGTTATGTTATACATAATAATTTTACTGCTATCATAATTCTTATTTTTTAAATCACAGCTGCAAGCTCAGTGGGCTTTGTAGCATTCATTAAGTGCATTCTATTTCTCTAATTCTTTAAAGAATACATATGGCTTAACCAATTTATGAGATTTATTCATAAGCATTTATTTAATTCAATGATTAATTTAAAATATTAGCTATATAAAATTATTAATACAATAATAATATAGTAATTGTCATTAGATGTACATTTTATATTGTAAAGTTCTTTTTAATATAGATTTCAGATACCAGCAATGTATCACAACTTATAAACTCAGTTAAGGAGAAAGAAAATATGCTTAGTATAATGCAAGTAAAATTAAAAGCAATGGAAACAACTATATTAGATTTACAAGAGAAAATTAATGAAAAGGATCAAATTATTGAGGCTAAAAATATGGCAACTAGTTTGATGTCTGATAGTCTAAGTAAAAAAGGTGAATTCTGTAACAATATAATTTTTCTTTTATAATATTAATCAATAACAATTAATCTACTAGAACAATCTGTTATTTTTTTTTATGCAATTTAGAATCTCAGACAAGCTAACATGTAGAATGTGGTAACCCTTACACAATAACAAAAAAGCTCAAAGATCTGTTGTGTTTAATACAATAACTTCCATTTAGTAAGTAATAAACATGCTTATCTCATCAAGTCCGACTATGCCAACATGTACAGTCTACAATATCTTGTTGGAAAATACAAATCTATATAAAAGATTTAAGTGATTTTTTTTCATTATACTCAGATCATTTGTATATTATTTACAAATATTTTTGTTGACTGAGTAAAAAAAAAATTTCATTGAATTAAATTGTTTCAGAAAAAGATTCTATGGTATTGCTTGAAGATACCAAACAACAAATGACCAAAATGCAAGAAAATTTTGTAATAATGGAAACAGAGTGGAAAGAGGAAAAACAAAGATTACAAAATGAAATAGATATAAGAAATGAAAAAATTAACAATTTAGAAGAAGCTAATACCATCCTTGAAAATTCTAGATTTGAAATCAGTGTAGCACATTCAAAATTAGCAGAAGAATTAGATTTAAAGAATAAGGAAATTATAAAACTCCAAGTTAAAATTGAACAGCTGTCTAAGGAGCATCTTAATATTTCTTCACCTGAAGAGAAAAATGATAATGAAAATGAAAAAGGGTCTTTAGAAGTATCAAATATGATTGAATTAACCAAAAAGATAGAACTGTTGGAACAATTGAATTGTCAAATAAGACAAACAAACAAAGACCTAGAAAACAAACTTGCTACTATGTCTGACCAAAAGCCTGCTTCTACTGTTTCACCAGTTAAAAAACAAAGTCCACTTCCAACTCGTAAGGGCAAAAATACTGGTAAAAATAAATCTCCTTGGAGCAAATTGTCTTCAGAATCATTATCGCAAGAATCAGAAAAGAAACCACAAAAAAATGAAATAGAAAAATTTGAAATGTTAGTACAGTCTCTGAATAAAGAAATTTTAGAAAAGGAATATATGATTTCACAAAAAGATACTTTAATATCTGAGCTACAATCAGCAAATATAGAAAAGGAAGCTACTATAAATATTCTTAAAGACTCACAAAGAGAACCTATCCAGGAAACAGAGGATATTGGAATTTCAACAAATATAGTTGATAGTATAAAGACTGCACTGCCAGACCCAGAAGAAATAAATGTAACTGATACTGCATTATGTAGGGAACATTGTGTTATTATTAAAGAGCTTGAAAATAAATTAAGCGCTGCTCAACAACAAATTGAAGTCCTTAATCAAGATATAGATACTGCCAATAAAAATATGATAAAAGTGAAATCTAATCATAAATTAAAAATTAAACAGATGCATAAAACAATTGAAAATTTCAGTAAAGTATCTGATACAAATGCAGAAATAATAAAACTTAATGAAGAACTTCATCAGCTATCACAAAAAGTTGCTGAGTTAGAAGAAGAAAAGGGTAATTTGCAATTACATCTTGTAGATTATGACAGTGGTAGATGTAAGTATATAATATATAATCAGATATATTATTAATTAAATTATTTTCTGATAATACATAAATCGGCTATAAAAATATATTTCTATATTTGCAGTAACTGAGTCAGATATTTATAAGAAGATGATTGAGATGGAAAATTTGGCAGAAGTGAGACTAAAAGCTATTAGTTTATTAGAGACTCAAAAGTTTGATTTAGTGCAAGGTAGGTTGCAATCATATATTATTATTATATATTATAGTCAAAAACATATTGAAGTGCACAACTATTTGTATTATTAATATTATGGGTTGGTAAAATAACCTACATTTTTATATTGTTATAGTCCTGAAATAAATGTATATTATAATTATCTAAATGTGTGTAGATAAAATAAAAAAAATATGATAAAGGATTGTTATCAATTTTTTTGCAGTAATGTAATAGTAGTAAAGATCAATAGATTTACTAAATACTTTAGAAATTTCTCAACACATTGAAACAGTAATGCTATGCTTCGCTACTTGCTACCAGAAGAATTCACAGGGTACAGAAGTATAACACTTTAGTTCTCAAAAGTGGCAACACATGGAGAGTATCATGGATAAAATAATATACTCTGTTATGTTCATAGTACTATTCACGTATAATATTCACGCAGCGACGGTTACCACTTTCCATCAGGTGGATCGTCAGCTTGTTTGCCATTCTAAGTTGCATAAAAAAATTCATGAGCTAAGTAGAAACATCCACGTATAGATGACTTTCTCGCTGTTTCTCCCTTTTTAATAGGCAATTTAAGGAACATAGCCTATTAACAATATAAATTTAACTTTAATATTACTAATGACAAAACATCTTTGCAGAATTACATGTTTTACAACAAAAATATGTAGAAGTTGAGGATAAATTAGCAGATATGTCTCAATTTCAAAATGACCAAGTTTGTTCTGAAATGAAATCTGTACAACTTGAAGAACAGATTGATGGGCTTGTGGCTACCAAAAATGAATTAGAGCTTGTTATCGAAAACCTGAAATTAGATAAAGATCAGTTAAATGGAACCATAAAATTATTACAAGAAGAAAAGGAAGAACTTATACAGAAATTAGAAAATTATATTCAAGAAAATATTGAATTGACTGATAAACTTGAAAAATTAAGTGCTGAAAAAGTGAGCTCTGCAGAATCAATTGAAATTGTAGAATCATTAACAACACAAGAAAAGTTAGAACTTGAAGAATACAACAAAGGCAAGATTAGTGATAGTGTTGGTAATGATTATGAAAAAGAAGTAGCTCAGAGTAGTGAAAAATCACAAGAAGTTTTAATGGAACAAATTGCTGAATTAAACAGAAAAATTGAATTATTTTCTCAGGAAAGAGAAGAAGTAATGGAAAAAATGAATAAAATCAATTCTGAAAATCAACTCTTACATAAAGAAATAGAAATACAAAGTGAGCAATGCATGGTGTTACAAAACAATCTAGATGAGCTGAATAACGAAAAGAACGAGATACAAAAACTAAATGACATTCTTAACAATCAAATAGAAGAATTAAAGAAAGAGCGTATAGAAATAATGAAAGAAACTGTAGAAATCACAAAATCCTCAAACATTGATGATATAGGAGACACGATAGGAATTTCAGACTTACCTCACGAAGATAAGTCTGTAGGAGACAAAGGAGGCAGAAACAAATCTGTTAAACAATTAACAAAAGAAATACTGAAATTAAAAAACATCATTAAAGATAGAGAAGAGGAAATAGCAGATTGTCAAATGAAAATACTATCCTTGGAGGAATATCAGCAAAAGCAAAATGAATTAATGCAAGACAGTACATCTTTTGAAACAAAAATAAAGTTGTTAGTGGAAGAAAATCAACAATTAAAAGATAAGGTTGATAGTTTAGATAAAGATAGAAATGCCGAAAAAGAATTGTTACAATTTAAACAGGCAAATGAGCAAATACAAGAAGAATTACATAATGTTCGACAAGAATATGCAGCAACAATTAATGCACGTGACACTAGAATACATGAACTGGAAAATCTTCTGTTAGAGTATGAAAAGCAAATATATAATTATAATAGTACATTACAATTAAAAGACAAAGAACTCACAGATTATGTAAATCAGGTTACAAAGTTAAATGATGTTTCACAAAAACTAAAATCAACTATCGTACTCCTTGAAGAAGAAAAATTAAAAGATCAAAATGCTGAAATTGTGAAATCTTTAAATAAGCAAATTTCTGTATATCAGAAGAAAATATCAGAATGTGAAGAAAAAATAAGAAATATGGAAGACGAAAAAGTCCAATTACTTTCTTTAAAAACTGTGCTAGAGAATAAAAATATCAATTTAGATACTGAATTGAAAAAATTACAAGAAACGTTTGCTGAAAAACAAAATTTGGTCAAAGATTTACAATCTCAACAACAAAAATATTTAGAAGAGATATCTAATACCAAGTTACAAGCTAAAGAACGCGACGAAGAAATTCACGAAATCAAACTTCAGTTAAGAAAAGAATCTATAGAGAACGAAAAGCTTCGCACAAGTCTCTCCCAGAAAGATAAAGCTTTAGAAGACTTTACAGTAATATTTGAAGAAAACAAAGGAAAGTTGGAAAAAATTGAATTGGAGAAATCTCAAATTAATGAGCAATATATTTTATTGGAAAATAAAAATAAAGAATTAATGGAAAAATTGAAGAAGTTCGCAGTTAATATTAAGAAAAAGACTGCGATGTATACTGAATTAGAAAGTCAATTGATGGAAACTCAAAAGCAGCTTGAAGCAAAAAATGTAGATATGGAACAGTTATTAATACAAGTAGAAACGCTACCAGCATTACAAGAAAAAGTGAAACATGCTGATGAAGAAATTAATCGACTTCTCTTGCAAAAAAATACTCTGGAAAAACAAAAATCAGATGAAACGACACAATTACAGTTAGATGTACAATCCCTTGAGGAAAAAGTAACGATAGCTTCAAGAGAAGTTTTCAGGTTGAATGATTTACTTAATGTCACACAAAAAGAATTACATTTAATGTCTGAAGAAAACAAAAATCTTAAAAATCAAATAGATAGTTTACAGAATAAGTTAGTTGAGCATGAGATAGACCAAAAAAACAGTTTAAATTTCATAACAAAAATTTCTAGTTTGGAAAGTGATATAAATCAAAAAGAAAACCAAATTGCAGATTTGTTATTTAAACTTGAAGGTCAAGAACAACAGTTAAATCAATTACACTTTGGGCATGATGCCAAAGTTCAAGAAAGAGATTTGTACATAGAAAATTTAGAAAGTGAGATACAAAAATATAAAAATCGTATTTGTCGCTTGGAGGAAAGCGTATCTGTTATGGAAGATAGAAGACATTCATTAGAACGTAAAGCAGATCAGTTAGATACGCAATTGCAAGAAAAACAAAAAGCTTATAATGACTATACAAGTCATGAGGATGAGTTAGTTAATAGACTAGCGGTTCTTATGGACCACGATCGAGTTGTTGAAAAACAACTGCATGTTATAGAAAGTGACAATAAAGAGTTACATCATAAAATTCATCATTTTAGTGAAGAAAATCAAAAACTAAAGAAAGCTCTTTCCGACATACAGGAACATTGTAATACTCTGGTAGAAAAAGCTAGTAAATGTGATTTTGCTGAAGCAGAAATAGCGAAATATCAAGAACAAATACGTGACCTGGAAACAAATTTAAAACGTGTAACACATGAACATCAGATATTATTAGTGCAACGAAAACAAGATATAGAAGATTTGGAATCTGAATTTAATACTCAAATTGAAAATGCTATTAAGGAAAAGAAAATTTTAAGTGAAAAATATGAGAAAATCAGTGATCATGTTGGTCAATTAGAATTCAAGCTCCAGGAATATAGAAATAATATTGAAAACCTTAATCTGAATTTAGAAGAACTTAACAAAATAAATCACGATCTCATAGAAAAAACTGCACATAAAGACAAATCTGTTTTTCCTGATTATACAGAACAGTATGTTAGTGAAATAAACAAATTGAATTCTATTATTAATAATAAAAATCAAGAAATTCAGGACATTAATAGTAAAATACAAACAATACAAAATAACAACATCGCAGTTGTATCCAATTTGGAAAGTAATATATTAGATTTGACACATAAATTACAGCAACATTCTGTGGAAGCAGATCAGCTCAATAAAGAGATACATATTTTGAAAAATAGTAATGAGCAACTACAAATTCAACTTCTGAATAAAGAAGAAATAATAAAAGATTTAAAGGACAAGAAAAGGGTAACATTTGAAATGAATATTCCAAAAACTGAAGGAATGGTAATTTCATCCACTATTGAAGCCATCAATGAAGATGATCCTAAATTGGACATATCATCTGTTCAATCTCAAATAGTTTCTGATACAGATTATATGGAAGGTGAAGACAAATCTGCTGCCTTGAAAATATCTGAATACTTTCAAGCAAGTCACGAAGCTAAAGATGATAAAAAGTTCGATAGTTCTATAGAACCTGCGATTGTACCTAAAAAAGCTTATATGTGTTATAAAAGCGATAGTAAAGAAGAAGATGGTAATATCGGTATTGTCGAAGATCCATTCAATTCAGATGAAGGTTGGGGATTGGGAGAATGTCAAGAAGCTGAAGAAGTAACAGTAGATTTGTCTCATCTTAATGACCAAATATTACAATTAAAGAAAGATAAGGATGTTTTAAAGACTGACCTTGATATAACTAATACTAAACTTTTCAAAGCTTTAAAGAAACTAAAAGAATACAAGTCAAGTAACGAAATGCTTTCTAATGAATTAAAATTATCGAAGCAATTGTCACAGTGTTCAATTTTGGATACTGCTATTGAAGATGAGTTGCGAAACAACATTCAAGAGTTAGAAAAGAAGATTGAAGACCTTACTGCAGAAAATAATAAAGAAAAACGTGAAAAAGAAGCTATTAAAAAACAAAATGAAGTTTTTAGTAGTGCTAATGATAGATGGACAGAAATTAAAGAGAAAATGGATAGTGAAATAGAATTATGGAAATTTAAATTTAAAGAAGTTAATGATAAGTTATCTACAGTACAATGGGATGCTAAGGAGTCTCCAGGACCTAAAATTCCTGAGATTCCATTAAATACTAGTGAACAAGCAATAAAAGATGAAATGTTGAAGCTTGAAAATGAAAACGATGAATTACAATTACAGCTTGATCAGTTAACTTCACAAAATAAAGAATTGTCTTCAAAGCAAGCTCAAATGTTAAACGAAATAAATGATTTACAACTTCAAGTGCAAAAACAGTCTGTTTGTAAAGATTGTGAAAGTATGAACTACCGTTTGTTGCAATTGCAAGACAATAACACAGAATTGTTAAAGAATATTGAAATTTTAAATGAAAAACTAAGTCAACTTGAAGATAATTATAATGAAACAACACGTAATTATGAAAAGTTAAAATTACATAAAGAAGAACTGGAATGCGGATTTAAGAGTAACATTAAAGATTTAACGGACAATTGCACGTCTTTGCAAAATGAAGTGCAGTCTTTAAAAAATCTGGAAAGCGAAGCAAATAAGAAAATAACATCACTTCTGGAAGAAATTGAAACTATTAAACTTCATAAAGAGCAACAAACTGATGCTGAATCCCAAGATGCTGATATGTTATTATTATCTGAAAAATATAATGTTATGGAAAATAAGTGCAATCAATTAAATTGTGTTCTTGAGGAAGCTAATAGTAAAATTGTATATTTAGAATCTCTCAAACTCGAGTATGAAATAAAAATAAATTCTTGTGAACAACAAATACATGATTATGAACAAAAGCTTGCTGAATTTGAACAGCATCTAATTGAGTTTAATTCTCAAGCAGAACAAAAATCTGCTACAACTAACAAATCCGAAAATTATGAAGAACAGATTAATGAATTGAATTCCAAAATACAACAATTGAATACTGAAAATGATCAGTTACTCTCAACCGTAACAGAACTTCGTTCATCTATAGCAAGTGCTGTAGATCAACGTGGATTTGAAATATCAGAGTTATGGAAACAACATTTAGCTCAAAGAGAAGCCGATTTCCAAAAGACCGAACAAGAACTGAGGTCTGAACTAAGTGCGTCTGAAGCAAAGTATGAACAATTATTAGATAATGTCCAGTCATCAAGCCAAGAAGAAACTAATAAGTTAATAACTATGGAACAAATTAATTCTTTACAAATTAAACTTCAAGACAAAGAGGAACATCTACATAATCTACAAAATAAATATGCAGAGGTAATGAATCAGTTAGACATTTTGCGGTCTGAAATAGAAGACGAAAAAGTTATTCATGATAACAAAATACTTGCGCAACAAGATGAATATGAAAAATTAATTCAAGAGTTAACAACGACAAATCAGCAGAATACAGAAAATTATGAACAGAACCTAAATAGTATCAAATCTGAACTAAATGAAACCAAGAATAAATATAATGAATATAAAAAACAATTTGAAGAATTGAAAGAGGAATTGAAAACATCTGAGGATAAAATTGTAGAATTATCGAATCAGATACAAATAAAAGAAAGTGAAATATATCAGAAAACATTAGAGTACAGTCATACACTAGCACAGAGGAATGAAGAATTTGAAAACATTAGAAAGCAACTAATTGAATATGAAAAGAAAGTAGAAGAAATCAGTTTTGAAAAGGAGTCTGAATTGGCAATTTTGAGATTAAAGATACATGAAAGCAATGAACATTATGAGAAAAATCAAAAAGATTTAGAAAATGAGAAATTAGCTTTAACTGAAACATTAAATGCTAAAATTGTAGAATGCACAAATCTCAATAAAACTATTACTAAATTAAATCACCACTTAGAAGAGCAGTCTAAAATGGCTATTGAAATGCAGATAGCGTTAGAAAGCCAAGAAGTAGAAATAGTGTCACTTAAAGATGAATTATCTAATTTACAAAATAATATAAGAGCATCAAGTAGTAAAATTGAAAAACATGTTACTTTTGCGTCAGATACAAAATCGGAAACTGAAGTAGAAACGACTGATGGTGCATTGAATAAGGAATTATTAGATGCAGTCCCTAGAGCTGAATTGGATTTGGCATTATACATGTTGCATCAAAGAGATGTGCGATGTGAAGAACTTACGATGGAGCTTACGCAACTATTGGAGGAGAGGGATACATTACAACTACGCTTATCAGATAGTTTACGGTCTAATGAGGAATTAAAATCAAAATGTAAAATAGGACAAGACAGAGCGAGTCTGGACGAATTGTTGAGTTCTAGTCAAGAGACTGTGTCAGAATTACCAACGTTTACAGTAGAGAAAGAACAGCAATTCATAGACATTCACCGTTCTCAAACATCACGAAGTAGCAGCATAAGTGATCCTGATGGAGATAAACCCAAGTTACAGGCAAAGTAAGTTTATATAATTATTTGCCCTTTTACCTTGCCTATACTAGGCACATAGGATACACTATGTACTAATTCACGTGTACATTGTGTAATAATTTAGCTGTTATTCGGTTTGAAGGGTGGGATATGGCAATGAATTTACCGAGGAATAACACCTTAGTCCTCAGGAATGGCAACGCAAGGGGGGCATCATGGGCGAAACAGTATATTATCTATAGTACTACATAGTAGTGTATAGTATGTAGTACTATAATAGTACAGTAGGTACTGTTTATGTCTATAGGCGACGGTTACACTTTCCACCAAGTGGGCCGTCAGCTTGTTTGTTATTCTAAATTGCATCAAAAAAACGTGGATAAAGCCGCGGAATACAGCTACTATTGAATAATGCTACTGATATATAGCTGCTCCCACAGATGTCATTATGTCAAAAGCTGTTTGGTCTCTGACAGTCCGTCCTACACATGGAACAATTTATATGTGAAAAAAATTGATCTTACCAAACAATTTTTCCAATTTTTCCCTTTAAACATTCCTCGGACTACAATGAATATTTAAAAAAAGAACTAGTCCATTTGCTTCAGCCGCTTTCAAGTTTTGCGCTTAGTAATTTATTTTTTACAAAAATTTATATAGATAGATGTGAAAGTTTGTGAAGAGGAAGTATGTTATTCCAATCACGCTTAAAAGGTAAAATGAATTTGAATGTAATGTGTTTCATGGCTAAGTTATATGCTAACTTAACAAATAGGATACTTATATATTATTTAGGTTAATTTTTTCTTATCTAGTAAAGAGCTGTCCTATTTGTCAATTTTTTACACAATTCACATTTACAAAACTTAAATAAAATCGGTAGTGTTTGGTTCCAAAAATTAGCACGAATGAACATTGTAAATTCCCCATCATCGTATAAATATTTCACGACATAGCAATTTCGGGTACAATGTGTAAATTTGAAATATGCCGTAGTATATACATAGTATATACCCTTCGTATTTTTAGATTATCAGAGCTGCGCAGCGTAAAACATAGTCGGGACGTACGGCTGAGACACGAGAGCGAGAAGCGGCAAATGGATTTACGGCTACTACAACGTGATGTCGCCAACCTGCCCCCTGAGGCAGTAGACCAGCTGGCGCAGGCTCACCATACCATTTGTAAGTGTATTTATGCAATATTTTGAACATTTCTTTCTTCATTTTTGAACATTTGAGGGGGGTAACCTGGTTATGGTCTGTTTTAATAGAATTTAATGGAAATGTTTTCATAGTGTAAATAGTTCTTTTTTATAGTGTATCAGAATACATTGAAATTAAAAATTTATCTAGACATATTCTGTAGTTTAATTATATAATGGTATATAAATGAAAATTTATTTTTTATTTTATTTTATTGATAACTGCATTAAATTGGTCAATTAAAATGTATAAATTTTCATTCCTTTATACGAGTTGAATTCGTGTGGCTTCGGCATAGAATAGGCCACCCTTTCCTTTCCCGTAAGTCGTAAATATAAAATAAAATAAAAATAAGTCATGTCGTAAGGAAAGGCAAGGGATGGACAGCAGCATCCCTCTTAAAACATCTCCAAAGCCTAACTTCGATTGCCATTTCGCCTGCCAACCGTGGCAACCATTGACAAGACACCCCCCCCCCCCCCTCCTAGCTATATTCAGTAGTGGTCAGTTAAGGGCTAAGTATGAGGATGATACGAGCTGAATACACTGAACAAAATGTTATTAAGACCTTTTTTAATACTATATTATGCACATTAATTTGATTTGAATGTAAACAAACAAATAATTGAACAAATCCCAATTTGATTAATCGATTGAATGTTCGATTTGCTACAAATGTCATTTCGTGTCAAAACATGTTTACCTTTTGGTTAAATTTTATTGAAAGATTATAGTGTAGAAGATACTAGCGACGCCATTACCACCAATATATAAGTCAGATCGACCGTCTCGTGGTTGCCCCTGGAAACCATCGTGTTTGTTGAATTTATCACTGCTACCTAACCAGATTATCTGTTGATCTAGAGGTGTTACATACGCTGTGCCGATTCTGATCAAATCTTATCACGGTTTTAGCAAAATCTCATAGTTTTTAGAAAAATCTCGTCAGGAAGATAATTCTGCAACCAAAGAACATTTCTTTGAAGACGCTTTCTTTAAATCTTTTGAATTCTAATATGTGAGAATGTGTGGCTAATATTTTGATTTCAAATTTTACAAGGCAAATTTTATTAAAAAATAATTGTAAAACGAAAAGAAACTCTAAAGAAAACCAGCGCACATACATAAAATTAAGACATACATAGTGCGTGGTGTTTGTACTCGTAGGCAGAGAGATAGGTTAAGTTAGGTTCAGTTTACATTTATAATCTTAGTAAGGTAACCGATGTAAAAAATGGAATTATTTGCGAGTAGGAATAACGGTGTTTGCGAAAAGTTGAGAATGTAACTTAATCGAATTTTATATATTAATAATTTTTTTTATTACAAAATTAGTAACAAACCGAAAGTTTCAATCAATTATTTGGTTTTATTAGACATCAGCAAACTGTCTTATGATCGGATTACTTATTCATTTGTTTACATTTTCATTAAGTTCTATTGACATAGACTACGATATATTGTTACTGTAGACAGAAACAGTTACTGTAATAATATAAAATTTATTTATAGTTTTTCATTTATTTATTTACAGCACGGGACTCACAAAGCACTTCCACTGTATTGCTAAACTGGCTTCGAGGAAAAAGCACTCCGAAAATAGTTCACAATATGTGAGTTCATCAAAGAATATTAGGGTATGATATACTATATCTAACAAAACGAGAAAGTTAAACAATTCAAATATTCAATTCGTTTTTATGGAATCTATAATATTTCTGTCTAATTGTTTCGTTAGGAACATCAGTTTTTGCATTTATGACATAAATTTTCCACCCCCAAAACGACACAATTATCGAATGTTTATAGGAACATTTTATTAATTGTGCTTATATTTAATAAACACTTGCCAACAGACATTAATTTCATTATGATATTTATTATTTACTTTTATGTTTAAATATACTTAAAAATTTAATCATATTTTTTTTTTACTATTTATAATGATACTACTAATATAGTATCATATTACAGTTGGTTATATTAACAAAAAGGTTTTAAATCTACCTGCATCAGTTGATCTTGCATTGTATTCGTTGTAGTGTTTTCTTTTTACAAGCTTTTATTTTCTTTTTCAATATAAAATGTTTTGTTTTGTATATTCGTCAAATTCTGTTAACATTGTATTTATGCTTAATTTATTAGAATCTTTTTTTTTGGAGTGACATCGCATTAGTATAAACCCATCAAATACTTATCGACAGGTATACGAATATTAATCACGTTTTCTTGATTTTTCTCATAGCAATTTTTATTCTTCATGTCTGCTTTGGCAAGTACGAACGAACGAGACAATGATTTTAAACGCAATGCATTCCTATCACAAACTTAGTTGTTAAACTGAAAACCTTACTTAACGGCCACTATTTTGTTTTTCATCTCTTTTACATTACTCATTTTAAAAATTTGGTAATTACCTAAAAACTGTTTTATTTATTCAGTTTATATGCAAAGAAAGTAATATCTTTAATGTACCAAGTTGAAACTTTTCTAAAGCCAATGGAAACACGATTTCAAGGTGTGCCTTCTCGTTCATAAACCAAATTGTAAATGTTATTTTATTCAAAGTTGTTAATCGTTTATTTCTAGTTAAATATAAAATGTGTATAATTTAATGTATATATTTATATATTATTATCAAGTTCACATATATGTGAATATTTGTATATGACATTGTAAATTTGATTTTCATTAAATGGAATTTCATTAATATGAATATTTTATTTTACTATCCGTGTTATTTATACAAATATGGTAAATATGATGGGGCAAGGTAAACAAGTGTCATATAATTTCGAATAATTTTATTTCTTTTTCAATATTTACATTTCAGCCCAGCAACGAACATACATTCAAAGACAAACTTATAATAGTAGTAATCGCATATAAAATCAAAATATGCAATTTTGATTCTCGCATGTCATATGTGTTTCTTAAAGACTACACAATATTGTATAATATTTAGTACGCACCTTCTGTGCTAGAAAAGTAACATAAAACACCTAAACTCTGGTGCGATTCTAATAACACTATTTACATCATAGGAAAAATCAATATAATCCTCTAATTTTGACATTAATCCTAATTTACAATAGAAATAACTAAATTTCTTAACATTATATTCAGTAAGCCAGTCCAAAAGCCGCTTAATAAGCATTAGATAAGACTAACCTTGTAATGCGTATATTTTCCCACATAATTTTACATAAAAACTAACAAATATCTACTTCATTAAAGTCAAATTCTGATGCCTAAAATTTTAGGCAACACTGTTCGCCACAACCATAAACTGTACTTACTTCTGTAATATATTACTAATGACAATATAAATAAATATATGTGTAATAGTATCATTTGCTTATTTTTAGATATTTGATATAGGTAGTATTGTAATGGAAGGAGGTATTTACATATAACTGTATATGTATATTTTAGATTTATTGCTTTATAAAATATAGTAGTGTAGTTTCTTTATGGCACCACATGCTTTTAGCATTATCTTAGTATATGACATTATTTACAATTAATTCTAAATTATCTACAAAGATCCCAGATCGCGTAATATATCATTCGTTACTATTCACTAAGTCTAAGGTAATCGGGCATGTCATGTTAATTATTGTAATTACTCCCTGACTGCCTTATAAACTAATGGAAGACATCGATCTACTGTTTTTTTCTTCTTGTATATACTAAGCAAAAAAATTGCATAGTGGCATACCATTGTTGAATATCTAAAGTATGTCATTCGCGTGCTGAATATTTGGAAACTCGTCTAATTTTGGAACGAAAAATAATACTATCCTTTTCATTTCTTAATATGTAGTAACCAAGGATAGCAATTCTAAAATCTTTTATTTTTTAAAATTTTATTTCATACTCGATAGGTAGTTCAGGTAAGTCATTGACATCTAAATTCAACTCGCCCACCTAAATATTAAGCACGTGTTGGCTACTTTATATACTTATATCTTGTATTAATATATTTTCTGGGCATGTACATTACTTACGTCTATAATTATTAGTATAATGTGCGTAAATCACCCGTACTTATTATAAAAAAGCAAGACACTTAAATTTTATAAAACTATCACAATTTATTTATGAAATTAATGAACCCCGATTTTTTTTTTACTAAATTGTAGATATTAAGTACAAAGTAATGGAACTTGACTATTGTATATTATTTCCAATGGATGCAAATATAGGAACAATAATATGAAATTAAATTACTAATTACTATATCATAAACATCTTATCCGATACATACCTAAATCACATTTTTTTTATATTTTTTCCTAATATCAAACAAACCTTACATAAACTTGCTTAGTTAACGTATTATGACTGGAAATGACTAAAATATGAAGTCCGATCAACTTTTAACGCTATCACATTCACATTAAATGTTAAACTAAAAATGTTGGTATTTTATAAAAAAAAAGGAACAAACAATTAATTTTCCTATACATAATGGAGAATCATCAATAACAAAAATATACAGCCCTTTGTCTACTTTCTTAATAAAATTAATAATTATACATATAGGTAGGTTGCATTTGAAAAGGCATCTAGCTAATACGTGCATTTATTTATAACTGATCTGTAATAAATCATAAATATAATAATATATGAACAAAATGTTATATTTTTACAATACAAAGCGTAATTTATTGCCTTCCCCCGATATAAATTGGAACAGATAATATAAGTATTTAAATAAGTTCATACGAGTTCTGTGTAATTTTACTATTATTTAGATTAGTAGGGCACATTTTACAAACTAATGAATTTAAATTATGTCATTTGAATGATTTACATTAGTCTCATTTTTAGCAAACTTAATGTATAATATATATGTATATAATACGTAATGTAAATTATTGTGTATAAAAAGGATTAAACAGTATATCCGTGGCGAGAAACAGGTGTTCGCAATTGGTCATGGTACCTATCTGGAACTGCTTTGCTAAAAACACGATTAATGTAAATCAAGAATTATTTTAAGAGACTTAAATAAAAAGTAATAAGAATTTAATCAAATTCAAAATGAAATGTTTTGACTCAAAAACCCTAATGTGCATAAATTATGCACGATATTATATTTTTTTTATAAATTATGACAAATAAATCAGTTCATTTATCAATCAAGTAGTAAAAAGCTAACTTTGGTCCCTTGGAGTCTGGATTAAGTATTGACTTATGTACTCACTTTAGTGGCAGCATCGTTAATAAATGTGTCGGAAGTTTATTACTTATATAATTAAGAGGTAGTTTGTAATTTCAAGAACCGCATTAACTAGTACTGAAAAATGTATCTTAGGTTAACTCCTTCAATGTAATGCCTCCGGAAGTATTGTGTTACTGTGTGGACTGGTAGGACGAGGCGCGGTCGGGACATATTTATATCTATCTGTTATCAATGAGGAAATCGAATTACTAAATAAACTAAACAAAAACGACATTTCGAATCGAAAATTAAGAGTCAATAACGTGTCGGGCATCTTATTGGGGGCAGGTTATCTAAATTTATCTTGACCGCACCACACATACAAGTAGCACATAGGGCTTACATATCTTATTTAATAAAATGGCTTATAATAAAAACTACATATGTAAGTAGTTATCTAGACACATGCTTGTCAGTCTTGGTATCAGTCCTCTATCACGGATGCACTCATCAAATAAATGATCTACCTAGTTTAAAGTATTTTCGTACTGCACCGTAATTAAAGCAATTTATAAGAAATGAGTTCGTACACAGCACAGTCAGGCCGCCGTTAGAAGTGCACGTCTCTGACGTCGGTGGGGGTGGCGGCGTTACTGTGCGCCTTATCCTGAGGAGGGGGCGGGGGCGTCCACCCCGCCGCCTCCCTGCGCTGCCCGTTTGGGACAGTGATGGCTCGCTCCACAATCATGTTTTCCACCATTTGTTCGATTTGCTCCAGGCATGTTTGGAGACAATCCTAAAAAATAATTTTTAATGTCAGATAATAGGTACTCAGCATAAGTCTTGGTTAAACTATCGTGTTATTAGCCAAGAAATCAGATACCCATACTCTTTGATTCGTGTTTTTTTTTTAATGGGTAATAATGGAATGCAACCTGCGCTGTCGGTATACACTGGCGGGATACTAATGAGAAACTGAAGGTGCAGATGAAAGTAGGCCATTTTTTAAATGATGAGAATGGAATGGTAACCCCATCTGTGCGTATCGTTGTTAATTCTATGAGATTTAACAACGATAGTTTCCAGGGTGAACCGCGTGGCAGTCAACCTTATAGAGTACATTGCTACCATGGGTGACCAAGAGTGGGGCCACTAGACCCCACTAACCACTAACAATCCCTTCCCCGCCAGGCAGGTACGTTAGCCCATCTTGACAAATTCTATTAGAATTAACTACAATTAATACCTAATTTTCAGGGAGAACCGCGTGGAATATATTGCTAGTAATGGAGTTACTTATTCCCATTATTAAGAATCCTCTTTCCCTCTAATTAATTTCATTCAGAAGTGTAGTTGTCAGTTTTTCAATCTAGGGAAACATTTTAGCCCGAGGAGAAAGGAATTATTAATAATGGGATCTAACAAGCCCATTACTAGCTATAAAACCTAAGTCGATCTCCACTCGGTTTCCCTCGGAAACCATTGTGGTTAATTTTTGATGAATTCGTCACGGATTAGTCCAACCGATCTACTACATCCTCATTAACAATACTACAATGATGCCCTACCAGCGTATACCGATAGCGCAGGCGGCATTACCATTCCATATACAACCATAAAGAAAAAACTTCTTAGTCCTTGAGAGTGGCTTCCAAGTATGAGCAATCACATCGTATATAAATATTATGAGACGGATATCACTGTATTATTTATGTCGTCTTGTTTGCTAATTTCAAATATTAAAAATAAAAGTACAGATCTGTTGTCATTGTATTACTCTATTTCCATGCTGGCTAGACGTCTTAGTTCTCAACAACATTGTAAAGTTTAACTTTGTAATTCCATGGGTTACGGCAGTGGAGAAATTATTTACCAAGTCTATGCGCGTAAGTTGGTGCAGCCGCTGTAGGTGGCCGTCGAGGCCGAGACCTCGCAGGGCGGCCGCGATGCTACACGACGCCAGCGTACTGGCTGAATATAGTGTAAACTCGTAATCTGTAACAAACGAAAACAATGTCAGGAAATAGGTATTTACAGATATAAAATTATATATATCCCCACTTTATATGAACACCTACACATTCGTCAACTGGATATCCCGCTATTTATGTACATACCTAACAGAATAAATACTTATCACAATAAGTTTAACGGGGTACATAATTGAAACTAGGATTCTTTCCTGTTTGTTAATTATTTCAGTGTTCAATAATAATTGGAACTGTAATTAACGGAGTATTGGAGCCTCTATCAATATATAAGTAGTAGATATAATATATACTTAACTAACATGTGCTTAAAAAATAGATATACGTAATATAAGTTATAAAATCTGTTGGCATCTACCTCATATCTATATGTGTACGTATAATATTGTAAGATATATCCGGTGTGTAAAGAAATGTTCCTTTCTCTCTCCTGCGGTACAACAGTCCCTCTCGGGAGAGGGCCTCAAAGGAGCCGGCACCCGCCCTCGCGACCGCATTCCATAGCCTGCGCTTGCGCGCCCGATTCACTCGAATATTTCTCATGGTCTTAGTTAAGTAGACCTTTACATAGGTATTTTAAAAGTCAAAATATTACCGTGTCTTATTAAAATATACTTTCCTATAATACAATAATAATGAACTACATTAGAAAAGACGTTACCTTTGTAAGCTCTTTATGAATTGGGAATATAGTATATTGAAAAATATATATTTATATGTCACACTTCGTAACTTTTGTGTCCTTTTCTATGAGAGACAAAACCTATACAAACAGAAATATTTTTTAATGTATAAACTTTTCTACCGTTTATAGACATGAACAATAACCATGGATATAATGTAAATAGTGCTTTGCGGCGTCTCCTGCACTGGTTTACAACTAACAATCTTATGTTAAACGCTAAAAAAACAAAATGTGTTAATTTCTCTCTGTCTAAAAGTTTTAATACTAATTGCAATATTAAATTAAATGACGAATCTCTCGAATTTATAGAATCTACTGTCTTTCTAGGATTCACACTAGATAATAAAACACAATGGGGTGCACAAATTCAAAGCCTTGCAGCGAAACTAAGTTCAGCAGCTTTTGCCGTGCGTAAAGTTAGACAGTACACTGATACTGATACTGCTAGATTAGTCTATTTTAGTTATTTTCATAGTTTACTCTCTTATGGAATATTACTATGGGGAAAAGCGGCAGATATTAAGAATATATTCATATTACAAAAACGTGCCGTTCGAGCGATCTACTGTATGAAGAGTCGTGACTCATTAAGAGAGAAATTCAAAGAGGCAAATATTCTCACCGTTGCTTCTCAATTTATATATTCAAATATCCTATATGTTCATAAAAATCTTGACTTATTTCCAAAAAACAGCAATATTCATAATATTAATACTAGATTTAAAGACAAACTTGCTGTCCCCAAGTATCGTTTAGAAAAAGTTAATAGGTCTTTTATGGGAATAGGTATAAAAATTTACAATAAGATACCAAAGGATATGTTGGAATTACCCTTAAATAAATTCAAAACATCTGTTAAATCATATTTACTGAGCAAAGCCTATTACTCACTAAACGATTACTTGAATGACGAGTGTGCATGGCAATAGTTGTTCATGCACTGAATTTTCATTTAATGTTAGACATAGACACCTATATAAATATACATTGTAAATAAACTGGCTTTAAAAAAAAAGTAATTCAATTGAGTTTCTTGCCAGTTCTTCTCAATTGTATCTATATACCGAACTGGACGGTAGGGAAAAAAATAAAATTATAATGTAAAAATTTGACGTTCATAAGCGGCTAAAATGTCCTACATGAATAAATGATTTTTGAATTTTGAATTTTGAACACAAGTATACTGTGACGCTCATGTTACTCTTGCGTTACCATTCTTGAGGACTAAAATGTTATGTTATGTTACATCTATGCTGTGAGGTATTCATAAATTAATAGTAGACCTACACAACTTCCCAATAATTTATTGTTAATATATAAATAACATTTACCTATTGACATTATTTATTTATTTGCTTTAAGTATAAACTCATTTATCATTGCATATACCTAGGAGTTTTATAGTGATAAATTAACAGGAAATTCTCCTGAATGGCCGACCTTGTTCGTAATTCGTTGTATATAGTTAGAAGTAATAAATATTATAAAATACATTAAATGAATAATTATATTTTTTTTTATTAATTATAACTTTAACTATATAGTCAGGCAAATATTTTTCCCACGCTATCGCAAGAATTATGGACGAGATGAGACGTGCAAACCACAAGTACCTCCGCACCAGACACGAAGTCGCAGACAAAACGATTGAGGCCTTCAAGGGCCCCCTATTCATCATTAAGTAGTTTCCATTATATTGGCCAACGTATGGATATCGAACACTCTTTCAGCTCATTTAAAAGATTTATTTTAATTTCTTTTTTATTTGCATGTCGGCACACTCGAGATAAAGAGAACGGGCAGAAGGAACGCACAAAACGAACAGGACGAAACAAGGAGAGCGGCCGCTTATTCGAAGTATTTGCATAATCTGATGTTAATCAAACATCGGAGCCTACTCTCTGAGCTGGCGACCGCTAATTCTGTGACGGTGACTAAATGCAGAGTCGTCATAACCTAGCTTCTAGGCTTATTTAAATTAGGACCAAAAGAATTAAGAGTACAAAGCGAAAGCTGACCAAGAACTAAAACATGGGACTGAATTGGATTACACTAAAGAACAGCTTACAAAATTGTTGACGAACGTAATTGATCAACTAGATCTAGAGTAGTTTTAGCAGTTCCTCGGCATGTATACAGTAGGTAGACTAAACAAAAATTGAGGAGGTAGAAGAAAAATGAGGTTTACTCAATTGGTCTAAATCTAACTTTCAGATGACTAAGAAAAACAATGACAGTCTTTGAGTGAATTCTACACTGCGAATTTTATTATCATAATCTACTCGGGCTAATAGGACTTACGAACTTACGAGACACAGGGCGGATGTTTTGCTTGTAAAATATTATTATGTATCAGCAAAACTTTGTGTATAAACATTGTTAATATTAGTTCTAGAGTTATAACCTACACTTAACCTAGAGTTATAGGGGGAAAGGGATTGTTAGTAATGGAGACTGAGAATCCCATTGCTAGCAATATAACCAACCAGGTCGGCCTCCTCTAGGTTCTCCCTGGAAACTATCATGGTTAATTCCTGATGAATTCATCATGATGGGCTAACTGACCTGTTTTCATTCTCATCTATCACCCTTCACTGGTACTCCGACAGCGTATCCCGTTAGCCCAGGCGGGGTTGCCATACCATTTTCACCCATCAAAAAAAAAAAAACAAAACCTAGAGTTATAATATGTAGACTCTACGAGCACTTTGACCATAATTCTGTTAAGTATTATTTGGCAACAATAGAGTGATATTGACTTAAGGAATTAACAATCAACCATACAATTTCTTTACCAGGACTTCTATATATTTTTACCTATATACCAGCATACCTACCTATAATATAAATATGTATAAATGTTTAATTCTATAATGCATAAAATATATAAATAAATAAATAATGTAAAATATATATTTGTATATTGTAAATAATATGAGTTTAATATTATATGTATGTTATTTTTTAATTATTGTTTGAATTTAATATTGGCTTTATCTATCAATCGACCGTAGACAGGAATAACAGAAAATTGACGGTTTAACGATGACGACGATTGAATTATATTTTCTGTTATTCCAGTATATCTGGTGTTAAGTCCGCCATTTACACTTTTTAGGTGTATTAAAGTTTTATAAATAAATAAATAATTGTATTTAATCAAATTATCTGATTGTGTGCCGAACTGGGACTCATGAAAATCATAAAGAAGGCGGAGTAGCCATCAGGAGTGCGGGTGGTGACATAATCATCGTACTGCCCTTGAACGTGGAGCCAGTAGATGTGGTAACAGGCGGCGGCGGCAGAGCGAACCGCCCGGCTTATTTGCGAGGTGAACGCTCTGACGAGGCCGCGCCGTCGCCGTAGTAAGCGCCGCGGTGCCCACCGGAACAACACCCGTGCTGGCCCCCACAGATATACGCTTGCCATTCGGCACCACAACTCGCTACTGTAGTCTAGAAGCCGATGGAAGAGTAGACCGCGCTACAATATCTTGTGTAGAACGTTCGCCGACGAAAAGACATCATAATGTCAAATCGCAAATAGCTTGATCCATAGCATACGTAAATACAGAAGAGAACTTTATTATGTGTATGCATCAGACAAATCATCAAGATGAATTTGAGTGGGAAGCAATAATTTTATACCTATCTATAATTCATCTACTTTGGCTGGACCATCAGATCCATGTCAGTTTTAAAATAACCCATTACAATTTAATATCCCAACGAGTTATGATTCCAGAGTAAATTGTGCCATTCAAATAATGATACATAATGCGGGCTATCTCGATACCGCGAAATATTCGCGCTCTCCACTTGACGATCTTTTGCCGCTCAGGGGCAAATAGGTCTTTTTATGAGTTTTAACAAATGACCTTTGAGACTCCTTGAGTTAAAAATAATTATAACAATTTGCATACTGTAGTACACTAATAAATATGTGCCAAATTATTGCCATTATAAAAGAAATTGCATTAGATTTCTCGAACAAACGAGATGAGATTATTACATTACGAGTGAAATAAAATAACTGATGCGTAAACTTCTTTTACAAAAATAAAGCAATATGACAGCGGCGGTGAACAACAAAAACCGTTGCATAAAAACATATGATCCCATGAGGGTATGGGTGAGACGAGAGACGGTGGTGCGGGGCGGGGGAGTCCCGAGGCGTGCTGGAATGCGCTCGAGCGAGCGGCGTGGGAGGCGCCGCAGCCGCAGCCGCCGGCGCAAGCAGCACAGGCAGAACACACACACAGCCCGCCGCCCTAGTACTCGCACTCTACTCTGCCCTCATTGTAAACAAGCTCACAGCAATCTTAGCCAACATCCTCAATGTTTAGTTCAAAGCCAATGAGATGCCAAATACATCTACACCTAACTAAACCTCAGCAATTCACGACAAATGAATGCTTTTATTATTATATCCCTTATACCACCCACGTAAACACAACATTTTGAATGTTATTGAAAAAAAAATTAACATGTTAGATTTTAGATTCAAATTCTTCTCATTTATGCAAAGCATTTTTTTATTATCCTATTTTAGGTTTTGATCAAAATTTACTTAATATTATTATTGATCGATAAAAATTTTCATGTGAATTGCTAATATTGCTAGTCATTAATAGGTATGTTAGGTCATACTGGACTTAGCAAATGAATGGTAATTCTTCCTTTATTACTCCATTTTTTTTAAATATAAATGTAATAAAACTATTTTAAAAGGTTTTTATTAACTGCTATTGTTAGTTTAAACCTACTTAGTTTTATTTGTTCTATTTCTTGCTCTAATATGCCTCTCGTATTATTTTTATTCTTTTAGTCTAATGCGATATTCAGCTTACAACTTCGTCTGATTTTGTGCTTTATTTAATTTATTACGTTTGTTTCATTGCTCTTTATTTCGGTATCTATTTAAATATTAAGTAATCAAATCTAGCGATATAAAAATGTTAGATACCTACCTACAATAAAATAAGACTGATATTCCGGATGATGATTCGTTTCAGGGTAAACGTAGTTTTTGTGGATTTTATATTCTTATTATTTCTTATACATTAAGGTTCATTGACATGTGACAAGAAACGCGAACAAGAGGCAGAGCGCGACTTGGCTCTACATTGTCGTGACGTGACGTAGTATCTAGATGCTAATTACTGTCTACTGCGGCAAACAACACATACCTATTTCTCATTTATCTAGTAGTAAAATAAATTAACATTAACAATGCAACATATTATTATCCATTCATTGGTATTAGCAATTGTGTCGGTAATGTCTGGCTAAATAGATAGGTACTAACCTCTAGCGGCCAACGCAATAAAAGTCTGCGCATGTCTCTGAACCATCTCGGTGTTGACGAGACCCCTAAGCGGTAACCTTGTCAGCAGCAATGGTAGAAAGTCGTGTGCTGTCACACCAGCCACGTCCCATTTCAGTTTCGACAGCACCAACAATTCCCAGCTCTGTTGACAAAATAAAATATTATTACTTATTTAACAATAATTTCAATGTTTCTAATGTTAACAATGTCATATATCATCTTCCTTATACAAAGGTACAATATTTCAGTTACTCGAGTCGCAATTTGTTTATTTTTAATTATTTAATTTATGGTTACATGAAAATGCCCTTAATAATTTAGCACTTTTTTTGTTATCTTCTCGATGATATGAGTCACCATTAATTTAATAAACAGCTGACGGCCGCATTGTGATGAGAACTCAGTTGGTAGTCCTATAGTGTGGCGTTTACTCGGGTAACGATTCGAAGAAGAAATGTGACATTCTTGCTGCTACATCCGTTGTTTAATTGTAAACAAGCAAGGACCGCTTTGACTTCCAGGAACAAGGGATAGGTAAAGTAGCTTTGAAATGCGTGTAGAATCCATAAACTGTACGATTTTTAGTTTGTTTATTATGAAATTGTTATGACTGTTCAATTATGATTCGGTCTTGGAATATTCAAGAAGAAAAGTCACAACATTTTCAAATGCATCAAATAGGTATTAACTGATTACTAAAAAGCGTTTCTTTATCATTTTGTCAACTATTATGTTTTTGTCAACAGCTGACCCAGATTAAATTAATTGACATTAAATAAAAGTTAAATGAAAAACGTAATTGTGACTGATATCTTTGTCAGTTAATTTTATGAATAACTTGATTATTTAGTATACATAGACACACACACACTTATACATGTAAGTGGTGCATGTCCGTTGACAGATAATACTCATGTTTACTTAACTCAATCGGCGGGGTCGACCGCGGCCGTGCTCCACCATATATCTCTCCCGCACAAAATTATTTCTCATATCGAAAGAGTTAGAGTCTGTTGTCGTGCAGCAGTGCCTGGTATTTAGGGCCTGTTGGTTTTCAATACGTCGCATTTGTGAATGAATGAAGTCTCATCACTGGGAGTTGAAATCAGACCGTATGTTAGTGTGGGCCATAACATCGTAGCGTCAACACAGATGTGATGTATATTGACAATATTATAGTAGGATGTCCATAGGTCTTTAAAATATAGTTTAGTAGAGAGAATAAAAAGACTAGTGGACTCAGGCAGTTAACGACGTGGTGTTATGCGGGTCGACCGCGAAATGAAAAGATTCGGTCTTTCGCAGAAGTTGCAACCGGTTGAAAAACTACGAAAACAATGCGCTCATAAAGCATTCACCGCAGATACTGCTGTACGCGATGGCAGACGGATATATTATCGATCGTTATTTATTGTTACTGGATATATTGAATTAAATTCGTTGTTTATAATATTATGTCACTTTGTGTTAACTGTATCAGTTGTAGGGGCCGGTTTAAAGCTATCGAACGCTCGTTCTGTAATGTACACACAGTTTAGAATCCGAGACGGATGGAATGCAGCTCGTAAATTTTCAGGCGGGCATTCATTAGAGGTAGGTTGTGCTTACGAGCTAAAAGGAAGGCGAGCGGACGCGGTGCGGGTCTGCAGTACCCAGCAGTTATCGGGCTACGTTACAGCCAATAAAGCGAGCTATGCAAACAGCCCTCGACACACTCGTCGAATTCCTCACTCGGTTCCCATGCTTTATCCAATTTCATCGAACGGTGTGACTGCACCGCTGTTAGAATCAAACAATGAGCGCGGTGTCGTGTCGCCGCTTCGTTCCTGTGAGACTAAACAACTATGGAATTTTCCAGATGCGAATATAACATGTACCTAATTTAATTAACTTATTTCAATGATACTTATGAACTTAATAATTTGAATATACGTAAGTTATTTTTGTCTACATAGTAATGTGCTTTAATATGTAATCATATAACGTGATGTTGAAATAATATAAAATTTATAAAGCTTACTATATAATTATACAGTTTCTCTTTTTATAATGTGAATAGTTATAATCAATATATGCATTTATTTATTCTTATTTTAATTAAAACCCTGTCACTTTTGTTGGAAACGTTACAACCGTTTTTCTCACTACTACGATAGTTATCAGTCGGAAGCCTAACAGGCAAGCGTTGAATACTTATGCCAGTGCGAGCGAACAAAACGTGTTAAGCCTGCACAATTTCGCAACACTTACGTAAGTCGTTATCATCAGCAAATTCCTGCAAAACGTTGACATTGACGTCTATGAATCGAAGGCATTACATTTATGAATGGCAATATTAGGTACCTACTTACACAATATTTAAAGCACTTATTAATAATAATTCTGTTAAGCAATAAATTAACCAATTTATTTATATATTTATTATAGTTACTGATTTTATATTGATCATATTTAAAAAATATAGGATGTATAAAGTGTAAGTGCATTCTCTAACAGTCTCAACTTTCGGAAAAAAATATTGTACAATTTATGTAGTTCAAATATAAATACTTTAAAAATTTTATCTATTTACTTATTAATTCAATTCTTGATGGAGGATACTTATGAACTTTGACAGCAAAGGCAAGAAGGGTAAATAATACGACAGTTAGCCGTGAAACGACCGCTCTCCGCATCGCGTCGCGATTGTCCTAACCACAAAATTTTCATTTTTTTCTTCCCTCATGGTCGCCGCCCGCATAGGGGGACTCGTTTAACTGGTACACGTAGGAATTTTATTATCGTTATTCCAGCGTTCTTTTATGTATTGTAGATAAATTGTGGAATTTTTGTATCGTAAATATTTTATAATAAATATAGTCATGTAAAACAATCAGTAAATGAAATATAATCAAATCGGTGCCAGTTATTCAGACTTGGTTCCAAAAATAAGTTGTAAGTAAGTTGTAAGTAACAACAAGAAATTGAAAACGAAATACCTTATGTCACAGTATAGCTCAAAATAAAGTTAATTAATTATCAATTGTTAATATTTATTTCCTTTTATATCAACGTATACAAATTTATGCTTAAAAGTTTAAACACTATTTTCTCTCGATGCTAAAATATGCTCAAAATGCAAATAATTACTTATAACATTAAAGCAGTGCCCAGAACTATGCAAAGCATGCTTATCACTAATATAAAACAGGTCTGTTTGTATAACCCACCCTACTAGCCGTACTCTACCTTTATTCTGAGACAAGATAGGGATAATCACTAAGAAGTTTAATATACAATTGTTACACCTACTCGTTATGAGTATGGAGTGTAATGTAAACGTAAATACAGCTCGTCTAGTTGTAAACAGCAGTATTCATAATTCAAACTAATTTTTTTTAACGTACCTAGTAGATAGTTGTTTTTAAACAATGTTATACATGTGAATGAGAGAAAAAACGTTTTCTTCAAAGTGTTAAGTGTGCTTTGTTTTATACTATTAAGTTTGCGGGGAAGTTTCATTTGCACCGGAAACAAGCGGACTGCGGCGTGAGATCAGCAAACAACCGCCGCGCCACCCGCGGTCGTGCTAATATGCTTATTGCTCACATTCTAAACAATAGTTTTCATTTCCTTTTACTGATATGTTATGGCTAAGTGAGCTCTCAATAGTTATTTAATTTAATTGTTTAAATTCATGGAATCAATAATGTAATGTGATATAATTTCAGTAATGTGGTAAGTACTCATTAAAAGGTATGCAAGTATTACACATTCCTACACTCCTTGAATGGAATATTTAATGCCATAGAAAGACGTCATAAAATCGTAATGATTAAGTACTTGATAACTGTAAGTAGGTAAACAATTGAATTCGCTACTTTCTCATAATAATTCGCACTGTAAACTAACGTGCATTTTTACAAAATGATGTCTCTTTTATCTCTATAAAACAACTTACATCCACATAAACCTTTATAATGTGTAAAGGTGGTCTTGTTGTTTCAGCTGCTTGATTACATGACTTATCTCTGGCTGGCACATTTATGACTATTGCTAGTAACACTAAGTACAATAATACCTAACTAGATATAATAAATCGTTGTTCATGTTCAGACAATGAACTGTGTCGCTGTCGGAAGGTAGGTGTGCGATCTATCAAGATTATAAATATAAATAGTCAACAATTGATTGATAATATAACTAAAACGTTAGATAATTTTATCAAAACACAAATCGCAGTAATGTCTCTATACTGCGATAAATCAAATTTAACTTTACAACCTCTTACCACTACATATATTGACTTGTCGATTCATAAAAGTAAAAAACTGAACACGGACTTAGATAATACGTAGCCGTCAGTTTTTCTACTACAGCAAAAGAAATAATTTCTACACAACTTATTTACTGTACTTATATTACATTAAAAATGATAACTGATAAATACACAGCAATAAGTACTGCGCAATACAAATTTAAAACTGTGAGAATCACAATTCGCATAATTGCACAAACGTAATGAATTTCTCGGCTCCCTCATTAAACATAAGAGTGAGCCGAGGTTGTGATATTGAATTTTCTCTTTTGACAAACTGACACCGCTAGTCGTAAACTTATGCTTCAATTATAATAAACCTTTACGGTGGTAGTGTGGATGTGAGAACGCGCAAGGTTTTATGGTCGGCGCGGCGAGGCGCGAGGGCGACCGGCCGACCGCGGGAACCCAGCATTAAACCCGCCTCGGATGCCAGAGCTCTTTTTGCTCGAGGCTGGCCGCAGACGTGGCGTAACCAGACTAGCAGCCCAATCAAACCAATCACCCGGTCATCTCCTTTTATGCTATATATATAAATACAAACGATTTATTAAATCAAGGCCAATCTCAGTCACCAAAAAAGGTGAAAAGGAATAGCGCACTGATATGGAGAACTTATCCAGAAACAATCGTCCTTTTTTGTATCTAATACAATAGAAATATTGGTTAAGGTTGGAATACCATACATTAGTATATTTAAAATTATTTCAATTCGTAATTCTGTGTAATATAATGATGGTATGTTGTTATTCAACACAAATAGTCTACGGAGAGTCAATATCAAATTTAACAACACTCACTCTTTTGGAGAAAAGATATACTAAGTGTATTTCTTTTACTACTTATCATCTCGAGGAAAATATGATTTCAAGAGCAAAATTGTTCGGCCAAGTTTCATATACAAAAATTTAATATAATTAAATTAACTAATAATTCGGTAATATAAGTATCTACGTAATATCGTAGATGCTCTACGAGGGCGCTACGAAAAATTGATTATCTCGTTTTAGCCTATAAAGTTAACGATATGTTTCTCACTAGATGACAAATAAGTAGGTACTTCAAAGCATGTTAATATAGTTCATAAATTTATCTAATTAGAGCTATATATAATCCATCTTTACATATAGAAAAATAAAAGATTAAAGTGGTTTAAAATTTTTACCTATATGAATAATGGTTATGGTAATTGACTTATAAAAGATAAGTGCACTTTTTGGTATCTGAATCTCAATAATGGAAATTAAAAACAAGGTTATGACATTAAAATTAAAACAAATGAAGAGGTAGTTCATATAACTTACTATTAGGCAACAATCAGTTTATTAAAAAAAACATGTAAGAATGGGAAGAATATTTGCATTCCGTTATTTCTGCTTATTTTGAAGACAAAAAATATAAAGGATACATTAAATCTAATACAAAAGAAATATATACTACTAACGACTAATCAATCAATGTAAATTGATTGTTTGACAACAAAAATCACGGGGTACAGACACTTGAAATGCTGTGTGTATTTTAAGTTTTCCTATATGATCACAAAACTCAAAGTAAATAAGAAGCTACAGAATTTTCTCTAAGGTATTTGTACGTACGTAAATACAAGCCCAATATTGCATTTTTAAGTTGACGTATAATTGACTATGTTCAAAGTCCATGCAAGTGTATAGTTAAATTATATTAATATATATAAGAAAAAACAATAATATAACATTCACACAAATATAAATGCATTAAATTTCTCATATTTCAATTGAGCTATTATGTCTAAATAATTTATTTGTACGATGTAGTATTGTAAATTATTTTGGGGAAAAAATAAAACGGTTATTATTATTATAGTTAAGTTACGATAAGTATGTACCTACATATAACTCATAAAAGCAAAATTAAATGTATGACTCAAGAGTCTATAGGTATAGAACATAAGTGGCAAGTGTGAAACATATGGTCTAATAGTTCAATCTATATACTACAACATGAACAGAAGATAAATAATGATAAGTAGGCACATATTTTGATATTAGTTAACCTTAGCTTGCAAGAGCAAGACCTCATTTTATTGATACCTATTAGTTCGAAAGTAAGAAGGCCCGGGCGGCGGCGGCGTGAGAAAAAATAAGCGGCATGCTTCGCCTGTAATTGGTCTGATTGAAACGCGGGATTCGTTCGGCGATTCTTCCGAGAAGCCGAACCGCTCGTTATGGAAAACTGTCCTCAGGGCCACAGGATAGTATTCCACACCACAGCCATCTATAATACATTCCGTAGTCATTATCTGACGCGAAGCACAAATGAATTGCTAATTACACCTATTCAAAAGTTTAAGTATTCTGCTTTTTTTAATGGAAGAAATGAATGAATTATTTGCCTACTGACAATTTTCTAATTAAATTATGCATAGCATTGACACGTTTATTGTTAGTTAATCGTCGTGGCACGGTATCATACAGTTACGCCTTCAAACAAAGTTAAAGCCCCAGTGATCGAGCATTCGAATCCTATAAATATTTTTACTTTATGTCCTCTAATTTGCACTCTATCTCCAAAATATACTCAGTGTGTCTAATACAGCAGGGATCCCGCCACCCGTATCAAATAGCAAGGACGGGATGCCTGAACAAATGCACCTCCAAGTATAAAAAAAGACACGTTTATTATCCGTTATAATTAATATAAGATACCACCTACATAGGCAATTGAAATCAAACGATCGTTATCAAACTGTGAAAGTATAACTGCATAAGTGCATGGAATGCGTTTGTAGGTAAAAAAAAAACAGGTCGAGTACAATATGCGCTGCGAAGATGGCGTGCACTTATTATCTACGGGACGGAGGCGACGGTCGGGGCCCCCGCGGGTGGCCGCAGCCGCACCGACCCGAACTGCAACGACCACATTTTACATACGTACACTAAATGCAAATATTTAAATACATTTCCACATAAACGCTTCAGAACTAACAACTTGTTGACACAGCGATGTGTCTACTCGCCGAGAACAATGTCGCGAATTATACATTGCACCTCTATATGGTTTATAAAGACCAAGTAAATAAACAATAATGCAATTAAATATATTATTAGGAAACGTGTGTGAATCACATAGTCTTAAGCCCGAAAACATAATCGTTCCACCCACACTGCACGCGGTCCTTGTGAATGTCGTACTAAAATAGTGTCGAGTAATTCGAGTATCGAGTACAATCTACTAAGCGAATCTTGCGAAAAAGATTCACTTGGTGTATATATATGAATATATTTTCGGTATTGTAAGGCAAACCAAAGTCTTAGAAAAAAGAATTAAATCCTTTACCAAACGAAACACAGTTATATCTAAGTACTGATATTTTATTATTCGTTTTGTGAGCCTGGTTTTAATTTATTACATTGAAATAAAAATTTTATGTGATACCTGTGTGACAAACTTATACACGTACACCATATTATTCTCGCATGGGCTGACAACTTACGTTACATAATATAATACTTACCGCGATAATATAGCTTTTTACCTTCTGCCGTTTTTGTTGTGTATCAAACATGAATAAACGTTAACATAAGTTCAAAAATTATATTCTTTGGATTCATTAATATGCCATCGTAAATCTGGAATTCCAATCTCTCACGGATGTTCAGACCGCGAATGATTTAGAAATCAGTGGAGTGAACGACATGAACGCGTTGTGCAAAATCAGTGCTCGTGTACAATGCAAAAAGCGTTTGTAAGAAATTGCACGAGTAACAAGATCAGCTGTTTCCGTAGACGCATGAAAGTTCATTAGATAGTCTGACAAATGGAAATTAACATAACGCACGTGATTAAAAAAATTATCATTAGCCTATATATAGGTACTTACGCAGAGATCTGCCAGGGTTATGCTGTTTGCTGTGTAAAAGATAAGCAGCTCGGCAGGCAGACACCGCGAACTAGGCTCCCGTAGTTTTGACGCCAGTAGCAGGCACGCTGTACCCAACAGCTGCACTTGACTCTTGCCCACCGTGCACACGCTCAAGAAACGGTCCAAGTATGATATTGCCAGCGGGAAAACCTCTTCCTGACAGTTCTGATCTTCGCATATCTGCAATAGAGTACTCGTTAAGCTTTCAAATAAATTAACAGTTATGTTAGTAAGAAATAGGTAGCTGGTAACGCCGCACCCATACCACATTAAGTTTATCGTCCGGAATTCCCGATAACCCATATATAAAATTATTGCGATAAACACGACGCGCATTGCTTTCCTGCAGTTACAATTCTTATCAGCGGGAATGGTAAACGTATGTTGTAGGTAGCAAATTCTAACTGGAAAAGAACTTTACGCACGTTTAATCTAACTACTTAAGCACGACAACCTACATACTATATTTCAGACGACAAAGTAATGATTGATTTGACTGAATTAAGTGCCGTTGAGAATATTGTTTAAACACTTTTCCAGTATGACCAGAAATATGGTCCACTTATTAGACATGTTAGATTTAATTAGATTGTAACCAATTTAAAAAACAAGAAACTTCTAAATGGACTGTATTAATTTTATATTAGACTATCTTCGTCAATTACACTGATTTTGATGATCGGTATTTTTGCAATTTACAGGAATTACTCCCGTATTGTTCCCCCGTTAATTTTGAGACGAATGAAACGGGTGTTTTTGTATAATAAAATCTTATATTATTAAGGTATCTATTGAAACAGAAAACGTTGGAAAATAAAAAAGCACAAATTTTCGTAGCAGTCAATTTCAATTGTGTATATGAAGAATGTTAAGTGAGACGATTGGATGTCTGATACTGTTCGTCACATAGTTTCGCACGCTGCTGTGTCGAATGTCGTTGCAACTGCGGCTCATATCGCAGTCATCGTGAAAACATGTATCCCCTTATTAGCTACCTACATGTAACTTGGTTTAGCCGACTGTCTCACGCTCTTCGCTAGGTACTTAGTCAGCTGATTAACGGATGTACCGACCGGCCTAGCAGTTGCAATTCCCAGACAAACAATGTCGAATGAAGATTAGAATTCTCTGTAACTTGGGAACTTTTGTGCAAATCCCATGGCAATCAATATAATAAGCTGAACGGTATAGATAAATTCATACATGACAAATTACTACAACGCTAAAAACTATATTTAGAAGCTTGTTCTGTGATTGCAAGACCGGTAATAAATATCAACATAATAGGTTGGTGGTAAAGTTGTAGTAATCATGATAGGTTAATGGTCAAGTATTTGTACCTAATAGTAAAGAGGGCACTCTAGTTATGAACGAATCGTACGGATGAGGGCCGTAATTAAATTAGAACATACATATATATAATATGAGTTTTATAATATAAACACTATATAAAGTAACGCCATGGGCAAAGTGTTATATCTTATTTAAACAGTTTTTTTAATACGCCGACACCATAGATTTTCGCCAAGAAAAGTAGTCGAAATTTTAACTTCGATCGTTGAAATTAAATGACTATTCAAAAATATATTTTGTCCCATATTCGTAGTTCAATTTCACGGTGGCTAATAACTGTATGTTACATAATTATACTGTATTTACTACAGCCTATATTCAGGAAAAAGTAAGCTGGTGCCCCATCTGATGAAAAGGCTGACGGTTTGTCGTCTTATTTGCTGTAATTTACGAGACACCACTAAAAATAATATGTTTAATTATAGTGCATGCCTTAGTATTATTAATGAATAGATACCTACATAAGAATACGACACAGCGATAACCCGTAGATATAAGTCAACCCTCTAATTCATAAAAACGTCAAACGTCTAATAAACCTACTTTTGCTAATTGAAGGGTTACGTATTTATTTAGACATGAATTCAAAATTAAAAAAAAACAACGACAACCTTAAAGCTGCGGTTTAATGAAAATATCTTATTTTTTGATGAAATAATGGAATTACGAATTTAAAGATAGGTACTTCGCTTAGAAAATTATTCAGTGAAAAAGTGAATAATAAACATTTATTTTTTATTTTTGTTTAACTCGAAAAGAAGCTCTCAATTGATTAATATTTACACGTTTGAAAAGTTTCTTCTTATAACTAATGATTTCATTAATAAACTTATATCAACGAATAATTTTTATATTAGTCACACCTAAATGGAGGTCATTATTGGTTTCAATAGATAATAAACCTTAAGCTTAATCTTATAATAACAAGTAGTTCTAAATATTAATTTAAATTAATTACTACTCGTAGTATAAATTAGTATAAATTTTTCGCCCTAAATTAGGCGCCATAGAACTTAATTAGCATCAATTAATTTTTGTAATTTTTAGCCAAGTAGTTTAGTAATGATAAGTTTAGTTTTCATATAAAGTGTTCATATGTTAGTAAGTTTGGTTCTATATCTTCAGATAGTTGAACAAAAAGGTTAAAAATGTCACTTTTCGCGTATCATAATATAATGGACGATGAAACAGTACCAACGCAGTATTGTGTCTAATGTAAATAATACTATCCACTCGAATGGGAAAAAGTTTTGTAATTATAACTACTGTAAATTCGCTAGTTTAATGACATCTCGTTTGATACCGACAGATTTATGAGTCAACGTATATACAATGTAATTAAAATTGTCAAATAGTACCTACCATATACATAGGTGTATACCGTAATAGCAAAGCGGTCAATTTTAAATTTGTTTCAAATGAGAATTATTAGCAAATATCATAGGTAACTCAGCTGCAGTCTAATTTGGTAAAAGGGCCTCGTAGGTATGTAATTTAGTTTATCAAATAAACATGAGTGGAGGGAGTCCATTAACGGAAATCCGTTAACGCTTCGGTTTAGATACCTATCTAAAGATAGGTTTATAAAATATTTGATTTAAGTAGGTAGGTACATAATATTATCTTTTATCAAAAGCCAATGAATTTTTTTGGAACTTTAATAACTACGTACAGACAGGACAGAATTATTTGAAAATGATAATGTAAAAAGTGCCCACTTTTATAACGAAAAAAGTTAATGATGTTATTACTTTATTAACGACTAGTGATCCGTCCTAGCTTTGCACAGAAAGATAGAAAAATAAATCAAAATTTTATATTAACTTTCATAGGAAAATGTTTGATACGTTAGAATATATTATTGTAATTTTCATAAGGTATGATAATTATTTTTTTTAAATAATAAGTTAGCCTAGCACTTATAATAATATCCAATGTTACTCAATGACAATGTAGCTTTCTATAAGTGAAAGAGTTTTTAAAATCGGTTGGGTTGTTTTGAGTAGTCCATTACAAATAAACAAATATACAAAATATTAAATCTTTTCTTATATTAGTGTAAATTTATATAGTTAAGATTCATGGTAAATTTTTTTTTTTGATGGATGAAAATGAAATGGTAACCCCGCCTGCGCTAACGGGATACCAGCTAGCAGCTAGCGGAGCACCAGTGAAGGGTGATTGATGAGAATGAAAACAGGCCAGTTAGCCTATCATGATGAATTCATCAAGAATTAACCATGATAGTTTCCAGGGGGAACCACGAGGATGTCGACCTGGTTGGTTATATTGCTAGCAATGGGATTTTTAGTCTCCATTACTAAAAATTCCTTTCCCCCGGTAAAAAAAAATTTAAAATTAAATAAGTACCTAGTTACTTATGGGCAACTTTTATGATTAATGATTTAGAGAAAACAAAGGCAGGCACTAAGGTTAGGTGTCTATTCTTAAATAGTCAATTGATTTTTCTTTATATATATTAACAGATGTGACGTTGCCAGATCTTGGTGAAAACTTATAAACATGATTCATATATGAAACACCGATAGGTAAGTTTAACGTAGACATACATATAACTACAGATATGAATTTAAAGTACCTAGAAATTTACTTAACCCAATGAGAAAAGATTGACGTGAGACGGATGTATGGTCGGATATATGACAAGAGCGTTATACCTATCGTAATCAGTGGATGCGCTCAGTGATTATGTATGTAGGCAGGTACTGTAGGCATAAAAGTTAATGTATGTTTAACGTGTACACGTTAAGATGTCATTGACCTTGCAGCCGCAGAGGAACGTTTCGGTCTGCTTGTGCTGAAACGTGGTATGCGACTGGTTTGGAAGTGTACTCACGAGGTGTCGGTGAAGAAGGATCGTGGCTGCGTGGCGCATGCGCCGCCATCAGCCCATCGCACTCAGAGCATGACGTCAGCGCGCGATGCCGGCGCGCACTTCGTGCCGGCCGGCTGACTATGACTACCACGACCACGTGGGTTCAACACCATTTCTCACAGCTGACTACTTTTACCTACATTTTAGTTTAGCTACTCATTTTAGTAAATAGTAATGATATTCATCTGAGTCTAGATAGCTAGGTACTCACTAGGCATATCAATAGTTAGGCACGTGAAACGATAATAAAGCTTATACCTACCTACCTCTACCTATTATTAGACATAATTTAGGTCATGAGCACGTAATAACTATGAGCTAGTAATTATTTGCACTATGTATTTAGGTATGTACCTAATAGAATAGCGAGAGATAATAGCGAGCGTCCGACCGGCGTCAGCTGTGTGTCAAAATCAGCTGATTATTCAAATAGAACGAGCGACTCACATCGGTCGCCGACCGTCGCCACCGCGCGCGCGCCGCGACATCGGGGGCCTCTCGTTTTTATGGACACTAACTATAGATACATTGCAGATTTATATTTTTGTATAATTAATTTTTTTTAAAGATAAATAGCCTATTTATGAAAACTTTTGTATAAAAGCTTAATACAGTAGGCATTGGAACTACAATAAGCGACGACTATTCTAACAAGTCTTATTAGATCATACTCGTAATCAGCTGATCATGTAAACAATGTCGCTATAATCGGCTTATCAACCTACCTACTATTTATGCAACACACAGAAGACACAAACTGAACATATTTTGACCACAAATGGTTGGGGCTGGAGAATCACGGCTAGACATGGCATGGCATGGTGTGAAGCAGCTCGCAGTGGCATGGACATACGGGGGCCACTGGTGCTGCGGTGGACAAGGTGTGTACCTACACGTGGCCGGAAAACGCGACAAAATGGCGAACGTACGGGTGGCGCGGGTGGAGCGGCGGGCGGTGTGGGTGCGGCCAGCGGCATGCATGCGGCGCGGGTGCGCTCACCTCTAGCATCCACTCGGCGACTAGCCGGCGCATATGGCTGGTGATCTCCGTCTGCACGGTGCTGAAGTAGTTGGCAGTGACGGCGTAACGCTCTTCAGTGGCCAGCAGGTTGTCGAGCACGCGGCGCCGCAGCAGCACTGGGTCCGGGACGGCGGACCGCGGCGCCGGCGCAGCCCGGGGCGCATCGCTGCTACCGGGACTCACACGCTCCGCACACAGCAGCTCCATGTCACACCGCACCGCGGCTTATTGATGGCTCGCTATGCAGTGTCGGCGGCGTGTTGGTACGCGGACAGCTGATCGTGCGCGAGCGAACAGCGTAGATGCCAGTCTACGTTTTGATGTGAAAACGGCAACAGCCCGAGTCGGAGTGAGCGGACACGGACACTGTGGTGTGCTACTCCGCCGAACATATGATCGGCGGGACGCGGGGGGAGGGCGGGGCGTTGAGGCCCGCACGCAGGTTTCTCCCGATGCGACGGCGCGTTCAAATACATAATCTTTTTACTCGCTCACACTCTTCCTTTCCTTTCTATTTGAGTACATACGTACCTATGATTAAAAAATAGATGATTTAATTAAAATACACATTTCTGTCTACTAAGTAAACTTTAAAATAATAAAATATAGAAGCTATGTTGTTTACATACGTAAATCAAAAAATAATAAAGTATGCATTAAGTACCTACCGGTGCCTACATACCTGCCGTATACCTACCAAGTTAACGTTCCGATTTGGATTTACGTAGGTATAGTAGGCACTCATTTATAATACCATATGAGAGGGGAAGGATTTGTTAGTATTGGGGTCTAGTGGTCGCATTGCTAGTAATATACCTTGCTAGGTCGACCTCCATACGGTCCTTTCTAGAAACCATTGTAATTAATTCTTGATGAATTTGTCACGACGGACCAATTGAACTGCTTTCATATTCACTGGTGCCCCGGCAGAGTTTTTTTTAATGATTGAAAATGGTTACTCCGATACGTTAGGCTGGTAGGTATTGTTCGTATATCAATATAGAAGATCGTATGACTTAATTTAGATATGATGAAAATGAAATAACAATGACTCATGCCCCAGATCAGTTCAGTTTAGTTAGCCCATCGCGATGAATACACTTGAAACTGGGGTCTATAGTTTCCAGGATAAATCACGAGGAGGTCGACTAGCTTAGCTATTGCTAGTAACGGGGGGGGGGGGGGGGAAGAATAATGGGTGATAATAGAATGATAATTGCACCAGCGCTATCGGTGTACACTGGCGGGGCTCCAGTGTGTGATGTTAAATGGGGATAAAAAACAGATTAGTTAGCCTATCGTGATGAATGCACCTAGAATTTTGCACGATGGTTTTCAGATGGGACCACGTGGAGGTCGACCTGATTGGGCATATAGGTAGCAATGGGACCCTTAGTCTCCATTATTAATACCATTAATAATAATCCTTATATATATATTCTTAATTGCGCTAAAACATACAGTAACAACAATAAATTAATAACAATGTTAGCAAAGGCGAACTTATCTTTAAAAGAGATTTGTTCAGGTCAACCTAACACAGTGGCAAAGGAAGTAGTGAGTGGGCAGTAGTAGTGCAAAACAGAAATTAAAATAAATATTTATATATCCTTCCCCAAGTATGGAAGTTGGGTCGACCTACATGCGGTTCTCTTGTAAACCATAGTGATTAATTTTTGTTGAATTTGCCCAATAGGCCAACTGACCTGGTTTCATCCTCACTTATCACCATTCACTCGTGCCCTGCCAGCGTGCAGCGTATACGTTTATCGCAGGCGGGGCACGAATAATTGTCATTCCATTTCAACTTGTATATTGATGTCCTTGCCGGAAATATATATAATACCTATTAGCTTATCGAATTTAGTACCTTAGATAAAAGATGTCCGTTTCGAAAATCAAAAGACAATCTCCTATTATAGGTTAAATATCGGATCGTATTACTTTTGGCCATAGTAAATATTCATCCAAACTTTTCCAAATAGGGAATGATACAGTTTTAGAAATAGTAGATAGAATTTAAGACATTCCGTATTTCATTAATGATGACTCACAAATTATCTTTAACAAATAAATTAAGAGCTAAACAATGACACTTTAGGATAGATGAAATAGATAAAATAAATGTGGAAAAGTTGTTTAATGGAATGAAAATGGAATTTGACCCCGCCTGTGTTATAGGTATATACCTACTCGTATAGGCAGGCGGCGTATTAGTAAAGAATGATAGGTGAGGGATTGAAAATGAAAGCAGAAACCACGTGGTTTTTCGGAGAACTACGTCGAAGTCGACCTAAGTCTATTGTTAGCAGTAGGGCTTTTAGACCCTATTACTAACAATCCATTCCCCCCCCATTGGAACAAGATGTACCAAAATACCTATGCAACAGCTGCATTACCCACGCAATAAAATCCAAGAGAGTCTTACGATTTTTATATATGAAAATATTTGTATCCAGTCACAGGTTGGGAAGTCTTTAGCTGTTTCTGGGGAACAATATCTTGACATATATAAAGATTTCGAAAGATATTCGAATTTTGTTAAAATAAAAAAAAAAGAGAACAAATATGTGATAATTAAAAAATCTTGATTTAAATTTTTGTTAAGTTCCAAGGAAATAGCTAATTTTATTCGTTTAATTGAGTAAGAAACATTACCATATTTTTAGAAATTTTCACATTTTTTTCAGTAGAATGTATGTAGTGAATATAGTAAGATACTGTAATGCTATTATAGGATATTGGCTTTGACCACTACTTCTTAAGCGTGATTTCAGAAATAAAAAGACTAATGAAATAGACCACTACTTAATGTCATATCAAGGACCATAATTGTGAATACCGCATACTATTCAATGCAGTAGTTTTTGCATGATGCCGGAACAAACATACAAATAGACATACAAAATTTCTAAAAATTATGGTTTTGGCATGTATTGGTTATTATGACCTCATAATATTTTTTTATCTCCTAATACAGACATCGTCTATTGATTGTTTTATTATATTAGATTGCCATGTGGCCGTGTAGTCCCGGTATAGAATAAGCTACTACTTCCATTCCTGTGGGTACGACCCCCGCAGAAAAGCACACCACAAGCAATTAAGGAAACTTAATGTTAGAGGAATGGGCGGCAGCGTCCCTCTTAAAACATCTCTCAAAGCCTAACTGGGGTTGCTAACCCGCCTGCCAAGCGTGGCAACTACATGTAAAACTCCCCTCATGGGGAATGCTTGTTCTGCAGTGGACAGTTAAAGATTGAAATTATGATGATAGTGATTATATTAGTACCTAAAATAAATTATATATCTGTCTATTCACTTCCACTTGCTACATTGAGTAGGTAGTTATTTCGTGATTCGTCGAAATAAAAGGTTCCGGTGTTTGACCCGAATAAATCTGTGGTACCTACTCTTGAAATAAATTTTAGTGTAAAAAACTTAAAGCTTTTTTACGTGTCTGCTCTATCCAGTCTAATTATGAACACTTCTAAATTGTAAACGTGATACAATTTGATTTAATGGCAATGGCTACATAATGTGATAATCTTTTAATTTCATAGAAGAAGAATAATACTAACGTACCTAATTTATTAGCAAACACAAAATAGGTAATTCACTCAAGCACTATCTGTTATAAAAAAAATATCCCGTATATTTATTTATTCATAATTTTTCGCGTTATTGTAGGTACTTAGGTATAGATGAGCAAAAAAAATTGTAAAAAACCACTTATTTAAAAAAATAATTACTGAACCGATTTAAATAAAATTTCTATGGGACTAATAAGTATGTCCTTTCAGGTAAATAAATAATTTTCTAAATCGATTTACAACTAATGGATTTATAAAGAAACAAATAAAAGTAACCGAATTGAGAGCCGTCTTCTTTTTTAAGTCGGTTGAAAAGACTTTTAACGAAGTTTCTGTGTAAGTAAGAAGACAGGTATGTAGGTGTTTATTTTAATAATTTTACAAGTGATATTAAGGTAAAACCATCTTGTTTTCAGTATTCATACTATAGTAGTATACTACTTATTATGGCTTTTTATACTACTGATATTACCAAACAAACTAACATCCTGTTTTATGGAAAGTGGTAACCGTCATCTGTACAGTAAGATCATAAATTAACAGCTAAGAGAAAGGATTTGATTCTTTGTTTATAATGGATATATTTAATAACAGTACTTGATATTTTTAAGCAAATAACATGGCTTGTATTTTATTAAAAAAAATGTGCAGCCCTTGGTTATAAAATCGTCGATAGGGATATACGAATTTAAAAATTAAAAATTAAATACATTTAACATGTATAATTTAACCTATCTACACACTAAATAAAGCAAAATGAAATATTTTAACCGTTTACTATCAACCTGGCTATATGCTTGTTTGCCACGTTTGTAGTATAAAAAATTTTACCAGTTAATATAAATTCAATTATTTGCCTAGCAACAGATATCTATACTTAAGTCTCGTTATAAGGTGGAATTATATGAAAGTTATCGACAAAATACTTGGGTAAACCCGTCACGGTTTTAAAAAAGCTACAAGAAACTGAGTTGTTTCATCAACCGTTAATTATTTTGGTCTATTTGTTACTTCAATTAAGTAAGTATCACAAATGTGTATTATTATTTTATGTGTTTATTTTATTTGTAAAATTGTAGTGCAGCGCCTTGTTTAATAAACTGGACCGATCTTCTGTACAATCGATCGTGGCCAATTTGCATTCTATAGATTGGCGATTTGTTTCCATTGTGCCATTAATGTCAACGGCCATATAAAACGCCCGCTTGTGGCAATATGACCCGCGTGGCGATCAACTCGTTCGTGGTCTTTTTTGCTAATCCAAATTGGAGGTGCGCGGGCGCAGTGCTGTTGTGCAGCATTGCGCAGGAAGTATGCTATAACAGCGCGCAACATTAATCACCGACTGGTCCGCTTCCTCCATCGACTGTGCTAGCAAACATAGGGGTGACACTTTTATTGTTTCATTGCGTAAGTATTTTTTCGTTTTTGCATTTTGCTCTCGGCTCCGGGTGCATAACTCGCTTGTGGTTGGAATGCTCTTTCCATTTATGGTCTTTACACAATTAGGGACTGAATATTGAGAGAGTCTTATCTTAAACCCACTTAATTTTATAAGGTTTAGTAACGTCGATTTGAAATTAAAATGACTTGAAATTAGACTTATTAATATCTAACAAAAATATTTTTAGCCCTTTGACCAGATACGAGTTTAACGTTTCCTTACGTGCATTGAAATGAGCTTGGTGTGAGCGCAAACAATGAACAAAATTCCGAAACACAGGCAATAACACCGAATGCTTAGTGCGAGTGGGACATCAGTCTTTCTTGGAATCCCGAG